GAGGAGGAGGAGGAGAGGAGGAGGAGGGGGGGGGAAGGGGAAGATGGGAGGGCAGGATTTAATAACATCGAGATAGGGCCGTCCGCACACCAAGACACACAAGGTTGTTGTTGGACTCCATGTAGGCTACAGTAGTCGTCTGAGCACGGCAAAGGCAAGTCGGCATACGAATGCCACAAGTCGTTGAGAGAGCGTGCAGCTTTGCCACTTGCTTCCCTCCCTTCTTCGTCCAGTAGACGAGAAATCATATGCCGTTGGGTCTGCGCCAGACCCAAGTACTCTGTATCCCGCGGTAGACCGGGGGGGACGCCAAGCGGCCATGTGGACGGATGCATAGGTCATGGTCGGGGAAAGCCAGCGCCCAAAGGAAAAATCAATCCCCTAGCGCACTCCACTTTCAGGCCCTATGATGTTCCGCTGACAGCACTCGGAGGGCTCATCTATGCTATGATTGGGTGAGAATGAGTGATGATGGGTCAAATGTTCATTGCCATGTAAGAGGTGCAGAAAACAGTCAGGATCATCTCCTTGGCGTGCCCGGCCTGCGCTGGAAACACTGATCCATCGGCGCGACCATTCTCCACGATCCACTATTCTGGCCCCATAGGGCTAGATCTGGCTCCACCAGAGGTCAGGATAGGCGTTGCATTCTTCCGCAGCCGCCATTCGCCGGACGCACTGAGCTACTGTACTGAGGCACCTCCTACTGTATGTACTTACTGTACATACGAGCGGGCCGTCTTTTGCGAGGTTTCATCATCGACTCCATCCCGCCCACACCACCACACTACAGAAATGCATCTACCTCTAGTTCGAGTAGCACGTCCGGAGTAAAAAGGTGGAGGAAGCCAATCAAATCCACTCATCAACAATATTTAATGACTGACCCTCGCGGGGGGGGGGGGGGGGGGCGAGATAGTGGATAAATTCGTCGTCTGGGGACTGCCGGGGTATCCTTCACTCCCCCAGAAAAACCCTCCAACCGCCCCCAGCTGATGTAGGGCAACAACAACAACAACAAAAGAAAAAACTCTTCTGGAGCGGGCGGGGCGGTGTTGCCGTTTTTGTCCATTCCGCCATGGCTGTCGACATTGCACATTTTGTATGTACATTTGTACAGTGCATTGTACTATTGTCATGTGTCTCGTCTCTGTCATCACTCTGTGGTGTGTTTGTCTTTTGCACTAAGGAGCTAATGACACTTCTATTCCTGTCCCTCGCACCGATTCGCACGTGGGTAGACTTGCGGTTTACCTCATGACACCATTCAATAGCCGAGTAGGAGGTAGGAGGTAGGCGAGCGGTACTTGGTCGTATTGCCGATCAAATAGTGGCCTCAGGTCTGACATTGACATGACACATGACTATCAAAAAAAAAAGACTTCTCTCTTTACCGACCCATCCATCCACCATCCACCGTGAGAATCTCCCCGTTGACATAGGCGCTTGCTCGACTTGCCAAATATACTACACTGCCCTTGAAGTCATCAGGACTACCCCATCTCCCCGCCGGTATCCGCTCGAGAATCGACGCTGCTCTCTTCTCATCCGCCAGCAATGCCGTATTCATCTCCGTCGCAATGTATCCCGGCGCAATCGCATTTACCGTGATGCCCTGATTGGCCCACTGATTGGAGAGGGCTTTGGTCAATTGCCCAACACCTCCCTTGGATGCTGCATAAGCGGGCACATTGATTCCTCCTTGGAATGTCAACAGACTCGCCACATTGATGATGCTCCCCCTCCTGCCGTACGAGTCTGCGTCTCGTGAGAGCATGTGCGCCCCCACGTCCCGACACAGCGTGAACACGGCGTTGAGATTGACCTGCATGACTTCCGCCCAGTCTTCGTCGGGAAATTGGTGGGCGGGATGTCGACGTTGGATGCCTCCGCAGTTCAATAATATGTCCACCGTGTGACCGTCTCCGAGCACTTTGGGGAGGAGAGCTTTCATCGAGTCGTTGGAGGCAAGGTCGGCGACGTAGATTTGGGCTTTTCGCCCCAGCTTTTCGATTGCTTCTTTGGTGGATTGGTTGGACTCGTCTCTCTGGGTAGTCACCACCATCAGTCTCGTTTCACAGATTTCACCTTTCCATGGTAGAGCTGCGATATAGGTACCTGCACGAGAAGCACATCTGCTCCCGCTTCCGCCAATGCGATGGCCATACTCTGGCCGATCCCTCGAGTTCCGCCCGTCACCAACGCCGTCTTGCCTTCCAGGCTGAACAGGGAGTTTACTGAAGTCATTGTGAAGGTCTTGCTTGATTGAGTGTACCTAGTAAGAGTGAGTGACTATAAGAGTGACTACCTACATGTACCTTATGTTGGAAGGACATGGAATTCTCGAGTCAGCCAAATGCCGACGCAGCTGCCCCGCTTGCCGTGAACACGCGACGCGACGCGCCTATCCATGATAGTCACAGTGGACTCTTACAAGACCACAATAAATATCCTTCTCGACCTGGGCTCTTCCGCAGAGACCACTGTGGAGAGGACTGAATCCACACATCTTGGTGGGCGGCAGAGGGAGTTGGGTCGCCTGCATATGCCGATGAGCCCCTCCTCTCGCATTTCTCTGGCCCGAATAATGCTGAGAACATGTCCGTTCAAATAATCGAATCTTCACAATCCACTCACTACTCCTCTCTTTCTCGAGACTTCTAACCTTTGTCCCAAAAAATCCTTCATCAGAGTGAGTGAGAAAGAGAGAGAGAGCGAAAAAGAGACAACTGCATTCACCCCACCACCAAAATGGCAGCTCCCATGGAGATCCAAGCCTCAGTGCTCCACGCTGCAAAAGACCTCCGCGTGGTATGTGACTAGTATCCTCTCTACATCTCGCATGATAACGATACTTCAGCCAAAAGAATCTTCTTTTTCGCTAACGCAAACCTCTCTCCCACCAGGAAACCCGCACCCTCTCCCCTCCCGCCCCGCACGAAGTTCAAATCCGCATCGCATCCACCGGCCTCTGCGGTAGCGACCTGCACTACTACACACACTTCCGCAACGGCGACATTCTAGTGCGCGAACCCCTCTCGCTCGGCCACGAATCAGCGGGAATCATCGCCGCCGTGGGCTCAGCCATTCCTCCCTCGCAATTCCAAGCAGGGGACAAAGTCGCCGTGGAAGTCGGATTACCGTGCGAGCAATGTCAACGGTGTCAGGAGGGGAGATATAACATTTGTCCCGACGTGAAATTCCGCAGTAGTGGAAAGGCGTTTCCGCATTTTCAGGGGACGTTGCAGTCGAGGATTAATCATCCCGCGAAATGGGTGTATAAATTGCCCGAGGAAATGGACGTGGATGTGGGAGCGTTATTGGAGCCGTTGGGGGTGGCGTTGCATGCGTATCGGAGAAGTCTGATGCCCAAGGAGGATGCGACGGTGGTGGTGTTTGGGGCCGGGGCGGTGGGCTTGTTGTGTGCGGCAGTGGCCAAGTTGAAAGGCGCGAAGAAGGTCGTGATTGCGGATATTGATGCCGGGCGGCTCGAGTTTGCGGTACAGAATGGGTTTGCGCATCAGAGCTATACGGTTCCGATGCGGCGGGGGAAGGATATCGAGGAGAGCTTGCAGATTGCAAAGGAGACTGCTGCAGAGGTGGGAAGGGTGGATAGCATTGGTGAGGTGGATGTCGTTTTTGAGTGCACAGGAGTTCCTTCGTGTGTGCAAGCCGGCATATATGTAAGTTTTTCGCCACGCCGCCCTCCCCAATCCGGTCTGTGGTCTAATCTTGTTGCCAGTCGACCAAGCCAGGTGGTCGCCTCATGTTGGTAGGCATGGGCCATCCCATTCAAACACTGCCCTTGGGTGCCGCTGCACTGCGAGAGGTGGATATTGTGGGTGTGTTCCGATATGCCAACACGTACAAAGAAAGCATCGACATCGTGCTACAAGCTTCGAAATCGGCGGCGGGTCCGGACTTTTCGAAATTGATTACCCATCGCTTTGCCGGCTTTCAAGAAGCGGTCAAGGCCTTTGACATGGCCGGTAAGACGAAGGATGCTGATGGTAAATTGGTATTGAAGGTCATTATTGATAGCAGTGCGGATGTCAACGACACCGCTCGGCTATAGAAAGATGAAAGCTTTTTTACTTTTGATGTACCTTAATCGGATGTTTCATGCCGTCATCAGGGTCATTTCCAGTCCTTGTCTATAGGTACATGTACCTGTACATTGCATCCACACGCATAAAACGGCAAAGGGGCGTACATATCATGCTTTTTTCAAGTCGTGGACACAATGTTTCCGTTTTGGCACTGTGTGCCAACAGGAACAGCCCCCATTGGCACCCTGGACACATGAAGTCAGCGAATGTCTCCTTAAGGAGCTTTTCAATCAACAGCATACCAGCCACCATGGTCGCAAACGCTGAACTGTCCACCTTCATATGTGCATCGCAGACTGCCATCAACATCACAACCACCTTCGGGCCGTGCTCGGATCACACGATCATCTCGATATTCGCCCACGAGGAGAGTATTGTCTTGTTGGCCGTATTCAGTTTTTGAACCGGATGAATATGGCGACAGCATAGGCAGACATTCCATTCCCGCGGCGACTGATCGCTGGTCTCTTTCAGCGTAGACCCACGTCTCGTCGGATGATGGGATAGTGTCATCGTTGTCTGATATTCAGTTTACATCAGTTTGGATGGCTTGGAGTGCTGCTGCCAGCAAGCAGCACGAAACACAAGAGTGATACCTAGGTAAGGTAGGTACTTACAATTACAAGTTAGGAATGTTGTGCTGCTCGTGCAGAGGTAACTACCTGGTACGCACGGAAGGCAGCGTGCATTGATATCACCCGTGGCAAATGGTACGGCGGTAGTCTGGTGGAGCACGGTGGGACTCGCCGAAGAAGGTGACTTGCGAGTTGTTGTGAGCGTGGAGAGGGTAGCTGGAACAATAAACGTGGCCGGACAGTCCGCCGTGACAGTGACTGTCGAGCGAGTGGAAACGAAAATAGCATTGTGGAGCACGTCAAAATTGCTGGCAGTCGGAATGGCCGTAATTGATGCAGATCGTCCTTGAATCCCCGTTGTAGTTTCGTCGTTCTGCGATGCTGATGTGGAAGCTTTGCGAATGGGAGAGTATAAAGCAGATAATTTCACTTCTTCGGACTGTGGGGCAGAATATCGAATGGCATCGATCATCTGTGAGTCTACGTCGTCCGTGGTGATGTCGGGCGCGCCTGGAGACAGTGTGCTGTCGCCTCGGTTCTTGTACGTGAGGCCATATGGCGTGGGCCAGTCGCAGGTTCCAGGAGAGACTGGGCTCGAAGCAGTAACGTCACCGGCGTATACAACGTCAGGTCCGGGTTTGGGGTATACAGGATCACTTCCTTCGGCAGTCGCGCAATCGTTGAGACCTTCCAAATTTGCCTTCCAGATGAATGGGAGGCTGTTGAAGCTGTGGAAGCTTTGCCGTCTTAATCGTCGGCTTGCGCTAGAAATGACCTTCACTTGTGCACAATTCTGGTAGAACTCTCGATTGCCCCTGAACAAAAGAACAGGTAGAAGGTAAGCAAGTATTTCTTCTAGACCTGTGCCAATGGACGTCTTCGAGCTTATCCTAATACTTGGCTTTGGCAATGCCTTCTATTGTTGCATGACTTACGCATGGTTCTGCCACGTCCACGAGAGCAACGCATATCCGCTGGGCGCAAAGGATGGTATTTTGAAGTCATATGAAGAGCTCAGCGGGCAGCCACCAATGATACTTTTCACGACTCGAAAAGTGGCACCATTATCGTAGCTCAGGGCAATCTGACACGAGCCGCCGAGATGCGTAGCTGAGCCTGCAAGTGAGATGTTGTATGTGGAACCCGCTGTATATGTTGTGACCGATTGGAAAGGTCTGTCGTTCTGGTAGCCTTTACAAGGAAAGTTGGTCCCGTCTGCATTGAGGGGCGAAGTCATGCTGTAGTCGATGTTGGAGTAATCGTTGTCTGGGTTGTGCTTGGAACGGAGTGCATAAGGCCAGTCCATCTCCATGTGCGTCAGACATGTGATGGGCCATAGTAGGAGACCGCATAGGGTCCAGAAGCTGTGTGATTTTGATATGGAAGCCATCTTGACAGAGAGTATGCATCGTGCCGACGGCCATTAGGCGTTCCCAAGCACATGTATATGGTGAATCGAGCCATCTTGAGACAAGACATACCTCGCTGTGGCGAGTACAGGAGGACTACCTTACATTCTTCGCGTCAGGAGAGGGAGGGAGGTGGTTAGTGAGCACATTCCATCGACTTGGATTGGCCAATAGCATCTCGCATACATCAGGAGGCGTAGACAGTGATGGACCGCAGAGGCGAGAATTCATGCTGCCACGACGAGCTTGATGGAGAGTGTGTGTGAAGGTGTGTGAAGGGGTGTGAAGGGGTAGAAGGCAGTCCAAGTGTTTTCTTGGCAGCAGACGCGACTTTGACGCGAAACGCCACGCTCTCCTACGCTTCTACCCTTCGACAGCACAATCTCAGCCCAAACAGCACTGTCTGCCAGCCATCATGGTCACACCCAACAATGCTACACCAGGCGACGACGAAAGGCTCAAAGCGGCACTCTGGCATTCCATCGGCAAGACTATTGATGCCATCGCCGTCGAGCAGAACATCAACGCATCACCCACCTTCATCGCCGGCGTGACGGAAATGGCATCGGCGAAGATTAATACCATTGCAGCAGATCTGGAAGCCTTTGCCCGTCATGCGGACCGCTCGATCATCAACGAACGTGATGCTCTGCTATTGGCACGCCATAACGACAGTTTGAAAGATGTGCTGCAGGCTAAAGCCGAGGAGCTTCGCAAGCGAGAGAAATCGACAACACGGTGAAGGATCGACTGGAGAGGAAATTGCTCGCTTTTTTTTATTGCATGACTGGCAGTCTTGTGGTAGACTACACTCTATGTCTATAGGCCACTCACTGGTCTACTGCTTGTCTGGGAAGCCCATGTTCACGCCAAAAGCAGCTGGGACGATGTTAGTGTCTTTCAGGACGAGGATATGACACGGCGAAGGGCGGCACTTACGGTACACGAATCTCGTGATGCCCTTTTCTTTGTGAATGGCTGCTAATGCGGCCAGGTCGTCCGAGTCGAGTTGCACAGTCTTCAAGTTGTCCTCGATTCGCTGTGGCGTGACAGACTTGGGCAGGACGACGTGGCCGATGCTGACCTGGTAACTGATGAGGATGGTGCCTTCTCCGACGCCATGCTTCTTTGCAAGCTTCTGAATGCCATCTTCCTTGAACAGTGGGCTACCAGTGCTGCCCAGTGGGGAGTATGCCTCGATCAGGATGCCCTTCTCTTTACAGAAGTCGGCAATCTCCTGCTGTGGGAGGTACGGGTGGTTTTCGATCTGGTTGGCGGCAGGTGTAATCTCGGCTTTCTCTAGCAGCTCCTTGAGGAACGGGACGGAGTACTATTTCACCATCTCGTCAGTAATCCACCGTGCACGCGAGCAGCCTCAAATTGTGCAACCTACGTTGGAGACACCAATTGCCTTGACTTTGCCCGTCTTGAGCAGAGCCTCCATCTTCTTCCACGTCTCTACATGAGACCACTCATGGTCGAGGTCTCGGGATCCGTCTGGCAGCTTCGGGAAGAGCGGGTCGTTGCCATTGGGGTTCATTGGCACTGGCCAGTGGACGAGGTAGAGGTCGACATATGCCAGCCCCAGTCTCTTCAAGCTCTCATCCAGGCACTCTTCAGGCTTGCGATGGTATGTACACCACAGCTTCGAGGTCACAAACACATCTTCTCTCTTGATGCCCGAGTCGAAGGCCTCCTTCAAGCCCTGACCCACCTCGTTCTCGTTTCCATATACGAAAGCAGCATCAATGTGTCTGTATCCAGACTTCAAGGCGTGAGCCACCGCCGTCTTGACCTGTCCTGGGTCTGCAATGCAATATCATCAGCACACATTGTCATGTTTGACCAGTCCTGGGCAGCAGTAGCTGCTACTGACCTGATTGCCAGGTTCCCAGACCGACTGCAGGGATCTGAGCGCCCGTATTGAGAGTGAAAGTGGTGGCCATGTTTGATTTTGAAGAAGGTTTTGTCCTATGTCGTGTCCTGTAGATGGTGCTGTGTGTGCTACATACAGTTTATGGATCACGAGTTTGTATTCTCGTCAATCTTCCTCCCCCGAGTCCCCCCCTCCCCCCACCACGCACACCACTTGCCGATGGCGGATCAGTCGGGCTTTGGCCGAAGACCCCAGGCATTTCATTTGGGCTGGCCGCGTGGAGCCTGGAGGATGCCATCATGCCAACACATGTCACATGGCCGGCGATAACCGCTCTCTCTCTCCCCTGCTCGACATCCATGGTGCACTTTGGGCAGCCAAGGAGCCATGGTAGACCCTTAACTGATAGGGGTAAGTGGTTCGAGTGATTACTGCGGGGTGGTGGAGTCGTGTGAGTGAAGAAGCCACCTTTCCATTCTAGGCCGTTCCGCCCTCCGCCATGGCGGCCATACCTCTCCGACCACAGGGGGATAGCGGATATGCAACAGGGCCTGCTGCCTCAATGTTTTGCCGCTGAGACCTTTTTTTATTGTGTTGCCACTGTTGAGACGTTGGAAGTCCTTGTCCCATCATCCCACACGATATGTGCAACGCAACATCCATCCTCATCCTGTCGAAGTGATGAAAGGGTTTTCGTCTCAGAACGCACAACATCAAACTCCTGCGAGACACGCATTGATGGGGATCTAGGTGTCGAGGTTCCAGAGGGAACTTCCTGGCAACCTTCTTTGGTGTACGAGATGGTCAGAGGGTTCATTGCTACCACCATCATAGGTAATTACACTTTGTGCCTCGACCAAAAGTACAGTATTCGGAGATTCTCCTGTGATTGTCTCCTTTGACCTCTATCTATATTACCTACTGCACCACTACACGGCATATAGTATTGACCCAGCAGACGAACGAACGAACGAACGAACGAACGAACAAACGAACAACCGAGCATCATGGTCCGCAAGCTCCAGGTCGGTGTCTCTGGCCTGGGCCGAATGGGCGCTCGCCATGCCCTCCACTTCCTCGACCGCACTCCTCGCGCAGAACTCGTAGCCGCATTCGATCCCGACGAGAAGGCACTCGCATGGGCCCGACAGCGCCTCAAACCCTACGGCACCAAGCTCTACAGCGACTACGAAGCCTTCCTCCAGCACCCGGGTCTCGAAGCTGTGGTGGTCGCCGGCATCACCACCCAGCACGCAGCACAAACCATTCGAGCCATTGAAGCTGACAAACATGTGCTCTGCGAGAAGCCACTCTCGACCAGTGTCAAGATCTGTGAAGATGTGGAAAGAATTGCACGAGCGAAACCACACTTGAAGGTGCTGTGTGGCTTCTCGAGACGCTTTGATGGCAGCTACCGAGATGCAGCTCACAGGATCAAGAGGGGAGATATTGGTCGTCCTGCCATACTGCGGTCACAGACCTGCGACAAGCATCGCGATGATGACTACTTTGTGCAAGTATGTATACCTTACACCACCACCACCACCAGAAATCTGTGTTACCTACCTATATATGCTGTTGTCTCACCATTCTCACTAACACCTTCTCCCTCTCTCTCCTCACCGATATATACAGTACGCCAAATTCTCCGGCGGAATCTTCGTCGACGCCAACATCCACGACATTGACCTCGCACTCTGGTACTTCGGCGCAGACAGCATCATCAAAAGCGTGACAGCCGTCGGAATCAACGCACGACTCACCGACCTCTCCCAACACCAAGACGTCGACAACGGCGTCGGCATCGTGGAATTCCACAACGGCAAAATCGCCTATTTTTACGCTTCGCGCATGATGGCCGCCGGACAAATCGACACGACGGAAATTATCGGCACACATGGTAAAATTGTCGTGAATGGGAATCCGCAGAAGAATTTGGTCGAGGTGCATGAGGCGAATGGGATTCGGAGGGAGGTGCCGCAGACGTATTATGATCGGTTTGAAGAGGCGTTTGTGACTGAGTCGAATGAGTTTACTGAGTGTGTGCTTGATGGGAAGGAGTTGCCGTTTGGCTTGTCGGGAGCTATTACCGCGGTGAAGATTGGGGATGCGTTGCAGAAGAGTTTGCGGACGGGGAGGAAGTTGGAATTTAATGAGTTGGGAGAGGAAATTGTTGAGGATAAAGCACGATTGTAGAGACTTGGTCTATATGTGTGTGTTTTTGTGTGGACGAAGAGAGGAGGTCAGGTAGGTAAAATTTCGGGTTCAGATGTAACATAGAGGCGAGATCTGATGAAGACTTTTGGGGTCATACATGGGAACCAGAACCAGTGAGATATTGCATATGACGAGAGAGAAGATTCATCATGCTACATGTATCTGCTCTACTCTGTCTGTTCATTGGTGTCTCATGGACCTCATTGATTTCATGGTCACTGCATATGAACAGCACGTCGTACCGTCATCATCGTTGTGCATCTGCACAACTCTGTGCAATCCCTCACATCATAGACATGTGCACTTATACACCCACAGCGTTCTCGAAAAACGACGTGGGCTGCCCAGGGACAGCATTTTCCGCCGATGGTGGCAAATCTGCTCGCTGTTCGCCAATCTTGACCCCAGGTGTACCAGCAACAATCTCGCCCGTCTTCGTTTCCGTGTCGACCAAGACAATCTCAATCACTGTACACTTTTGTACTGTCTGCTTCAGTCCAGGAACCATCTCTGCCAGGACAGCAGCCTCATCGAAAGCTAGTTTGCGCTCAAAGACCGTGTCTGCCGCGATGCCACTTTCCAGATTCTTCTTCAAGCTATTCACGAACGGCATCGCACGCTTGACTTCAGTCTTGGGCAGAGACTTGTTCACTGCGCCGACGTCAACCTTCATGTTGGAGAAATTTTGGCGCACAATGTCAATGATGTTGTCTTGCCACGCAGGGAACTTCTTCGCGAAGAATATGCTCAGCTTCTTGTCCTTCTTGGGATCGTACGAGGTCTGCTTGCCCTTGGCCATTTTCTTGAGCTGAGCGCCTTCGGCACTGGTGATGTTGTTCTGAGTGGTGCGAACATACTCGCGCGCCGCTGTGAGATTGGGCTGTTGATCCGCGACTTGTGGGAAAAGAGCGTTCTGTACAGTATCGGGCTTCTTAAGGACTTCCTTCCAGATGTGTTCTGCCCAATGGGGTGCAACGACCGTGATCATGAGAGCCTGGTATTCCACATACTTGGTAACCAGATCCTGGTGCATGCCGATACCTGCAGCCTTGGTGACCTCACGGTAGAAGTCGCGAGAATTGGTGAAGTCGTAGAATCCGCTCTTGAGAGCCGCTTTGTAATCAGTGTCGTTGTATCGCTGCTCGGTCTCCTTTACCAGACCATTCAGCTCATTCTCAAACACCTCATCCCAAAACACCTTCTTGCCCGTTCGAAGAATTGCATCGTTGGTCTTGTGTCTTTCGTTCTTTGCAACCTCGGCGTAAGTCTCGCCTTCTTTGAGCACACGCGCGTCAGTGACGACATTCTCGCACCACTGTCTGAGCTCGAAGAGGCGCAGGATGTTGGCATTGGCGACTGTTTCGTCAAAGTTGGCATCCTCAATAGTGTCTCCGGCATCGGCGAGAGCGACACGAGTGGCATCAGCACCGAATTTCGATGTTGCATCGTATAAGGTCAGGAAATTGCCTGTGGACTTGGACATTTTCTCACCATTGAGCTGCAAGTGACCGTTGGCACGGACTCCACGTGGCCAGTACTCTGGCTTAAACAGAGCAATATGCACGTACAGGAAGAAGGTCAAATGGTTTTGGATCAAGTCCTTCCCAGAGACGCGAAGGTCCAGTGGATACCAGTACTCGAACTCTCGACGCATCATGTGAAGAGTCTCCTCGGGGATTGAGCAGTCTTTTGGAATCTCATCGGTCCTGCAGAACAGCCAGTCCCAGACATCATCTGTCATTTGTTCCACCGAGACATTGGCTGGTCCCTTCTCTTTGCCGAAAATGTCCTTGTGGAGCAAGTGGGCAATGGTGTAGTACGACATGTAGATCGTGGAGTCCGACAAACTCTCAACGAGCTGACTCTGATCCCACGGAAGTTTTGTCCCAAGTCCATAGCCTCTGGCGCAAGCCCATTGCGCGAGCCAAAAGAGCACTTTCTCAAACGCATTCTTTGTTTCGGTGGAAAAGGTGTTGAGGCCCTGGCCATCTGCGTTCTGTACGTGTTTCAGGACTGCCGGCTGCCATTCTGGATCACCAGACTTTGCAGGCTCGCCATAGTTCATGAACCACTGGTCCAGATGACCAGCTACGCAGTCATCCCCGGACCGACTCATGACGAGACCGTCAGGCTCGGCATAGGCGAACGCATCCCCAGCATCGATCAAATCTTGACGTACTTTGGGCTTGGCAGTTTCGACAGACTCTCCAGCATAAGCTCCGACGATCATTTTGCCCTTGTAGAAGCCCTCCTTGTATGCGATCTCTTTCGCTTCGGCCAGTTGCTTTGCGTCTTTCGGTGAGTTGATCTTCATCGTCTCAACAAGCTTCTTCGCAATCAAATTTCCATATTCGGGTGTTTCAATGACGGGTACGATCTCCTTATCGATCCATTCCTTCTTGATCTTATAGAACTCAGCCTTCTTCTGCAGATCGAGCGTCGTGGCATAATCATCGGGAGAGTCAGATGGCACGCTTGTGACAACTCCAGTGCCCTTATTGGGCTTGACCGATTCCATGGGAAGGATGAAAACCTCCTTGTGGACGGACAATGGAGCGCTCACAAGAGTGCCGACAACATCAGACCCCTTGAAATCGGCGACTTTAGGAAACTCTCCCCAGGTCGGAAATATGCTTTGATACGCCATGTTCCTTGCAGCACGGTGGGAAACGAAATAGTATTCCTCGCCCTTCTTGACCTCGTAGACCCCGTAATCAACCGTTGGGCCCACGAAGCAGCAGTTCTGGCCGTACATCGTCTCAGGTCTCAGGGTTGCAGGCACAAAGTAAACTTTGCCGCCTGCAGGAATCTTGCCCTCAATCTTACTCTTGGCTGGTTCTGCCCATTCCTTGACGCAAAGCTTCAAGGCAGTGTATTCTTGCACACCAACTCCTTCGCCACTTTGTCGGTCGTGATCCATGCACGCCTGACCATCCTTAGGCGAGTAAACAGTGTAGCGCTTGCCGAACCTGATTTTCCCCATCTCCTTCAGGCGATTCACCTGCCATCGCACAAAAGCATCGTAATATGGATTTGCATCAGTCGTGACAAACGATCGTCGCCAATCCACTCGACAGCCCATGTTGTCGAGGTCGCGCTTCCAAAGTGGTGGAAAGTACTGCAGCCAGTGTTGCGGATCAGCGAAGTGGTGAATCTCCTCAATCGGGATGCCAATGGCGAGCATGATCTGAAACTGGTATTTCAAAGCCGAGTTGACCTTTGCATTCGCCTTTGACTTTTTCGCAGAGAACTTGGTGACATCCTCTTTTGTCGTCTCCTGCACAGGCGCAGGTGGAGTAGCACTCGCCTCTTCACTAGGCTGCTCAGGGGAGTATTTTTCGAAGTTCTGGCCAAACATCTCAATCTCGCGCACCAGCTTGTCGGCACAAGCCTTGATGGGCATGCCAGTGCAATGGAAGCCCTGAGGGTACAGTGCCCGCTTGCCCTGCATACGTGCCCATCCCACGGCGAATTCGAGTTTGCTGGCCGTGAATGCGTGCCCCGCGTGCGGCGTTCCGTTGACGTACGGATACGCCATGGTAACCATGTATTTGGGGTGTTTCTTGCGCAGCTCACTGGGCGCAATGGCATGGAAGGGCACTTCTGACAGAGAGGGCGCGTCCTGCTCGAAGACCTTGCTCTCCTGCCATTGCTGCTGGTATTTCTTCTCGCTGGCAATGAGCGTGTCGCGCTTGTCCGTGTTCTTGATCTCCAGACTGCCCGCCGTGGGGGCGGCGGCGGCGGCGGCGGAAGCCATGGTTGCGAAGATCAGTCGGTTGGTGCGCAGGCCACGCAGCCGCGGCGAGAGGAGACGGAGAGCGAGCGACGTCGTCGTGGTGGTAGAGGGTGTGATTGTGTAACTACTAAGTCGTGTGTGCTTGTGACTCTTTTTGGAGAGCTCTATTTTTTGTTCGGCGTCATTTCGCGCCGAGCTCGCGCTGTTACCTCCTAGGACTCGGCCGCCTCGGCGAGCGTCCCTTTCATCCACATCCACCACAACGTGACGTGGTGGCAACACATCCAATGGCCTCCCTCTTCTCATCTCTCTTCAGCAGGGCCCCTCAGGTGCCTGAGAATGTGCCCTTCTTCCCCTACAAGATAGCAGACAACCCCTACCAATGCAAGAAAACATGGCCTCCGGACTTCACCAAGCTCTCCCAGAAGCATCAATTCCGCCTGGAAAGACGCTATAGGCGTCGAGCAAAGCTGAAGTGGGCACGACCGAACTGGACCAAGGGAGTCAAGCTTGCTCAATGGGGCAGCATCGTCTTCGTCTGCGTTTATGGAGTGCTATTTCTGGACGTAGGCGATGGCGGCACACCATTTGATGGCGTACGTTACGTTACAGACATGATCGTCATGCGAAAATGAAGAAGAAAACAAAGCTAAACCTATTTGCAGATTCGTAAAACATTTCGAGAGCAGATGGGCGGCGGCGGCGGCTCCCAACAGGCAAACACAAAAGCTGCTAGAGATCTTAGCCCTACCGCCAACCAGCCATCTTGAGACGCGCACCAACTCTACAAAGAGATCGTCCTCTCTGTCTTGCTGCCAGCTGTTTCTCCCGGGCACTGATCCAATGCGAATCTTGCATGACGAGCATAGAAGTGCCGATTGGGGACGTTGAGCCAGACTTGATTGCGGGTTGCAGAGCATCTGACCCATCATCTGGAGAGCAATAGGACTCACTGGTCACCTCCTTGGCGGCGAGAGCTTCAAAGCCACGACAACGGGCACGTCAAAGATTAGCCAGATCGATTTGGCCAGGAGACGCAAGGACCACGATTGAGACATGAGCTGAGATCGAGCTGCACAAGATGGGCGATTCCAGTGCGACTCCATCCCACCTCACCTGGCAGTATTTGTGGCGGAAATTTGAGTTACATGCGACCAGAAGCCATCATCACAGTCTAGTCGACTGCAGGTGTGGAAAGTGCAATGTTGAGATCTCGTTTGATAGCTTCTGTGCAATGTTGGATGATATCCTTGACCTGCGACTTCCACGCGTGCTAGCAAAGACAACTACGCCCTCCCCTCCCTCGTCAACCTCGCCATAGTCGCTCTCCCGGCACTACTGCCATTTCCCTTGCCAATCTCCTTCGTGATCCAGTCTCCAATTCGACTCAATTCCTCCATATCGCACCCCGTCTCCACTCCAAGACTACTCAAAAAGTGTACTAGATCCTCTGTAGACACGTTCCCTGTAGCGCCCGGACTATAGGGACAACCACCCAGTCCTCCCACAGCAGAATCAAAAGTCCTGACCCCATGATCCAGACTGACCATAGTGTTGATCAAAGCCTGCCCAAAGGTATCATGAAAATGCATGGCAAGATCCTCATTCTGTACTCCTGCCTCTTTCAACGTCTTCAACAACTCACGCGTTGCAGGCGCTGTTCCCATTCCTGTGGTGTCTGCCACACTGATCTCATCTGCACCTAGTTCGAGCAGTGTGGCGCATAGCTCTGCTACCCGGTGAGGATCGACGTCTGGGCCTTCAAAGGGGCAGCCTAGTGCTACGGAGATGTAGGCCCGGACTGGATAGCCGGCTTGACTGGCTGAAGTGATGAGAGGGGCGAAACGGGAGAGTGATTCGGCGATGGAGCAATTTGTGTTCTTTTGGGAAAAGGTTTCGGTTGCGGCCATGAATATGCTCACTTCATGTTTTTGTGGGTTCGTGGTTCGAGATTTGGACATGGCATCCACGCCTGATGTGGAGGATGGCATGGCGTTGGGGTCTTGAGAAGACGTGTTCAGTGCTGGACCGGCATCGTTCGTCGGTGAGGGAGGAGGTGTGGGATATGCGCTATCTCCTGAAGAGGAGCTGTTATTCATGACACTGAAGAAGTTTTCGAGACCTTTCATGTTAGGGAGTAGCCATTGATAAGTTATGTCGCCGGGAGGTGGTTTCGTAAGCATGGATGAGAGGACTTTGTCGGAAGCTGCCATCTGTATACATTCAATATCTAGTTGTTCATTGACCCACTCGACCCAGCAATACCGTACCTGGGGAACCCATTTTGGGTGCACGAACGAGCCCGCCTCTATCGTCTTCAGGCCTGTCCTCGCCAGACGATTCACCAACTCGATCTTGGTCTCTGCTGGTATACTGGTCTTCTCGTTCTGCAGGCCATCTCTGGGCCCCACCTCGACAATTCGAACGTGGTCTGCTAATGCTCGGCGCGAGGAAGTGAAGTTGCGCGTGAAGCTCGGGATGCAGAGCCGTCTGCCGTGTAGACTTCGCAGTGGTGACGGAGGCATGATAGAAAGGATTTGTGGGAGTAGGTAGGTGTGCACACGGCGCTGGCACTTTATTTGCGGTGTCACATCAACGCCGTCGCTGCTTCCAGATGTTCTCGAAGCTGGTCGATGTGCAAGGTGACTGGAGTCGCAGACATTGAATGATGTGTGTTCACATGCACGTGCTTGCGGAGAGATTGCCATGGGGGTGACGTTTTGCGGGGAAAGCTCAGGGCATAAGAAGCGTCAACCTCAGGCAGCCAAAAGCTCGCAGATGGAGGTGAAAGGATAATATAATAAATCTCATTACTGATGTGCATAGACTTTAACTTTACGCATCTCCTACATCTCTGCTCATCGTCCCACAATATCGCGTTGTCAATTCCATTACTGAGCAGTAGCAGCCAACTCCTGCAGCATTTCCCTTGTTGCCCCCAAATTCTGTGAATCTGAATAGAGCGCAGCTATCAAAGACGAATCAAGGTTCGGAAATTCTGTCGCCAGTTGAGCTACGTCTCTATCCGTCTGGGACTCAGGCTTCGAGTTGTTCATCTCAAAGTGCTCGAGGGCTTCCCGCTGTTCGCTCTGTTCACTTTCTGGAACAAAGCTTGTTTCGTTGAAAGTATTCGCCCTGCCTGGAGGGGGTCCTGGCGGGGCCGCAAACCCGGGTTGCTGATTGTGTTGCTGTTGCTGGTACTGATATGGCTGCTGAGGTTGCTGGTACTGTGACTGTGGCAGATGTTGCTGTTGTGGCTGCTGAGATGCGTACTGCTGTTGTTGTTGACTGGGACTATGTTCTTCGGCCCATGGGTTCGTGGACGGCAGGCCTTGTTGTGGCGCCTGGTATTCTGAGCCGTAGCCTTGATTCGAAGCCATTCTGAGTCAGTGCCAGTGATTTCAACAGTTGTGTTCAGTTATTACTGAATGTATCATTGACTGCGCGATGGAGGTTCAAGTTGTGTCGTTGCCTGTCAAAGTGTCGGAAGACGACGTCATAGGTTATGGTCAGAGTCTGACTCTGAGGCAGAAACCAGGTTAAGGCATGGCACGGCACGGCACGGCTCTTCACGGCGCGGCACGCCGCTCTGAAGCGAACAACCTGTGTCCTGTGATTCCCGGTTCACGACAACAACATGAACATTGAATCCTTCCAATGAACGACACGATTTGTTCTGAGTCTGCAACATGATTTTCCTCCGAGACCATGTGTCACCCACTCCTGAGGCGCCTCATCGAGACCGGGATCACCTCCGGGCCAAGTAAACAAATACGGCGACGGCGGCTACAGCAGTCGCACAACTTGAGCAGCAGGCCTTGATTGGCTGTCGCCCTTTTCCCTCTCGACGCTCTGCAACAGACTGGGCCGAGAAGTACTCTATTGACTCTATTCTTTCCGGCCACAATGCTTCATGGTTCCACCAGCCAATTTGCGTTGGCGGCTCCTCTGTTGACTAGACTCACTAGACCTGGGCCGAGACAGTGCGGACAGGTCAGTGCGCTGCATCAGTTTGGCCTCGTCTTCGAATATCTGCCTGCTCGCTGCGGCCATGGTAATCTACCCTTTTTCTCATACATCCGCCTTTGCACGATTTCCCTTGGTGACGCTTTTCTTTGCGCGTGCTTCAGTCGTTCTTTCCTTTGTTCCGCGTTGTTGAGCAACCAGATAATCAGAGCGCTGGCGCTATTCTACTCCCCACAGGTTCACCCAGAATTCTACTTCCAACAGGATCACTCAGCATGTTCAGCCACCAGTCAAAGTTAGACAAGAAGCAGAACAAAAAGGTCCGCGGCCAACTCAGCATCGACACCACTTGTGCTGTTCAGAAGCAGGTCTTTCCATACGAAACGAAAATCCCCGAGTTGAAATTCATCAGCTTCTCCGAATCACAGGCACGAAAAGCAGCATCGAAGTTGCCTCTCGAAGAGACAACACCCGTTTATCCTGGCGCAGAGCAGCCAGTCACCGGGTTGCAGGCCAATGTCTCGGTGCGAAGTCAGCGAGGTGCCATTGTGGCAACTCCGTTGGAGTCAGAGCAGGCCGTACCATTTCATCGGCGCCTGCTCGGACGAAGGCCAGAACCTCTGAAGCTCAATTCCGAACATAAGACGTCTGGCTCAGAGGTCAATCATGCTATCAGCACTCAGGATCCGAATGCGAGACATGGGAATGCCGCGCCAATGATTGTGGTCACACCAGCTCGAGACGAATTCTGTAGCTCCCAGGCTCTACCAGTCAAGGGAGGCCGGCCTGCGTCAAGTGTGTACTCTCGCTATACCAACTGCATGACCACATCTGTAGCTCCTCCTGTGCCTCCACTGCCTTTCACGAGGAATGCCGCGACTGGACTGAAATCGCGGTTTTCTACTCTCACGGCCACCACTACTTTTGAGGAGGACAACTCGCCTCTAGAGTCTCCACAAACATCTCGTTCGATTCCAAAATCCCGCTCGGGAGAGCCAACAGGCAATGATACCCCAGGTCTTCCCACCCCCAGGCGCAGTAAAGGATGGTGGAATGTTCTCTCGCCGTTCTCTGCTAAGTCAGCCCCGCAGCCGTCTCCTTTTGCGGCTTCGGACCGTACGCCAGTACTGCGAGATGCTGCGGCGATGGGTCAGTCGGACTTACCTGGGGCGGACACGGGCGATGAGGTCTTACGCTCAGCACCCGTCTCGATGAAGTCGCATGACGCTGGATCTGAGCCTGCAAATGAAAAGTCTTTGCGAAGATCATTGACAGCCCCGGCAATGCTTGATACCGCGGCTGAAACATTTGACATTTACTACATCGCGAGTACGGGACTTGCAGCGCCCTACTTTGACGTTGCTCGCCGCTTCCCTAGCCTGTATGTGCAGGATTCTGCCCAAGAGTGGAGTCCTTCGCAGAGCGTGTACCAGCCCGCACGCTATAGCTATGCCACTGATACTGGAAATGTGGACGACTCACCCGCTGAAGCAGCGGTTGGAGAGCTGAATGGAGCCGAAGGAACGCCCACTCGTGACACGCCAGGCGGCCATCACGACCCTGATCTCGAATCGAAGCCACCGTCCATACAAAACAAGGCTGTTAGAGCGTCGTTTTTCTCATCGCCCTCTGAAGATGAGCTTCGAACTCCTCCGCAGCCAAGATGGAAAACCATTCGTGCTTTGACGCAGACAACAAATACATCCATGATGTCGCCGCTCTCGGCAACACCAGAAGTTCAGCAGGCTCACCTCGGCATGCCTGTTGGTCCAGACTCGTCTTTTGCCGGGCAGAAGCAAATTGCCGTCTCGCGTGCTCCGACACCCACTGCGCTTGATGAGAAGATCGTATCCTATTCACACGTTGAACGTGTCACGACACAAGAGTCGCCATACCCAGCTAGTGTCACCAGGCTACGTCCCACTCATACAAGACAAGACTCATACGGCTTAGGCATATCGGATAGTAATCGTGATCTGTTTCCTCCACCGACGTATCTTGCGGAAAAACCACGACTCGGAACAGACAGATACGGCCAACTCAAAGTCCAGATTCCTCAGAATAGAATACCGTCTCGTCCATGGTACCGTCGCCACTTCTGGCTACTCGCTTTTCTTTCCGGTGCTGTCCTGGTGCTCTTGGTGGTCATGCTGGCGGTCCTTATTCCACAGAAGCATCATGATGTGCAGGTGCAAGCTACTTGGCTGAACCTGGCTGTCTTTCCTCCAATAGCTATTGGTGTCAGTACGGTGATTCAGCCTCGAAAGACAGCGTCGAGGGATACTTGCACCAACTCTTCTCTCTGGACATGTAAAGCACCAGCCGAGGTCTCGAGCACGGATTTGCCGGACTTTCGACTGATCATACGCTCTAGAAACGGGACACTGCCAAAGAATGAGACTACGGTCAAGAATAACAAGCGCGACGCTTGGAAAGAACATATCTATAATGCCTCACCCGAGGCGCCTGCAACTAAAGATCAGATTTACCTTGGCCGCACAACTGACAACACAAGCGAGCCATATAATGGCGAAGAAACACCTTTTTACATATCTCTAGTTGATCCCCTGGCCCTTGCAACTGATTCGAAACTACAGAAGCGCAACTCGGACTTCAGCTACCCTTATCCTATCAATACCGAGGATACCACTTCCACGACGAAGACGGCTGCAGCGCCATCGCAGATACCTCATACGGGTCTGAAGTCGAATGGCAAACCCGGAGACTCCATACTGTATCCCTACGTTACAGCTCAGCCTCTCAGACTCTACAATCGCGATCAAGATACCGAGCACTACGGATTTTACACATACTTCGATCGCTCGGTATACATCTCAAATCCCTCATCTTCTTCTCCTGGAAACAGCAGCATCAACGTCACAAGCGGCGTGGCATTCGAAGATGCATCCGCAGTATGCAGCTTCTCTCAGACAAGAATGCTCGTTCAAATCTGGACTAAGCAGGGCACAGTTGCCGATTTGCCTGCAGCAGAAGCAACCACCACTGGCTCTCAGATCGAAGCCAAGTCATCGTCGGCGAACGACATGACTGCCCCGGGCAGTTTCCCATACCCAGTCACTTTCACCATTGACCGCCACGGAGGCGAAGCCGAAAAGAAGGGAGTCTACTGCTATGCTCTGGACGCGCAACATCGCGTCGATGTCAATGAGAAATTTTGGGTAGCGGAAGATCGAGCGGTGGGTGGCACGCTGTTTGATGCAGCTGAAATACCTGGCGTGACGACGCAGGACGAGATTTTGAGCACACGTGATGATGATGATGACGACGACGACGACGACAACGATGAGGGACAGGGCATCGATGGAGGCTCGGGTGGATGTTTCTGTCAGTGGGACAGTCAATGATGTGTGGAGAACAAGGAAGCACCATGATCAACTAATGAGTCGTTGAATTGTGAAGCGAACCAAAAGCGTTCCGTGGGTTGCCCCTCCTCTTTCTGGGGTACCGCTATATAGATCAAATCAAGTTGCCTTGGCCATCTTTTGAAGATGATGTAGAATATTGCTCGTGCATCGCTCCTTTTAGTGCACACCTTGTGCTTGTGGAACGAACATGGCCGTCGGCATGGCGGTCGACATCGCGGGTACAATGTCCTTTTCAGCAAGTATAGTGTTCAAAGCGTCCCGTACTTCAAACTCCTCAAGTACGGCACCAAATCTAGAGCGATCGGGGTCAGCCAAAGAAAGCTCGAAATATTTCCGCATCAAGTAGCACCAATCGGATCATGAATACATACCCGTAACATCGCACTTTGGGGGTAAGATTGGTCTTGAGTCTCTCCAAGTCCAGTTTGTCCAAGTCCCGTATCCGGTCATTAGTGTATATCATCGTCCACGCCATGACAGGTGTGATTTCTCCTTCGCGATCAATGGGAAGTCGCGCACTCAGGTCCAGGAGCTTCGCAAGAGTGTCATTGCTAATATCTGTCGGCATCTGATGAGGATAATTCTCCGTGGGCTTCTCCTTGATGTGTGACCAGGGCGCTGCACTGCCCATCAACGCGTGGCCGGACATGTGCTCGTGTTGGGAATCGTCTGGGTTCTCCATTGGATGATGCATTTCTTGTCCGTCGGGGTTGTGCGAGCGTACGAGGAGATATTGCATATGGTCCATACATGGTCGCTCGAGCCTATAGGATGTGAGCGTCAGCCGAGGTGGACTTTGCGCATATGATGAGCCTACCGAGTCAAACGTGAATCGGTTCGGCTAGCTTTGAGGCGGCGGCGATGGATATGGACCGGGCATAGGCAGAGGTCTGCCCTGGGAGTCATACGTTAAGACAAAGTCGATTCCAATGGAGTCGTAGTCGAGTCGATTGTTCGGCAATTGTGCCATACTCCGCATTTGGCCAGTCTGCATCGCCGACATCGCTTGAGGTGGTCTCATGTGGCTAGACATTGCTGGGGGGCTGAAACCAGTGCTCTCCGATGTGCCTTGATAGCTGCCTGAGATGCTACCGCTCGAGCTCGCGCCATAGCCGCTGTTCTCACGTTGGAACTTGATCGGTGTTGCGCCGAAGTCGTAGGTGATGCCATGCTGTTGTAACAGCTCCTTCAAGCGGCGATTCTCGTCGTGAAATGCGTCCCGCTGACGAGCGGTTTCTGCGAATATCTCCTTGAGTCGAAGTACCTCCTGTTCAAGCGCCTTGATGTACATTTCTTTGCGCTCACGATGCGTCCTATCCACTGTCAGACAGCACCATTAGGGAATCATGAGCTTGATGTGTGATACCTTTGCGCCTGTCGGTTGAGCTCTTGCCGCCTCGTCAAGGCTGGCTTGCTGTCTGGTTTAGGACCTCTCCGCTTGGGAGGTTGGCCATCTATGCGAACAATTAGACTACACCTCACCTCTCAAGGCATGATATCATGTACCTTTCGTCTGCTTCTTGTCTGGGTTCAGATTTTTGAGGAAGTTCAGGCTGAGAGGGCTTTTGCTGTCACTGGAAGCTGAACCTGGGCCTGGAATATCAAATTAGCAGAGTCTCGTGAAGCGACGACTACCATGCGACCGGAACCAGTGTTCTGCAGGCGGATTCCAATCATGTATCCGGCAGCAGCCATACGCCACGAAAGCATGCGCAGGCTGCATGTGTGCCACCCTCTGACCAGTGCAGTATGAGGTTGCGTCATTCGGCGAGCCACGTACCATATACATCGTGATCTGTCTGAGCGTTCGGCAGACCGTGAGGCATTGTATGGACTTGCGAGTTATATGTAGCCATGGTGCAGCGCCGGACTGCAGGCGTCAGAGACACCTATGTGATGGAGGCTGAAGAAGATTTGTTAGTGAGTTGTTTGGTAGCTTTTTGGAAAACGTCTGTGTTGCTGGGATGGATGAGCTATGCAAATACCAGGCAGCCACCGTTCTGCGACGAGGGCAAAGGGTGCATAAAGTGCCTTCATTTCACGGCTCTTGGCATTGTGCATAATGCAAATCTTCGCGACCGTGAAGCAGGGCAGCAGGTTACCCCAGGGCTGGCACCAGAGGACTTGTGACTGGACGACATAGCGATACAGACATGGAAAGCGAATGGAGCAGCTCACCTTGGTCGTACGCAGGAACGCGCTGCCCGGAAGAACAATCTGAAACCCAGAGGTCGTCACTCGTACTCGACACCACAGGGACCTATGACCACAAAGATTTGTGCACGGCGAGGGCGGCGAACGTCGCTCGGCCCATGTACGTCCGCTTGAAGCGCGCAATCGATGGTGAGCGATACAGTCTTGAGTGGTGTTTGCTGGTCAACGGAACACGCTTCCGGACGGGCGGATGCCGAGTCTCGAGATTGGTCAGGCCGCGGGAGCGGTGTCTACTGCTTGCCTGCTTGCCTGCTTGCTCGCTTGCTTGCTTGCTGCTGAATGGGCTGGGATCGGATCCAAACGCGGTCAAATGGAGAGGAGAGTGAGAGAAGACGTCGGTTTGTTCGAAGGTCGCTGCAGGTGAGGATGGACTGTAGCACGCGAGAACAACTTTGTGCGACTGCCAGGCGGTCTTGAATCACTTTGATCGAGCAGAGTCAGAAGGATCTAGACCCAGCCAATGCGCCTAAACCACTCGGGTACGGCCGCTGGTCCTAGTACCACGCGTTCAGCTCAGCTTGCTGCAGTCTGTGTGAGTCTGACCAGCTTTGATTTGAGCGCCTGTGCGTTGAGTGGCGAAATGTCGATGTCTGAACAGCAACGGCGGCGGGGGAGAGGTGGTGGTGAAGAGGGTGGTGAAGAGGGTGGTGGTGGTGGAGGAGGCGGAGGCGAAGGAGGAGGAGGAGGAAAAGCAGCAGCAGCAGCGTGAGGAGATGAATGGACGTTGCCGGCGCAATACCTTTGAGGTTAGTGAGAGTCCGGATAGTGAGAGTCCGGGAGCTGGGGCTGTGTGGGCGCTCCTTACGAGAATGAGGCGAGATATGGAAATTGTGCACGACGTCATGGCGCATGTCCCGTCGTGCCCGTGAGGTGCGGTGTGCCACTCACTGTGCCTGTGCCTGTGCCTGTGCCTTGTGCCTGTGCCGCTGCCTGCCTCGCAATTCTGCTTCTACCCTCCCACGCGTGTAGTAGGTTACTACCTAGGTAGTTTCTAATACCCGACTTTCTATCGCGACGACATGTGATGACCTGGTAATTGATTGACAGTCAATCAATGGTTCTCACCAAAAGCAATGTGAAACCCTTCCTTCGCCGTCTCCACCATCCTGGCTGCCTTCTGCCTCACTCCTGCGTGTTTGCCTGACTATCCAGCAGTGATGCCTTTTCCGCTGTATGCGTCCTTTGACATTTGCCATCGTGCTCGCGTCACATAATCAATATTCGTGCTGGCGTCAGGTACTGCTACTACATCTGTCAGGCACTACCCGGATCAGTCGAAACGCGGTGGCGAGCCCATCAAAGTGGATCCATGCGGCGAGCATGACTGCCACATGGAAAATCTGATGGCTTGCGCCAAAGGTATCAAATCGGTAGGGAACCCATCTTTCAGGTATCTATGCCGCAAGTCAGCAAAGGCATCATCATATCACACCCCCAAGAGAGGGAGAGTGAGAGTGTGTGTCCGTCGTACCCTTGCTGCATATATGGCAGCACCGACAAGATTGGCAGTCGCCATCCAGCCCATGTAAACCAACGACATTCGTGATCTTTGGACCTCCCACCCATACAGCAGGAGTCCATGACCCACGAAGATGATCGAGCTGAGGCCAAAGCCCGCGTAAAAACCTGCCCGCCAGTGCCGGAAAGCAGGAGAGGCAAAGTGTGGACTCAACGTCAGATACGTGCAGCCCAAAGCAGTGCTAGTAGTCTGTGAGCCACAGGTACATGTTGTAGTTAGTCCAACATGCTCGGAGAAGCAGAACCAACGGCTGACCATACCATTGCCCAATATGTCCATCTCAGCGTGGGGTTGCATAGGAATCCATAGTAGATGGTGGGGATGCCTGCTCCCCACATCAAAACCAATATTCCAAGATAGTCCAGTTTGTTGCAAAAGCGAGAACACTCCGAGCTGTGGTTCCACAGGATATGGAATCTGTTCAATCAATCTGGTCAGCCCATCCTGCTCTCTGAATGAGATGTAAATGATATAGGATAAGTGAGAGAGATCTACTACTTACGTCGCAGAAAAAGCAAAGCAAACAGCCACTCCCAGGCAATACGTCGAAACTACCACCAAATCGACCAACTGCCCATACGGCGTGACAGTCGTGTTGTTATAAATCTTCTCGTAAAAGTACCATGGCAAAGCAAGAAAAATTGCCGATCCCACGAGATGCGAGTACGCGTTGATGGTCTGATTGTTCAAATATGACAAGCTGAGAATGGATTTCCAGATGGAGTGGGACGTGGGCCTATATTACATTTATTATACACCACTTTGATTGGGTTTTTTGTGCTTATTTTTCAAAAGAAAAGAGGATGGAGCGACTGACTGACCTGTATCCCGATAGGATGAATTCATTATCTTTCTGCCACGAAGGAATTTCGTGCCAAAATAGTAACCGCCATGGATGTCGCTGACTGCCTTTGCTCAGCTCCTCTGTCGGAGGATCAGGCTGCGATGTCGGCTTGTCGGCCTTACGACTGGAAGCCATGAGGAGGACGAAGAGGAGGAGGCGGAGGAGGGGACCTGATTGTTCGATGTCGTGGACATCGAGGACTGATGGATTCTCGTCGGACTTGTAAAGATAGGTATGCGAATCACAATGTCGAACTTCGAGTGGAGCCACTACATGTATGTATTCAGCTCCGCCAAGTTGCATGTGATAAGGTACCTACAGGTACATGAAGGAATCCAGAAGCGCGACAAGTTGTTGACGACTCATTCAAACACCGCGCGTCGACAATCACATATACATGTACCTACCTTGAGTTACCTTAGGGTTGAAAAATAGACAAATGAAAGAAGAACACCGGAGGAGGGATGTCGTAGGTACGGCGCTTAGGAAGCAGTCAAGCGCCCTTGCCCACGGCTGAAATTCGGATCCGAAGCTGCACATGGTGATTATGGTCCACAGTCAGGAAGAAGGATCACAACTCTCCACTTGATCACCATGAGAAGCAGACGATTCATCAGAGGTACATGCAACATGCAGCCATACGAAAGAAAATCATTTTTCTTAAAAATAGCAAGTTTCATCCTGAAGCCTCTTTCAAGGCTCCATGGCCCTGGAGCTATGTGGTCTAATCATAGGTTCCTATCAAAGACATTTCTGACTTATCCCTAATCGAAACGGCAGGATCGAGGGCTGCATGAGGCAGACCGGGTTGCCGCGATGGATTCATAACATAGCCGAATCCCTCCAAAAAGAAGATCTGTCTTTCGAGTGGGAAACAAACATGACTGTCGAGATCTCTTTCCATCACCCAACCTCTACCAACGACACCCTCGTGGGCTTCGTCGACTCTCCTGATGGCCGTGGAACACTGAGCATACTGTTTACCTGCTTGCTGACCCTGTCGTTATGTGTCTGGTCGGCAATCCATCTCGACTTGCCCAAGCCGGGCGAAAGTTCCACGCAGTACACGGTCAGGTACTTCAAATGGAGTATTGTGGGGCTGTTCGCGCCTGAAATACTAATATGGGTGGCATGGCGACAGTACCTTTCTGCTCGCGTACTGACGCAGTCTGTGCACGAGGTGAGTCCATTGCTGTTAGAGCAGCAGTGCGCATTTCGACGCTGATATCACTAGGCTACTCAAACGGAAAAGACATACACCGCCGCGAGAGACTGGACCATCGTCCACAGCTTCTACGTCGGTATGGGTGGGTTTGTCTTCGACCTCACAGATTCCGATCTCGATGGTGAGCCGTTCATTCCAGGATTCGATCGGCTTCATGTGACCCCTCGCGGCGTACAGCTCCTGGCACGGTGTGGCCTTCTCCCGATTGTCAATAAGCAGGATATCCTCGACAAAAGCAAGACAGACGGTACGGGCAAGCTTATATGCTGCGTTCAGATCATATGGACGATAGCATCGGCCATTACACGCCTGGCGGTAAAGCTCCCAATCACGCCTTTAGAGGTCAATACTCTTGCTCACGTTGCGTGCGCACTCATGATCTACTCACTGTGGTGGTATAAACCTAGATGGGTGAACGAACCCACGATCCTCCGCGGAGAATGGGCTCGTCCGTTGCTGGCCTTCATGTATATGTCCAGTCAAGTCAGCTGCCCCGCTCGACGCAAGCAGGACCTCCTCCGCAACTTTGGAGTCAAGACTGAGTTGGCAGGCGTAATGTATCGCTGCGAGAGGACGCCATCGCCGCAAGCATCGAGCGACTCTGGAGTGGGAGTCGATGCTGTAACCGACACTGACCCAGCCACGGAGCCCAAACTATCCTCCGATCATGGAATTTCGAGTCGCGGAGGCCAAGTGAAAGGAAAGATCGTTTCGCGAGCCGAGGGCGACGTGGTAATCGCCGTTGACAAAGACCAAGCACATGCCACGGCAGACGCGATGGAGCAAACGAGATGGAAACATTGCTGTGAAGCCATTGAGCAATACCCGATCATCAAGCAGATGATGAAAGTTCCAGAGCAAAACGCCGAGCACTTGAGATATCGGGAGGCGCTGCAGCGGTATCCGGAAATGCCACCCAATATCCAACTTCACTTCAAGGGGCGTAGCCTGGAAGATCTATCGGAGACAATGAACCAATCTCAAGACTGGGTTTTCATGTCCGAGGAACTCGTAATCGATCGTCCGAGAAACTGGCCCGGGGATGATCAAATCCGACATATGCAGGGCCACCTCATGGGAATGGTCATGTGGTGTGCGACCACCGTGTATGGCGCCATCCATATGGCAGGCTGGAACGAGAAGTTTCCCACTGTGATCGAGTCATGGTTCTGGAGAGCATCCTCCTCGTATATCATCTTCAGCGGGTTACTGTGGTCCTTCCTGAACTTCCTAGGCCATGTAGCGAGTCCGGTCTGGTTGTACTGGTACGACTTCCTGGACGGCAATGTGCGCAAATGGAGTCGCAACCTGATATACTTGCTCGCGTTCATTGGTGGGACTTTGTACTTTGTTGCCCGCACCTATGTTGTCGTGGAAGCGTTTGTCTCGCTGCGGGCTCTGCCAGCATCTGCGTACGCTTCTCCAGACTGGATCCTGACGGTACCTCACATCGGCTAGCGCAATAAAGACATGAAACGACAGCCTGTCCTGGGTCAACTTGTATACTCTGCAATGCTATGTACATGTCCAAGATTCGGAAAGCATGAAAACGACATAGAGTAGCTCATCATGTCAGCAGCAGCAGCATCAGCATCAGCATCAGCAGGTGACTATTTGTCTTTACGCCCGTTACCCGCAGCGCCTGCTTTTCTTGTTCCAATGGGCGGATCAAAGCGCTTTCGAATGGTCTCGATCATCTTCGAAAACCAGAACATGTTGAGCAGAGTGAGGATGAGGTTCGAAAGCAGATAGCTGACCCCGAGCCATAGAGGGAGTCGCCGGTCTTGCGGAGACGCCGTGGCTGGGAACACAGAGCCCATAAGGCTCACTTGGCGCAACGAGTCGGCAATTTTCTCGCTCGAGGCGTCAGACGTGATGTAGCTATCTGAGAAGATGGCTCGATAGATGTCCTGGGACACTCCCCACGAGCCATATGCTCCCCACACGAGACGACAGGCGAAGAAGGTGACGATGAGAAAGCCTCCATTGACAGCCTGATAGATAGAACCCGTGAGACCGAGCTTGTCGCAGAACCAGTGGACGTTGAGGAAGGGGGTAGACAGCTCATGGAGCAAAAAGACAGGGCAGTAGAAGTGAATGAATGGTCGCTGCCGACGTTGTCAGTGAGTGAGTAGACACGCGCGTAAGTCACGTTACATGTAGGAAGGTAGGTAAGGTACGGAGGTAGGTAGTTGCCAGGGAGAAAAAAATCGTACATAACCGAGGGTGAACATTGCACTGGACGCAACAGCATGGGCGACCATTCCCCAGCCAAAGATGTGCACATGGCGCACACACATGTACAAGTCCCACAGAAAGTAGCCGAGCGCCAGACTCTGAGTCAGCCCAATAAGGCCAGTATAACCCCAGATGCGCAATTCCCACGCGTCAGCACCGCGCCACGACTGTCGCTCCTCGTCACAGCAGATGATGTATAGACTCAGCGCATTCACCACACAGCTCTGCACGAAGCTGACCACATGTACGTTCCAGCTGATGCGCGAGCGACGATCCATCAGCGCATATCTACTCGGCACCACACGACGCGAGACGGCAGGCGACACGACCTGCGCCAGGAAGGCATAGAAGGTGATGGCGAACAGGACCTCATGGGCGTGAAGCGGGAGAGCGGGGAGGTTTAGGGCGCGGGCGAGAGGGACGGAGAGGGCTTCGAGTGGCTTCGGCGCCAGTGCTCGAAAGGGATCGCGCATGGTATGGTGGTGGTGACGGTGGTGGTGGTGTTGATGATGAGTAGGTTGTACAGGGAGTGGTGTTGTACAGGTAGTGGTGTTGTACAGGTAGTGGTGTTGTACGGTGGACAGGAACTGTATAGGTAGTAGGTACACAGGCAGGTAAGGTAGTACCTCGGAGGTAGCAGACATCATCATCGAGCTCTTCACCTTTCAGCCTATATTCTATACCACCCGACATCACTGCATACATGCACCTCCTCGCTTAACGTACCGCTCGGCTATTACCTCCTAATTCAATCACTTTCAATGATGAGCTCCTCGGTCCCGCAGAATAGCCCGAGCAAGGTTCACTTACGGCTCTTACTCCGAGAGACGTTTCTTCACCTCTGCGACTCTGTCAGGTCAGATACTGTATATGTCGTACATCAGTTGTCACTTGTCAGCGCCTTTTGGAAAACTCATGCCTCCTTGACGTAGGTAGGTATGGGGTACATGTAATTCACCGTAACGGGGAGAGTCTATTACTCTATGCCTGTACTACCTCTACCTACTACTGTACCTACTACAGACTACAGTAAGGGAGGTTGTCTACTACGACCAGACGGTTAAGTTCGATCCCGCCAGGCTGGGAGGACTCGTCTTCGCAAACAAAAGTGCTTACAGGGTCAAAATGCGAGCCACCACTACCACCCAATCAGAGTCTGGTAAACGGCCGCTTTACGCGAGCAGATGTTATAGATTGCGCAACCTCTCACCACGGTGAACCCCCACCTCTATCAAGGTAGAACTCGAACTTCTACCAGGGACTGGGGCCGGTATATAGATCTTCTTGAGCCCCCATCGTCAGACCGATGACCGGACTCGTTGTCCTCCTCCCAAGAACCCTTTTCTCCGCTACCTACAGGTAACCATGACTTCGCTGCCACTTGCCGTACTCGTGCTCCTGGCCTTACTGGTCTACAAGACCGTCTCTTCGATTCGGCGATCGCGTCGCTTGGCTTCGTTGGCACAGGCGCATGGTTGCCAACCGCCTCACAACCTGTCCGGAAATTGGCCATGGCCCATATCAACCTCTCGTGGCATCAGAACCCTCATACGCTTGTCCCGCATGCACAAGACCGGGGAAGACATGTTGGACGACATCATTCCGGAACAGTTCAGAGATGCCAACACAATATCCCAGATTGGATTCGACGGCTCGATATTCATGGTATGCTGCAATGAACACGCGTCGAAGACATGAATTTACCGGCCTGCAACTCGTTATTGATGATCAATAGAATACCATTGAGCCTCGCAACATCCAAGCCATGCTCGCAACGCAGTTCCATGACTTCGAAATTGGCCAACGGAGAATCAATCAGTTCTATCCTCTGCTCGGAAATTCCATCTTCTCGAGCGACGGCGCATTCTGGCAACATTCCAGAGCGTTGTTTCGGCCGCAATTCATTCGCGAGAACATCAATGATCTGGAAGAAACAGAGAAGGGCTCCCGAACGCTGATCGAGGCGCTGGGGCCCGTCGACAGCAAGGGTTGGACGTCTGTACGCCAGCTACAGCCGCTACTCTTCAATTTCACGCTGGACACGGCCTCGTCGTTCCTGTTTGGAGAATCCATCAATTCCCAATCTCTCATGATGCGAGAGTCATCGGAAAGCGATTCGCCTGTATCACAAGACCAGGCAAAGCAGAAACAGTTCATGGCAGATTTCGAGTTGGCGAATGTGTACATGTTCAAGCGAATTAGATTCCAGTCACTGTAAGGCGGATTCACGACAACAGCCATTCTGTCGTTTGTTTCACGCTGCCACCACACTGACATGGAGAAACAAAAGGTACTGGATCAACGATAGTCTCGACCTCCGCAGAGCCATACGCCGGATGCGGCAGTATATCGAGCAATTTGTCCAGAAAGCGATCGCCTCGGCTGCCTCGACGACATTGAAGCAGGAGAACAAGAAGTACAACTTACTCTCTGCTCTCGCAGAACAGACGCAAGACCACGAAGAACTTCGCAACCAACTGCTTGCCATCTTGGTCGCTGGAAGAGGTAAGGACGACCCACAGCAAGCAATCCCGCCCAATGAAACAAGAAAACCCCAAACAACTCACAAAAGAAATACAGACACCACAGCCGGTCTCCTCGGCTGGTCTTTTGCCCGCCTCGCCATCCACCCGGACATCTTCCACAAACTCCGCACCCACATTCTCTCCGACTTTCCTCCCTCCTCCTCCTCCTCTACCATCACCTTTGAAAAAGTCAAAGCATGCCGCTACCTCCAACACTTCCTCCACGAAGTCCTCCGTCTCCACCCCAACGTCCCCTTTAACAATCGCCAAGCAGCAGTCGACACTACATTACCCACGGGCGGAGGACCCGATGGCACGGCACCTATTGTGGTCGCAAAGGGGACGACGATTGCATTTTCCGTGTACTTGATGCATCGCCGACCAGATCTATGGGGCGAGGATGTCTTGGAATTTCGACCGGAGAGGTGGGAGGAGGAAAGGAGAGGTTCCAAATGGCAGTTTTTGCCCTTTTCAGGTGGTATGTATTTTGTTTTTCTTCTTTCCCCCCCAAACAGAATGAAGTACGCATATGCGTACTCTCACAGACCAGACCAAGACATGATCTCCGGTACCTTTTTTTTGTTCTGACACATTTCTTCTTCTCCTACCTACCTACCTACTTACTATATACCCTTTTTTCTCCCTTCATTAGGTCCCCGAGTCTGTCTCGGCCAGCAATTCGCTCTCGTAGAAGCAAGTTATGTAATAATACGCATCCTCCAAACCTTCGACGCCATTGTACCCGGAGACGTGATGGAAATGTCTCGGTTGCGTAAAGGGTTGGGCTTGACTTTGTGGCCACGAGATGGGGTGCCGGTGAAATTTCATAGGGCAGATTGAGAATTTAGGTACCTAGGTACCTTACTATAATGATGAAATGATACTATAATATGAACTTTTACTTGACACAGTATGTTTATATCACGGTTTTTTTCAGCGCTTCTTTTTTTACTATATATCCCAAGTCGACTTGAAGTTTCAAGACCGATCCCATAACGAAGCCCATCTTCTCTTCTTCGTCTTCTTTCTTCTTCCCGTCAATAAAAATCACCCTAATCTATTCCCAAGAAACGACACAATCATAAAAACCTCATCAAAGCGAACATACCGTAAGGTATGCACATGATCTTGTTTGAGTCCGACGATAACAAATAATTCATTCATTCATTCCGATCCACTCAACCACTACTTCTAGATAAGTTTTGCTTTTTTCAACTCCCGATACAGTACCTAATTAAAACTCACACAAAAAAAATGATGATTCAACCACCACCACCACCAACTCCTCCTCCTCCTCCTCCTCCTCCTACTCCTCCTTCAAAAAATCCGAAATAGCGACTTGCCCGTCCGAGTCTTCTGACTACTACTACCACTACTTGTACTATTATCAGAACTACAAGTAGTACTGCTACTGCGACTCGACCTAGCCAGCGAGACCAGCGACCGGCGTGGCGAGATTTCTTTCTCAAAAGACTTTTTGTTGTGTTGTTGTTGTCGTTGTTGCTGCTGCGATGCCAAAATTCTCCTTTTCGTCTTCTGCTTTTCATGCGCCGCAGCGAAATCGTGCCAAGCTGCAGTTGAAGGTTCTTTGAGAGTGAAGAAACTCAGAGCGTTTGCTGCAGTTTTGCTTTTCAATGAAGTAGAAGAAGAAGAAGATTTCGTAGTGGTAGTGGATTTTCCCTCCTGTTGGTGGGAGGACTCTGTTCGCTGTTGTTGTTGTTGTTGTTGCTGTTGTTTCTGATGAACCATTCTGTAAAACTCTTGTGCATTCTGTCCTGGCCCGACCGACATCCCATCTTCAGAGGCATGATGATGCTCCTCTTGGCGACGAGACTCATGGGCATTTTCTGAACTGCTCGGATTTGTATCTGAAGTCGGACTCCTCACGGCAAGTCTGGGTACACGGCATTGCATCGTTTGACATGCAACAGTCGCCGACATTGCCCAGTGCTCTGTGACTGAAGCGAGCGGTTTCTTGGAGTCCAGCAACAGTCAAAAGGTCCACGTGTGCGTGCAGAAACTTGCTCAAAAGAGAACAACGCAACAGATGGAACAGTCTAGATGCAATTGCGAGTTTTCTCCTCAAAGTGAAAGTGAAGGTGAAAGTGAGAAAACGTTCCATGGTTTGCTTCGTCAATGTTGCTTCCAGACAAACCCCCCTCTCGTATTGGCCACGCGTTTGGGAAACACACTTTTTGTGTCGTTTACGAAGCTGGATCCAAGAACTTCCAATAACTGGATGATGACACTCCTTCGCGGGCTACAGCTACCTTACCACATGGAAAGCGCAAGTGGCCACGTGCGTCCAGATCGGCACGTGGCCATCGATCGGTCCCTTCCACTGCTTCCAGCTCAAAAGAGAGAGGAACGGGCCAAGAGAGAAAGAGGCGGAAAAAAAGACGCTTTAATCATCAGAAATCAAGACGGATTTGCAAGGTCAATCACAGAAACTGTCTGTCTCATAGTATGGGTATCTGCTCTGTGAATCCTTGTACACATACGCTCTGCATGGGACTTGAAGCCATAGCCTGCGTGCTTCCTTCTTACTCTGCGACGTGCTGATGGCACGCCTCTTCTATCAACGCCGGATCTTCTGACGACTTACATCTATCTCCAGGTATGACCCTGCGCATTCATTAATTGACGTGGCTCGCGTGACAGCCTTCTGACCGACATACCATGGGTATCATCCTCCAAGAAGCTGGGCACGTGCACCATGTGCATCGACCAGATAGTGGCCCTGGGACAGGCATGAAGGGCTCCTCAGACTATGCATCAGACAGTGCCATCAGACCAGGGACGAGATCGGGGCACTTCGTGTGGCGGGCGCGCAAATGATAACAACCTCTCAGCCTGGATAGTAGTACCTCTGCGGCGCGTAATCTCCCGCAATGGGAGGTGCATACTTCGCGGCAACGTTCACATGTGCCGGTTGTACAGCCGCTGGGGCTCCATGTTGGGGCTGAGGCAATCCATACCCGGCTTGGGGCGATTCAACGTACACAACTCGAGTAGCCGGGCGAGTGCCGGACTGGACATAGTACTCTTCTCCAGGCGGCGGCCGAGGCAAATGACCCTTGTGACCGGTATGGTGCTGGGACAAGGGCGCGTATTGAATGGGCGCGACTTGGGCATCCACGAAACCACTCCGGCTTACCATGTGCGAGGAAATTCCATTTCCAGTGCGGTGGGGGTCATCATTGATTCTTACCAGCGGCTGCTGAGCAACATATGACGAGGGAGGCAATGGAGCACCTCGAGTGGAAGGTCGGTGGTCATCAGCACGGGGACTACCACAATCTGCAGACCGTGGCCTCGTCTTGCTCGCCAATATTGGGCTGCCAATGTAGGTCTCGGCCAGGCGATAGGTCCTATCCGTGGGGGAAGTGTACTGGGGCTGAGCATGTGGCTGGACTCCATTGTGGCCATTTGTGTCCAGACGGCGCCGTTTCCCAGACAATCCTTGTGGAGATGCGGGCCGTGATCGATGCCCACTCGCGTATCCATTATGCTGCAGGGCAGACGCTGAAGCCATAGCCTTCCGTCGGAGATCATCCTGTGGCTCAATGGACGCGACCGGCTGGTCATGCGGGGCATATCCATTTGATGGGGCGGCAGGCCGGGAGTGTAGTTGCTGGGTCGGGTACTGCTGTGGCGGGCCATATGGACTTCCAGGAGTGATTCCTTGAGGCGACAGCTGCGGAGCGGCGTAGTACACAGGCGATCTGTGCACCTCCACCGGTGGCGGAACCTACAGATTGTATTAGCAAGTGGTATCTAGACCATGCAGTATTCTCATCGTGACCAACTTTTCGGAACCGCTGGCCTTCAATCATTATCGTGTCGCCGTCGATTTGGTCATGCGGTACGTGGACGTGGACGACATTTCTGCCACCATGTCAGCTGATAGTCAATAGACTCAGTCAATAAAGTTTTTCGATCTGCTCACTGATTCTGTACAGGTGCTTTACGCATTTGCTCTCTTGCGAGACCAATCTTTTGACGAACATCAATGTGACGTTGTTGTACATTACGAGGCGGCGGCTGGTGACGATCGAGAAACTTTCTCGAACGTTCATCATGGATCTCCGCGCCCAAGTCTTCAACAGCTGCAGGCTTATGACTGATCTCAAGGCTGGTATCACTAGCATAGCCTTGGTCTATCTCAGCGGTAGAGTCCTCATCGTCAGTTCGGCTGGCACGCTGAAGAGGCTCAACATCATCGTCGTCATCAATCACGATGGTTTCGCGGACGATTTCTTCGAACTCGTTGTCATCGTCATCCTCGTTCTCACCGCGCCACTCAATGAGTTTCTTGAGACATATAGGCTCGACCATCGCACGGGCTTCTTTCCACTCGAAAGCACGGAGGAGACGGTCATAATCAGTATAATGATGACGGATACGAGCGATAGTGGCAAGTTGCACACGACGCGGAAGCTCGATGTTAGTGTTTGTGCCTACACGACTGGTACCCTGCGCCCAAGCTCTTTCGAGAATGGCCGATAAGTCTTGGTCGGGAATCCGTGGGAATAGTTCTTTGATGGCCTCGCGAACCTGTTCGGTGTTCTCCTGTTTGACGGGCTCCTGATCCCAGGCGAATCCGTGGCGAGCCATGGCGCGTGCGAGTCGGGAGTTCTCATACTGCGCTTGAAGATCCGCTTCTCGAACGAAACGTTTCTTTGAGTACGTATAGCCGAGTTCGTGGCAGGCGTCATCTACAACATCAGAGCGAAAGTGGTAGCCTATTCGATGTATATGATGGGATATCTTTCCGGGGTCGGTTGCACTGAAGCTGACGGGTTTGGCCTACAGATCCGGGGTTAGCATTTTGAGGTGCATGGGAATGATGGGAATGATGGGCATGATGGGATTGATCCCATCCCGAGTATGATTATGCTGGCATTTCCCCATCCAAAACTTACGTTGACCACGTTGACTGGTAGTCCTCTTTGTCTTGAGAGTTCTTTGCAACGATCCGCCAAATCTGGAGTTCCCACGGGCAAGAACTGAAACCCGGGTGGCGCGGCCATGTATGTCATCTATGAAAAGCACCATTAGTTACTCGGTTCCCAGTGAGCAATTGCAGAGCAACAAACGTGTAGGTCCAATTTTCGTCTTCTCGCAACAATGCGACTCTGTTCTGTCTTGTACGGTTTCTCGCGTCGTTTCAATATCCCGCGCGCTGCGCTGGCTGGCTGTGCGCTTGAAGCGCGCGCTGTTGACGCCGTCATGGCGCGTATGTTTTCGAAAGGTGTAGGCAGGAAGGTAGGTTAGTAAAACAGGAAGGAAAAGACAATTGCAGATCGCAAACGCTGTGCTCCCAAAACGCCGATAGAATACCAGAGCGCGAACAGGGGGAGGTCGCTCAAGTGTCTGGTGAAGCCGTCAAAGCGAGCGAATCCTTGGTGCTGCTACCCTGTGCTGCTGCTGTTGCTGCTGCTGCCACCCTGTGCTGCTGCTGCTGCCGCTGCTTTTTCTGCGTGTCTCGATGGAGAGACGATGGCTGCGAAGATGATGTCGAAGTGTGTCCTCGAGCTCTTCGTTCTGTGTCCTGGGGTCAGGAACGCGTCACGACTGCACGGAAGAATCACACTCTTCAGCCGAACAGGCTGCGTGTCTACACCAGCCCGGACAGGCTCGTACGGAACGCAAAAGGAAAGGAGATGTCACGAGCACGAGGCCTGGAATACAGGCGTCATGTCAGGGAACTACACCGTTGATGTGGGTTGGGAAGTTGTGTGTGCGTGTGTCCGGTTGTGATGGAGAGAGAGGGAAGGGAGGAGAGAGGAGAGAAGAGGAAAAGAAAGTCAAATTTGTACCTTTCGAAAATGGGGCGGACCGTGGACGGAACCTGTTACTTCCGATGATACAACTCGACCCGGACGACAAACGACGACACCTACTACTCGAAGCCAACCACCACGAGCGCTGGCTCTCCCATCTACACACACCCCCGACACACACCCACAGACAGCAACAATGTCGCTGCTACGCACCTCTCGCCTGCTCACGACATCTCGCGCGCGTCTACAGATCGTCCCCAACCTCACCGCCGCCGCCACCCGCGCTGGATCACGGCCATTCTCCTCCACAATCGCCCGCAGCGGCGGCGACCACGCACACGAAAACCGCTACGACCCACCCGGCGGCTGGCTCTTTGGTGTGAAGCCAGGAGAGCAGTACGAGAATGAAGGCTGGGAGAAAGTGTGGTTCTATGGGTTCGGAGGATGCATGGCTTTCATGGTAATTGGATACTGCTATAAGCCCGACACAAGGTGAGTTTTACAATATGCGCGTGGGTTCCTGGCATGTGCGCCTGTGCAGTTCTGCAAGAAGCCCACCATCTAATGCATCTATCTCTTCTCGCTAGCATACAAACATGGGCTCTGGAGGAAGCGCGGAGACGTTTGGAAGCCGAGGGTATATTGGAAGACAAGAGCGGTAAGGCCTGAGCAATGGCAAGCTGCGACTGCAGGAATGGGAAGAGACCGGCGAGCGAGGTGCACATATGAAGCATGGGGCGAGCTTCGACGATACAATTTGTGTACATACCCAGCTAAGCGAGCCCGCGCTGGGCAGTGACTGGTCAGCGACTGGTCAGTGAATCATCTTATAACTAGCAGCGCGCCGACTCTCATTTTCTATATACTCGTCGTGACTTGTTCGGAGTAAGAACTTCGAGAGTAAGAGATTCGAGAGGGACAGATTCGAGAGAAACAGATTCGAGAGTGGGAGATTCGAAAGTGACAATATATTTGGACAAGAAGTATTAGTCTAGGATTTGCAGCCTGTACAGTGGACTGGGCTGTTACGCGCCAGGAAGACAGGTCACCTTCAGACTCGGCCAGAGTTTCCACACGACTGCCGAATTTGGTGGCATGGTGGCGCTGTATACCATGATAGAATGCTCCCAATAGTGGCTCTTGACCAAGGTATGCCCACGCTCCTCACTGCAAACGTGGGCTAACGCAAAGCCTGCTCCACCCATAGCGCAGCATCTCGCATCCTCGATCTCCCCTTTTCAGATTCATCCCATAGACCGGACCCACCGACTTCTTCGTGAGATACCATCTCAGACACTGCAGCGGTTTGTGAAGTGCACATTCCCAGTCGAGTTCGAGAAGAATTGGCAGGAGAACCCTTCGGCTTACTCTGTCTCTCAACAGCCTTGTCTAGAAGGGTCTTCAAATCTTTCGACTGTCCGGCAATAACAGAGTCCCTCCCAGAAGTGATTCGAAAGCGGGGCAATTGTATCGCGAGTGATTTGCTAGGATATCTTCTCGAGGACTTTCGACTGGTCTCCTGCTCAGATTTCGAAAACAAGGCAGTCTCCATCGATGCGTAGGCATTTGGAATGGCGCTAAGAGCCAACTGGGACCGAAAGAAGTCTTGTTTCTCCAACTCTGCGAGTTCCTCCATATCGCTCAGTGGGGGCTTTGAGGCCGGTACTTTCAAGCCTGCGGCTCGAAAGAAGAGAGCTGGGGAGACGAAAGGATCGAAGTAGTCTGCTGGTTGGCGGAAGAGGGAGTCTCTCTGCCGATGGAGTTGCTGTAACGTAAGTGGAGCTTGGTCCGGTAAGCATGGCTTGGCTCGGTCATCCTCGTCGAGGTCGACCCAATCTGCGATAGGGTTATTGATCGCAGCGGCTACCACCGCTGCTGGCTCTTTGGCGCGGCATTCTGTCAAGGCTAGAGTGGTGGCCAGTGAGCCGCCGATGAGTTCACCAAGAACTGCGACTTTGTTGCGTGTACGTCCGTGGTGACTGAACCTATTGGTGGCTGTGGTTTCGTTGAACAGATTCTGTACAACCCAATCGTAACCAGCGATGACATCGTGGATAGCAGTTGGGTATTTGTCCTCATTGCCACAACGGTAATTGATACAGATGACTGGTAAGGAGAGCGTGCGTTGCAGTGTATCCAGGTTCAAATCATCATGTTTTGGGTTGTTGAGGAGTGGTCCCCGGGGCAGATATATGACTGCAGCTTGAGAAGCTCTACTTGGCTGGGGAGCGTAGTGATCTGGATAGCGGACGCTGTAACGGTCAGCGCAGTTCTGTCCCTCGAGAAAGCTCATGTATAAGGTATCTAATATAGTGCTTACTCGAGATTGAAGCTGCCGTTGCTTCGACAAGGAACGCGTACGCGGGTCTGCTCTAGTTGCCGTGCACATGTTGAGAAGGTCGGAAGGCCAAGACGAACGGCAGTGGTCCCGAAACGGCATCTCGGCAGCATGCCATCTGCTGCGATGTGGTTGCCGTCGAGACAGGCTGCTGAGTCACTTCTCGAGAGATGAGGTCGTGTGGTTGTTGTTGTTGGGATGGAAGCGCCGGAGATGGCACCTAGGTCATTTGAAACTGATCAGTCAGCCGCAGGTTCGCGTCAGACGGGACAAGCTTTTGATTTAGAAATGAATAAGGTAATCTACCAGATTCTACTTACTGTATGGAGTAAGGTATGGAATGGTTTTGCGGTCCGCGGAGGTGGAGGCGGAGACGAGTGACGAGTGTTCACTGACGAGGGGCAGGGCAGCGGAACGACGCGCGTAGGACCTGGACGACCGACCGACCTGTACCCATCCATCACTTTGCTTTTGTCTGCCTACCACCGCACTAGCTACATACCTCCTAGTACTTCGCACATGTCGTATACATGTACATCATCACGTGTAGGTATGACAACGACATTGTTGTCAGGCCAGCCACTTGGACCTCCATCTGACATGCTTGGTATACCTTACATAGCCACAGACCAGACTACAGTACTGGCTTGGCCTGGCAGTATAGCTACATTACCTGACCGTAGGAGGTAGTCCGGTCGGTATACGAGACATGCTGCGCCCAATATGAAATATCCGGTGTTTGAGCTTGGATCATCGACTTCGTTTTCCAGGCAGGCAACCAAAGCAGGCTCAGCCTGGCGGGCTGGCTGGCTGAGTGACGGGCTGGCTGCACTAGTTCTTCCTGCTACATACCTGCCGCGGTGCCTACACTACTACTTGATCATACCAGGTATTTTGTTTTGGAGGTGGGATCGTCAAATCAACCACGTCTTTGTCCTGACTACCTCCTACCTTACCTCTCTGTAGTTCTCGCGGCCAGCAGTAGCACATTCTTCTCTCTGTCATCCACCACCACCTAATATCACCTGTTCTCCGCCCAGCGCGCGCACCGACTGCACCGACAACCACCCTCCCTCGCGGTACAGGTACCTGTCATGTCTTGCTGAAAGGTCTTGGAAACCCCGCCGGTCTTGTCGCCCGGACACTTGCATTCGCCCCCGAACACGCTTTCCGCTGGCCAGCATGGCCTCGCACGCCCACGCTCCCTCCGTCCCCGTCGTGTCTACTTCACCGCCACCATTTCCGCCCAGGCGAACCAACACCATCGAAAGCCAAGTCTTTGTAGACGCGCCCGAGACAACAGAAGAGCAGGCAGAACAGGCAGAACAGGCTAGGGTGCTGCAAGAGCGCCAGCGCCAGCAACTGAAAAGAAATGAGCCCTCGATTACGACTACTGCATCCGTACAGTCGGTGCCGCCGCCGGGGTCCATCTTGACGGGCAAGCAGGAGCACTATCTGAAGCGCGAGCTCATTTCACAACAGACACAATGGGAAATCAGTGAGCTTTCGCATCCCACAGCTCTGAAGCGCTTCGGAGCACCATTCCACTCTGACGTGGGCGAGGTGGCCCCCGAGGACTCGGAACTGCCTCTGCTGCGCTATATCTTTGTACATCATGTACGCAACTTTCCCTTCCTCGATAAGGCCAGGGAGAAGGAGTTTTGGCAGGATAAACTGCAGTCCTTCCTGGAGAGCTTCGCCAATAAGCATATATCATCTGCAGATGACCGGCTGGAGCAGACGAAGCGCGCCAAATTGGCCCTCAAGGCGACGAAGCTGGTGGAGCTCATGATGGTCTCCGGCATTCCAACCGCATCGGGCTACGAGGAGCGCATTCGCTTTGCTGAGATGGAGGTCGTCGATCGTGGAGCCAACGAACAGGGACTAGTAGTCAATGTGCCGGAAGGCCATTTTATCAATGGCTGGGATGTCAATGTTGCAGGTGTGCGTATGGTCAGCGTCAAGAGACATGTTCGCCAGCATCGGCATGCAGAGTTTATTATACGAGTGAAGCACAACGATGAGAAGGAATGCTACGTTGCAAGGCGGTTTGGCGATTTTGCTAAGATGCACAAAAGATTGCGGCTGGAGCTTCCTGGTAAAGTTCTGCCCCCTCTGCCTCGCAAGAACAAGGCGCAATCGCTCTACAGCAATCGCGACGACGTCGATAGCGATAGCGTCTCGTCTTTATCTACACAAGACACTACTTCTCCCATCACCTCTGCTGGCCCAGAGGCGGCGGCGGCAGAGTCGAACGGGGGCATACGAGGATATTTGTCCTCATGGACCGGTGGTAACAGCAGTCGTCACGGCCGCAACGCATCGCGGAGTTCCCTCTCAGCATCTTCTCCGCGAGCTTCGACTGACAGTCCGAGAGGCTCTGCAGCTGGCCTCACGAAGGAGAGTCCTGCCGACACTGTCTTGCACCGAGAAGACCAGCGTGTATCGCTTCGCGCATTCCTCAGGAATTTTTTGTCGAATGAAGCGATAGCTAACTCCCGTGCCATGCATGAGTTTTTGACCCTCAAGCCATTTATACCCAACCAGGAGGAGAACAAGGACATTCAACGTCGCAAGAACATGGATGAGAGACGTCTAGAAGAGCAGCGCAAGTTTTTCGAAGTGGCCAGAGATCGAGCACGAGAATTGGACATTCACATGGAAAAGTTTCGACGCAGCGTCGTGGAGAGGAATGGACTGCGTGATCTATTCTCTGAGATCAAGATCAAGGACAAGCTAGCAGATCTTGACCCCGAGTACAAAAAGTTCGCCGAGTGGCTTCGTATCGAAGTCGCAGCCACTCTGTACCACATGTTCTTGGCCGAGGACAACTCGCCGGAACTGTTTGCTCAAGCCAAAAGGATACACAGCCTGGTACCGTATGGCGCGCTGAAACAGGTCATTCGGTTCACCAATCCCGCTGCGGTCATGAAAAGCGTGCTCGATATCTTCATGGCGCAACCTCTCGGAGCCAGTTCCCTGCTACAGCGTATCTTTGGTCTCGCTGTGGGTGATGGAATCCGCAGTCTACAGAGATCGATCGACGCACTCACTGTAAAGATTGATGAGCCAACCTTGACTGAAAAGATCCGGAATTATACAGAGACATATCAGGAAGTAAAGGACAACATTCGGCAGGAGGCACAGGATGACCAAGTTGATTTGCTCGTGAAAATTCTTCAGAGTGAAGAGATCGAGCCTGCTCTATCACCCGAGCAGATTGGCCGAGTTTTCAATGCTTATGTGGCTTGGGACAACGCCGTCGAGAACGTGGACGAAGAAATGCGCCAAGGTGCTGAGCTTTTTGCCAGATTGAAACAACTGCTCAAACTGAACACTCGGCAACGAGACAAGAAGATGATGCTTGAGATGGTCCAGGAGCCTAATACATTGGGACTGTTCCGTGACCTCTTCACGATCTTCTATGAACCTCTGGTTCGCGTATACAAGAGCGCGAATGTTTACAACAGCGTCACTGACTTTTCCCGCTTCGCCGACGATGCCATACAAACCATCGAAAAGGCTCAACGGCAGGACGTCAGTGCAGATCCTAACCAGACCGTGCAGAGCTTCATTGATCTATGCGAGAGGCACGAAGACGATTTGTACAAATTCATTCACGAAGTCCATCTTCACGACAATGGACTCTTCGATAAATTAATGACTTGGATCGAAGGAATCCTCGACTTCCTGCGCAACGGACCGAAGGGAGGCAAACTTGACATGAACGCTCTGGTAGCAGGCGCTCTGGAGATGAAGCAAATCGACCAGCAAGCCGCTCTCCGCGAGATCAATAGTCTGATCAAGTGGCAGACGGCAAGAAAGCGCTGGCACTCGGACAAAACACGACAGAAGATGGCTTCCGGTGGTGGAGGCGCACACGACGATGGCATGAGCGGGCTGGCCTCGACATTCCAACCAAGCGATTTCGGCCTGGATGCGCAAGATTTAGCAGATATGGATCTTGCTGATGAAGACGATGAGGAGGAGTCGGACTCGGAGGAAGATGAGGAAGACGACCCCATCGAAGCTGAACGGAGACGTCGGCGGAAACGGCAGGATGTGCTCAAGCGAACTAGCGGAGAGCCTGTCAAGCCGGAAATTCACGAACTACAAAAAATGATGCCGCAGTTCTTGGCTATGCTCCGGATGGTATTGGCGGAATAGAGCGTACAGGATAAATGGTACACTAGCACGGGCCTAGATAAACGGCATGATATAGGTAATCAACAGCAAAGAGCATTATTAGGTTTGCCGGTATGACTCTTTCATCCAATCAACACTGGAAACCGTCGTAGCTTCAACACCTCGCCTCATTGATCAATTAATTGTGTTAATGTTGATTGTTGATGTTGATACTAATGACTATGATGATTGGTGGTGTCAATGCCGTGGTTCTAGCGCGTTAGTTCGGTCTTCCGATCATTAGTTCTATTGCGTCGTCCGGACGACTCGGAACAACGTCAGGCAGCGCGAAAGCAATATACTACTACCTTCATATACCTAGTATCTACACTGACGAGCCAGAAATATCAGATGAATCACAACTGTGGCCTCGTTCGATATACCACATCCAGCTACATGATCCGCACTCTTTAGCTTGCAGGAGAATACAACAGCACTGCAGTCAACATGGACCTAGGCCGCCCCGTGAACCCGAACAGCTTTTCCTCGAAACTGGTCGCCAGGCTGGGGAAGACGTTTAGAAAAGAGGAGACGTACAGCGAAAGCAAGGAGGCTGTTGAGAAGCGCAAGAGGAAGGAGAATAAAAAGCTGCGCAAAAGAGGCCCCGGCCCCCGGTTTGCTCCAGCAGACGATGTGAACGAGCTGGGAGAGAGAAGCTATGATGTCTTCGGCGGCCAGCACACCATGGCGGGCACGCGGAGGAAGACGCTAAAGGAAAAGGAAAAGGACCACGGCGAAATGCTGCACGGCATGAATGACTCTGCGGAAACGCTGGTCGACCAGGCTGTCAAGGAGCACAAGGACGCCAATGCTGTCCGGCGGCGCAGACGACAAGGTATGCTCATGTCGCCTGAGCACGAACAGCGCATCGCTTCTCTCCCAGACGAGCTATGGAAGCGCATCGCCGGGTACCTCAATCCCATCGATGCTGTACTACTGGCACAGTCGAGCAAGACATTCAGGCGGAAATTGGGTATTCTGCCGTACCAGTCACTGAACCAGCCCGAGAACAGGCATTACAAGCACACATTTCTCCACTCCATGGACGAGCAGTATCCCGATCATCTGTTGTGCTTTCCATGCAGCCAATTCCACAGACGCACGCAAGCAGGGAAAGAGATGCTGAAGATGGACTATGTCGGCAATCCGATCTTCTCCTGCCCTGCAGTGAAGTCCTCCGTTCTACCACGAACTCGACTCACATATGGACGCCAACTGCCGTATGCTTTCGTCCAACTCGCGTTGCGTGCAGCTCGCTATGGCCCCACGTACGGCATTGACTTTAATAATCTCGCCCGTCGCTGGAAGTGCAAGGACAGCGGCTGGTCTCACCACACTCGCTACATGATCCACGACGATCGCCTGTTGATGCGAGTCGTCTCGCAAGCCTTTGCCCCGCCAGCCAAGGAACTCACGGAAACCGCTGAACGCCATATACTCTACGATCGTGAAGAATATACGCCCTTCTTTTCTGTTTGTGCGCATTGGCGTGATGGCGACCTCATGCGAATTTGCAAATGCATGTTATCGCATGTCCCATCGCCTCCCGATCCCATCCATAAGCAACTGCAACGAGGTTTCATCATTGATCGTGCAGCTGCACGACCAGACTTTATTGTACGAGGTTGCGATGAGTGTAGACCGGCGAGAAGATGTCCGGAATGTCCCACTGAATATCTGGTCGAGGTTCGACTGCTGGAGGATAAGAATGACAAGGACTTTGCATTCAAGCATGCGATTGTGGTGACGAGGTGGAGTGATTTGGGAGATGGAAGCAGTCCTTATACGTCTCCTGAGTGGACAGCGATCAATGGAGTGGAGAATCAGAGGGAGAAGCAGGGTTATCAGAGCTTCAGTAATGTTGGAAGGAGAGCGGTTGGAGGGATTTTCGAGAGCGCCATGAGTGGACATATCCCGGGTCAACGCCTTTTGAGCTTGAACCCGAAGAACCAGAAGCTCGGTGAAGATGGGCATGGGTGGTACTAGCAGTACTGCCATTTTCGCAAGAGTGAGGTATCATCATCATCGCGCTTGCGCTCAGTCTGACACATAGTGCAATTAATCTCTTATTTCCAGAAGTCTTGCTCATATGTAGCAACTTGGTCTATGAAATATATTTCCCGTCACATTCCTCTCCAAGAGATCAAATCACAATGCTTCGCCAATCCCCCATCCCAAAAAGACTCAACCATACTTCGGTACAGTCCCAGCCTTGTACCTCCTTCTCCCCATAACAGCCAACACACACCACACGACAGAAGAAAGCAACAACAACCCCGTCGCAACCCACGTAATGACAAGAAACTTGTTCCCTCGATCCGCACTCACCCCGACCTCTCCACCATATTTATTAATCGTCCTCGCCCCTTTCACCGCCACAGCAGTAGCAATCGCACTCGCAATCCCCAACGTCACAAACGCCATCCAATCCGCTATCACATTCAAAATCGCACTCAATCTGCCCGCGAAAAATATACTGGCTACGGCTGCGAGTAGTGCTATACCGATAAATCCGATGGCGATGCAATAGAGGACAAAAGTCGCTTTTGCGGCTATGCGTAATGCGTTTAATCCTGTGGAGATGTCCGAGGGCCAGTTGAGATCGGATAAATCAATTCCTGTCTTGGATGCGTCGAGTTCTTGTTGGAGAATTTTTTGAGGGTTGAAGTTGTAGAGGGCTGTGCGGTTGGAGCATTTGGTGATGTTTTTTTTCGCGTCCTCATCATCATTGTTGTTATTATTGTTATCGTTATCGCGAGTGTTGTTGTTGTTGTAATAGTAATACCCTTCGCAATAAGTCATGAGATGTGCCGAGTAAAAATCATGAATACCCAATTGTTGCGCCACATCGGTGATTCCGTCTTGGATTTCGGATTCGATGGTGTTGGAGATGTTGTCGAGGAAATTGACCAAGGGGTTAGAGGAAGATTCGGTCGTGTTGAAGATGTTTTGGCCGAGGCGGGACGTGTTGAGCTGTTAAAAAGAAGAGGGTTTTAGCAAATTTTGACCTGAATGTCTGGTATATAGATGGAGTGATATAGATGCATATTTGTGAAAAGGAAGGGCGAAAAAAAAAGAGAGGATGAAACATACCGTAAGAATAGCATAGTCTTCCATAAACCCGCGTCGGGAACCCGCAAAGAGGCATAGGAAGGCCAACACGAGAGACGTGATACACAAAGCAATTGGTAGCAATGCTAGAAGTCGCATGTTGTTGTTATTGTCGCTATGCGCGAGAATCCACACGCAAATGAACCTGATGTTCGTGTCCAGGAAAGACGACTCACACGGGGGCAGAGACTGTGATATTTGTGCACATTTTCTCCTTCAGGATCGTCAAATTCACTCCTTGCATACACCTCCTAAAACCTGCAACAATCAGGCTTCCAAAGTGAACAAGTTGGAGTCATCAGTCACATGCGCCGTCCAACCACCGATGACGTGTCAAGTAATGGCACAAATGCAACAGGGGCTGACCTTGTTGGTATCTTCTGTCCGGCTTCACTATTCGCTCCGTGCCAAATATCGTTTAAAGCCTATTGGTTACGCTTAACATTAACATGGATGTGACGCCGCAAGATTACAAGAACCAAGGCGAACTGGTCGTGGGCCGAAGAAGAAGCGGGCTTGGTTGATGAATGCTTAATCGTTAGGACAAAGGAGTACACCAACGTCGACTACCTAAAAGTTCTGCCTCATCACCTCCGAGATCATTTTCAAAACAGGTTCTCCAATGTGTGTCATCAAAGAGTGCTCTTTGATGGGTTTCTTGGGCTTCGAGGCACCGCCTTCTCAGCGGCGACCTCGTCGTCTGTCGTATGGATCATCCTCGCTGCTGTGCCATGAACCACTGGCGACCGTGCTCCCATCTTCAACGTCCACGCTTGCGCTTCTCTTCTCTTCTCGTACGTAAGGGCCGTAGCCATCGTGGGCTGGGTGGCCCGTGTGCCGGCTCTGACTACTCTGGCTACTATGCTCGACGTTCAGGCTGGAGCTCTTTCTTTCCTTTTCCACAAATGGGCCATAGCCACCCCGTCTTGACTTTGGCATCATTTGCTCTCGAGTCGGACTTTCGCTGAGAGGAGGTGGAGGCTGTGTACCGTCACTGGCTCCTCCAGCAGCCAGACCAAGAGGTTGTGTGGCCTTGCGCTGTAGTGCAACCGGGTCTCGACGAGGAGCGCGGTTTGGGACGTCGTTGCCCATACTCAGGCTGGCTTCTTGACGACCACGGTAATACCGGAATTCGGACGAGCTCGCATCGCTTTCGGGAGGGGTAGGCGATATGTCTGTGGTTCGTTAGCGTGTGGCTTGCTGTGGTGCTGTGCACAAGCGTGACCTACCCAGTTTCTTAGAAAAGTGCACACGGCTCGAAGCGTCACTAACCCGGCGGCGTATGCTCTCCAGATGGTTTCTAGCTCCAGTAACAGCATGCTCGGGTGAGTGCGGTACACTTCGGTAAATGAGATATTCGTTGCTCTCCTCGTATCGAGGTGCTGAATCGCGTGGCTGGAGGGTTCGCGAAGTGATGGGTGTCACAACACGACGTACGTACTCATACTCACGATCAGGGGAACGAGGAACCGCTTTTTTCTCCACTCTCGAGTGAGCAAGCTTGACTTCCGTATCAGTATCTGGGGCTTGTTGCGAACCCTCGTGGGCCAGATGTTGTTGATAGATAACCGTGTCCACAGTTTGAGACTGTGCCTGACTGCGGTCCTGGCGACTGTATTCTCGTTGAAGTTCGTCAACTCGCCTGGGGAGCTTTTCAACGTCGGCAGCTGCTGAGGTGCTTCCGGGCTTGGCGTTTTGAAAGGGCTGCCCACGGGCGGAAACGTGGCGATAGGCATGAAGCTTGCGATCATCGACTGGCATTTGCGTCTTGTCTGAGAGTGCAGCCGAGAGCGAGGAAGTCGTTGAGGCGACACTATCGCGAGTCTTCCTGTCCGCGATTACCTGGCTTTGCTGTAGGTTGCTCGCATTTAACTCATTTGAGGTTGAAGATGTTCCGATAGTGGCTAGAGCAGAGTCCCTGCGCGGGATCGACTGCGATGCTTTCCACGGCAGCTCAGCTGTGACGTCTCTATCCTGTTCAATACGGCGTTCGACGGGCACGCGTTGAATTTCGACGATCCTGCCATGAGCGTAAGGATCTTTGTGCGCTTCAATCTTTCGCTCCAATCGTCGATACCTCTCGACCTCTTCCCTTGCCAGTCTACGTATCTCAGGCTCGGTATAGGTTGTTGACCGAACTTTGGCCTTCGAAATTGATGATTCGTGGGCGGAACTGGAATCACAAGCGCCGTCGTTGGATATGCCCCCTGGTGTGTGATTGAGCATCACCACGACTTCCGTTTCATCCTCTTTTGGAGGAGGAGGAGGGATAGTGACCCTACGGAAATGACCTGCAGCTTGCTGCACGTCCATGTCTAACTCCGGAGGCGAAACAACTGCACCAGGGCCTGTGTTGGCGGGCGATTGTCTGTAAACCACCTCTTCTCGAGTCGTGTTCCCAGCAGGGCCTGTAGGTGGATGAGGCGGCTGGGGTGGTTGGGGAGGTTTTGGCTGGCGGACGTATCTGTAGACTACACTTTCTCGAGTCTTGATTGGAGGCGTCACATTTGAGCCACTGCTGCGCACATCGTCGACCTCATATCTTATCGACCCGTCCATCTCGAGCTCAAGCCACTCGGGCTCCTTCAAGATACGTTGAGTACGTCTGTGAGTCCCGGGGTCTTCTTCCGGCACGAAGCTCGCGACACCAATCCTGATGTCGTTACTTCTTCCTTCTCCAACAACATGGACGTCGAGGCTGCGATCTTCCTCGACTTCCACTACCCGGCAGCGTCTACAGATGCCGCCGGGCGGTGGGTGACCATCTATCGGGATTGGGTGTTCACGATGGTAGCGTGCACTGCGAGGTTTCCTGCAGATGCAGCAGATGTGGTAGACGGCCAGCGGGGGCACATCGCTAACGTCTGTGACTGCGGGTTGGCGTGACGAGTTCATGACTGTGGCTATGACAGACTTCGAGTCGAAGGGGGGCTGGTGGCGACGCGGCTTCGTCGTCGTTGATGGTTCACTGGAGGTACTGCTGGAAGTCGCGACGCTGCTGGGCGCGTCACACTTCGACGAGGGAGGTGGCGGTGGCGGTACTCTCGTAATTGTTTTGTAGGTGTAGGCGTGTTCCTGTGGCGGCATTCTCCTCAATGAATGCAGGCTAAGTGGTCAAATGCTGTGTTGGTGATGTCGGCGGTGATGTCGGCGGTGATGTCTGAAGAGGCACTCAGGTCCTAATGTAGGTGCACGCAGTTTGGATTGGGTTCGAGGTGGAAGCGTGTCCAAATGAAGGAGCGACCGCTGTTCAAAGCTGTTCTCCCCGGTGGAAGGCGCCTTCTGCGGTAGAAAGTGATTGGAAGTGACCTCCTGCCTCACCCTTCCTTCTCGGTTGAGTGAATAGCAACTCTCCAGCACCTCAAGCACACAGTCCACGCACATAACGGCTGCAAATGCTCCACATGTCACCAACACGGCCATCTATGCATAGCCAGACTACATGTACGTGTGCCCTCCCTATACCGTGTTGGTCCCGCCATCAACCAAGACACGACGGATCGGACGCCCAACACAACCCATCCTGCTCTGTCGCAATCATGGCAGCAGATGTGCTACCTTATACTTTCCATCTCAGTGTGCCTTAATGTCACTCTCCAATGACATAGGTGCAGCCCGCGCTCCCTACAAAAACTTCATGTCGCCTCTTTGCATCGACGTCCAGCCTGCTGCCCGGACCGAATGTCTCTTTACTTGGGTTCGCATCGTCTGGGTAGGTGATTGTAAGCTCGCCCGACAGGATCAAATGAGTAGTCAAGCCCGCGTGGGCGTGCGGTGGATAGTGCGCGTTGCTTAAGAGACTGTCAACTTCGTTGCCCGAGAACCACGCATGCCTACCAGCTAGGAGGTAGGTACTTATGTATGCGAGTGTAGACTTACGCCCGGTCGGACCACGTAAAGACATGCTGGAATCCCCAGCTGCTTACTTGTTCTTCAGCCTCTTTGCGCGACATGTTGCAACTCATGGTCATCGGCTGTGGGTGTATGCGCTTATAGAATATACTGTCCTCTTTTAAAAGGGTACATGTAGGAGGTCAGGTAGACTGATGCAGATGATGGGTCGTGACCACGAGGGAAACCAGCGTCATCCTACATCTTGGCATTGCGCCCAGCCGCCAGCGAGACCTACCTCCTACTTCACCGCAACTTGCAAGATCACAACTTCATGTTCGCTAGCTGAGCTCCGCAGTGCGACAAGTCCTATCGGTGATATAGCATCGCTCCATCGGGCATCAGCTTGCTCGTCGCCGCTGCCTGTCGTTTGCACTGCGATCAGGGAAAGTACATCGCAGCGCAGCAGCGTAGCTCGCGTGTGACTTGATAAAGCAAGCTCATATTCGCCTGCTGTGAGGACTCTGTGCTTCGAGATTTGGAAACAGGACAGGACAGGACAGGACAGGAACAACAGCTGGCTAGCCGTCACGCGATGGCTTCCAATCTTGCGTTGTCCCCAGCAATCACGAAATATGCAACTGCAGTCTTCGAGCAGTCTACTCTCGGCTCAGATGTAACGCTCGAAAGCTTTCTTCAACGTCTAGACTCGCCGGAGTCATCGGAGCCGCTGCCAGTGCAAGCTGATACTTCGCACCCTCTTCCACACTACTTCATCTCCAGCAGCCACAATACCTGTAAGTCTTGCTTGAAAATTTGGCTGCGTAGCAATCTGTAATCTCATGTGACCTCAGACCTCTCTGGGAATCAGCTCTGGTCGAAATCGAGCGAGGAATCCTACAAGCACGCCCTTAAGCAGGGCTGTCGTTGCATCGAGATTGATCTCTGGGATGGAGACTCACCGTCGTCCTCTGAAGCGGAGGACGACAAGAGCCAAGCGAGCGATGCAAACGGACTGAGCGGATTTCTGAAGAAGAAGCTGAACCGACTCCGCTCACGATCGGATCCCAAGCAGCCTACACCAGACTCGCCTGCAACTGACGATCTGATGCCCACACCGTGGAGAACAACCTCTGATCGCTCGGAGCCGGTCGTGTACCACGGTTATACGGCCACGAAAGAGATTTCGTTCAGAAAGGTTTGTTTACTCACAGTCCCGCTGGGCGCTCGCTCACAAAAGGATAGGTATGTGAAGTGGTGCGCCTATATGCCTTCAAGACGACGGCACTTCCTCTCATTGTCAGCCTAGAAGTGCATTGCAGTCCATCGCAACAAGAGATTGTCTGCGAGCTTATGCACGATTATTGGAGTGAGTTCCTTCTCAAACTCCCAGATGACTTTTCCGATACGACACCACTGCCTCCACTCGAGAGTCTCAAGAGGAAGATACTGGTAAGCTGTTTTGTTTTCTTCCCAGCTGCGGCATAGTATGGCAGAATGCCATGGGCCCGTGTTGCGACGGTGTTGGTGGTGAGGATTGTTGAATTGCGCTAAATCCTTGGCAGGTCAAGGTCAAGTTCGTGGCTGCACAGAAAGCAAGAGCAGCACAAGCCGATAATGATGATGAAGAATCATCAGCTGCGGATGAAGAGGTCGAGGCCACGAAGAAGAGCAAGATCATCGAAAGACTAGGAAGCATGGGCATATTCACACGTGCTTTTCATTTTCGCGGCTTTGACGATCCGACGGCAACTATTCCCACGCATGTATTTTCGCTCGGCGAGAGCAAGCTATTGGAAGCTTGTGAAGAACAGCCCGAGAAGCTGTTCAAGCATAACCTTCACTATTTGATGCGCGCCTATCCCAAAGGAACACGGCTCCGCTCCACAAACCTGGACCCTACGCCTTTCTGGCGCCAAGGAGTCCAGATTGTTGCTCTCAATTATCAACGACTCGATGCTGCCAACATGCTTAATTTCGCGCAGTTCGAATCGACAGGTGGCTACGTCTTGAAACCGAAAGGCTACTTGCCAGTAGAAGAAAAGGTCGAGCAGCCAAAAGCAGGCCGAAAGTCTCTCGACCTGTGCATTCGGGTGTATGCTGCACAAGCGCTTGGCACATCGAACAGCGTCCCGGATGCCTACGTCAAATGCGAGTTGCACATTGAGAGCAAGGCAGAATTTGAGAAGAATGTGATTCCGAAAGAGGGACAGAACAAGGGCGGGGAGTGGAAGCGCCGAACCAGAGTCCATGAAACGAGAGATCCCGAGTACGACGAGATGTTGGATTTCAAAGGAGTGCACAGTATCGTGCCCGAGTTGTCTTTCGTCAGGTACGTTCCTTCTCTCATTTCCACCCAATCGCCGTCATCCATCTTCCCCTCAAGCGCCTTCACCGCTTTTCCTTCGGGCTTCTGGGAACGAGAAGCTGGTCAGGATGAGCGAGGTAGGTAACATTGCACGTACGGCTATCTGCACATTGGTGCCCCGGGTCACACTCTGGACTACGGTCTCGCAAGATGCTTGTGCTCAGGACGATCTGGAATGCAATACCGCATGGCGGAGCGGGTGTAATGCTACTAGTGGGCGGGAAGAAGCCATCCGAATCCTGATTCTGGGGATGCGATCAATCGCTCTCGAGGGTCTCCAGTGCACACGGTCCACGGTCCACGGTCCACGGTCCATTAATTAGCGCGCCTGGAAGCGTGGAGCCGCGCATCTCCGTGCGATGGTCTGCAGTACGGCACAAGCTTCTGATACTGTGGACCACCCAAGCATTGCACGCGCCAATCTGACGAATACCCAGCGTGTGGGCGACGGGAGTTTGGTAGATAAGCTCGTTTATCGTGCGGCAGGGCGGCCGTGCCACTGCCGGCATACAGCGCTTACGCAGTGTCAGCCAGGGATCCTCGCTAGTTGCCAATTGATATTCGACACGTCCGCGCAGACCAACAATGACCCGTGCTAACAGGCGATCAGATTCAAGGTCATGGACGATAACTCCTACCAGAAGGATAGTCTGCTTGGGTGGGCATGCTATCGATTGGACCGGATGCCGACCGGACTGGTCCTGTTACACCTGCGAGGAGAAGACTACAAGGCCAATGGCGCAAAGCTGTTGGTGCACACGAGTGTCCAGTGGATGGAAGAGCAGTGAGATAACGAGGTTACGGTATGACTTCAGCATGTGCGCCGTGTCGCTCGATGCTGACGTGTGCATAGAGTTTGCATAGGTCAGGTAGGTAGGTAGGTAGGTAGGCATCATCAAGGACATGGCAAAAGTTCGGTGAGAAGCAGCAGTACCTCACTCGCACTACCTCTCTCACCGCACCGGATTGTCTTTTGAGACGTGTGGTAGGTAGCATCATACTACCTCGTAGCATGGCTACCTACTCTCACTAGTGATTCAGTGACCAGTCACAAGTCACGGCAGATTTCCAGCGACCAGGTAGCTTCGTGTCTTTTGCTCGGTTCGCTGTACTTGTGATGAATGTACGTACCTTCCTCACGGTATGCACGAACGCAACAGATGTATCCAATTGCTGGGAATGGTCGGACAGTCACTGCCGGCTGCCGCGATCCATAATAGTCCGGCAGCCCTGCAGATAGTTGTAGGTACAAATGTACATGTACGTTTATAGGTACCTGATGATAGGTAATGATGCGATGAGAAAGAAAGCCGAGAAGGGCCATGTCTGCATTTGTGTGGCAGCCTGGCAGGACTCGGATGGCACGTACCAGATGCTGCCCAGCTCCCACCCCCGAGAGCAATAAGTAAGGTATTTATTGTTGGCTACCAGGGAGGAGGATGCGGAGGAGGAGGAGGAGGTTGACGCATCGTATTCATCATAATCCATACATGAATTGTACATGTCGGTCTACCATACCGCCCATGCGGCCTATGTGAGAAAAAAAAAAAAGACAAAAAAAAAACTGGTGGCAGGACAGTTTTGGAGTAAGCGGCAACGAGTAACAAGGACCGGGACTGGGATCGGGCTTCAGGCTTCAGAGTCTCAATCTCTCATCAAGGTTCCCAAAACAGACACAGCAGGGACAGGGATGTGGCATCGATCGGGTTATCTGGAGGAACTCTCTTACGGTTCTCTCTCACAGTCTCACTCTCACAGTACAGGTTAGGTAGTCTCACACGTGACACCATACCACTTACTGCTGACTTTGTCACTTTGTCACATTACCTACCTTTTACCTCCTAGGAGGTTGGAGGTAAAAGGTAAAAAGTAAAAGTGGTGTAACAGCCCAACGCTCGCACCTTTTTGTTGCACCTTCGCACACGTTGGGACTCATATCTACCTGGTAGGCTGTTAGCATCTGGCACGGGCGGGCAGTCTGGCACACGGCTTCCGACACGCGAAACTTGGCCCTTTGTTGCACTACTGTACGAGGATGTAAGTAATTGGTAAGGTAGGAGGTACCTGTACTGTATCTATACTACTACCTGTACTTTATACGCTCGGAGTGAAAGCTGACAATCGGCTTACTTGCCGGCAGACCAGTACGATTGCACCTAATCGGGTACGGCCTAACCTCTTAATACTACTATTACTAGGGACAACTTACTGTATACAGTACAACTGCCAGCTACTTTATGTAGATAGGTACACACACATACATTCTGCCGCGGTTTCGGAGGGCGGTATTGCGGTATTGACGTGTCGCCATTGCGCCAAATACCTTATCTACCTGTACCTGTACCTTAACCTGCCTTGCCGTACATGTAACGTGCCCGGTTCGACAAGACTGAGTTCGCGCTTCGCCTTTTCGTGCCTTGTCTACCGGCCATGGCTTGAATGAAGCCTGAAGGACCAACTTGGGGTTCAGGTCGGACTACCTACCTCTTACCTCTTAGTTAGCCCTCGCCAAGCCGACGCGGAAGTCGGGTCAGCTAGCAGGCGGAAAAAAGTAAAGGATATTGATGTTTAATCACGCATGCCCTGAGCGCTGTTTATTGTGCCATGTGCAGTCGAGATATGTAGCTACATGTAAGATAGTACAGGTACCTAGGTTAGGTATGTATGGACTCGATCGGTTCGATACCGACTGTCCGGCCTGTGCTTTTGGCTGGTGTCACAGTCCACGGGTGACGGGTAACGGGTGACGGGGGGGAAAGAGAGTCAAAGCAGGCAGGCAGGCTTCAAAGCTACCTCTCTACCTACCGGGCTTAGTGTTCGGATCCACCGCAGATTAGCTTGTTCGCTCTTTCTCTATCCATCTCTGTTTCTCGGAAAAATGACAGGTCACAACTGACTTCCAATTGCTACATCCGTCTGCCTGCTATCATACACTTCCCTACTGACCCGATGCTTCACGAGCCTGTACCTGCCCGCTTTCGACAATGCCAACTCTTTGGTATAAATCTTCCTTTGCTGCTCCCTTTTTTTGCTAATCGGACATCAATCGATTTCACACCACCACTACCACTTCTACTACCAACACCACCACTACTCTCCGTGCAAGACCTTCGATCAAGTTCCTCAGTCTTGTTGTCAAAGCAAATCCAACAACATCACACTTCTTCACTACCAACACTACCACCACCACGAACACCACCAACACCACCACCATGACCTACAACGCTCAACGTGAAGAGAGACTTCGTCGTCTCGGCATCGAACAACTCCCACCTCTCACTGCCTGCTCCTCCTTCGAAAGCGACACCAGCACATGCTCTCTCATCGCAGAGACCAGTTCCTTGACCATTGGCATGTCCGGTGTACGAGAGCGTCCTGTAAGTTCTCATTTCATGCCAATCCCCCCACAAAGATTATATTCTGGTCTGGTCTGTACCTTTGCAAATCTTTATATACCTTATACTGATTTGATATCTCGAACTGCTTATAGGTCCCAGGTAAGAAATGCCCAAGTTGCATTTCTCGAGGTCAGACTATTTGGGTCATTCAAGGCAAGAGATGTCCTCAGTGTGGAACTGAAGTTCTTTGAATGGTAAAGCAGGCAGTTTGATGCGTTGCTTAGAATGGAAGAAGAAGAAGAAGAAGAAGAAGAAGGGAAGAGTGTGACGTGTGATGGGAAAGACCGAATCTGGTATAAATACATCTTGTTTTTTTATGATGTTCTGTATGATTAGCGATGGAAAAAGGCTAGCGAGGTGATGTGCTTTTTTGCTTTTGCTTTTTTTTTCTTCTTCTTTTTCGGTCATTGTGTTGGTTGTTGGTTCTCGGGCACAACTCTGCCATTTCTCACCTCCAGGTGGTTGGAGAGAGAGGGAGAGAAGGGAACCTTGAAGAGTGAGTGAGGTGGTGATGATAATGGTGGTAGTGATGTCCGCGAGTGCCATTACCAATTCACTTGAAGAAGCAAAAAACAAATAGAAAAAAAAAATCCATGAAACATAAATTAGATGATGATACCTGATTTCCTTTTTTTTATATCCCCGTGTTGCCATCCATTGTTGTTGTCAAGTTGTCAAGTTGTCGTTTTGCGCCACGAAGAAATAAGCTACCTCCTAAGCTAAGAGATACCCCTTACCTTACCTCCTAATAGGATGGGATCTGCGACTGCTAAGATCCTCCTCCCTCCCTCTTCATTACTTGATTAAGGTATACAGCTTCCAAGTTACAGGTAGGTACTACCTATCTAAACTATATATTCAAACAAACGAGGAACAAACGAGTAAGATTTGATATTAAAAGTCAGGTACATGTATATAAGATAGGTAGCTGTTGTAATCATCTCTCGAGTGTACCTATAATCCTACCTTACCTAGGTACCTATAGAATGGATAGGTCGCAGACGCTATACATACATGTACATAAGGTAAGATAGGTACCGTACATGAAAAGCAAAAAAAAAGTGGAAAAAAAAAAGAGTCCACAGAAATAATGCCCGCGCTCCATATAAACCCACTGTATATATGGAGGTACATGTACATGTAATGCACACACGCACACACACAACACACACAAGTCGTATTTCTTTCGTCATTGCAAAAGCATGTAGTAGTGTACACACCTGTCCGTCGATGTTCCTTTGGAAAAAATCCTGTCCCCTACAAAACGCCCCATCTCTCTCCCCTCACCCCCCCCTATGTGGCTTTCCATGATCATGTTCAAGTTTGTGCCAATTGTGCCATTGGGCAATTTACCAATGACATTACCATTATGCGGTCGGTCCTAATACCCCACTCTCCAAAAATTATGCTACCATCCACCAAGCACCACCGAGCAGGCCAACGATTACCAAAGCCGACACAATACCAGCGCCCGCGCGATCCGCCGTGGTAATAGCACTGGGAGGCGCAAGTGGGTCCTTGTCTCCGCCGAGTCCGACGTCGGGATTAGCAGCGACGGACGAAGCACCAGTCTTGTTTCCAAGAGGACCTTGGACAGAGTCAATCAGGTTGCTCTGAATGACTTCGAGCGCATTCATCTGTTGACCGACTCCCATGGCACCATCAAAGGTACCTTCTGTCCATTTTGTGCCACAAAACACTCCACCTGCTCCGCCTGTGCAAGACTTCGCAGCTGCCGTGGCTGAGCTTGAAAGGAGCGGTATGATCGAATCGTGAAGCCAGGGAGCGACCTTGGTCGAAGCCGCCATCCAACGGGAGAGATAGGCTTTGAAGGACTGTTGATCAATGTTGCAGTTTCCCGAGGGCTCGCAAGCTACTTCATACATGACGTTGTTCTGGAAGAAGATCTTTGCGGCGCCATCAAACATGCCTTGGGTCCGTTGGCGCCACTTGTCTTGATCGGGCGTTCCTTGCGTCTAAAAATTATCAGTAAGCTTCGATTATGACTGACAGGATGAGAAGCACTCACAATATTCCACATGGTAGCTGCGCCATAGAGGAAGACACCGGCGTTGTAGGACCACTGAATGTGGTTCAGCTCGGTGCAGTTGAGTGTATCATCAGTACCGTCGTAAACAAAGTATTCGTCGCTGATCAGGCCGACCGAGCGGACCCAGTCCCACATCTTATTGGCCTCATCAGCATAGGTGGTATTTCCTGTATACAGTGCCAGACGCGCCGCAAGGTTGAAGTAGCAGCCATTAGAGATGGAGTTTTTGTAGTTGTAACCATTGTTGAAGGTGAAGATCTGCCACTTGAGTCCACCTGCACAGGACGTCGTGTCCCATCGAACAGACTGTGAATTCCAGACCGCGAGGGCTAGCGACAGCCACTGTGGTTTATCTGGTGGAGGATTGGGAAAGTTGGCTTCCGCAGCTGACATGGCTGCCATTCCCCAGAAAGCCTGGTCATCGTTACCCAACGACTTTGACTGGTTGGGAGGCATGTAGTTCTCATCAGGTCCGACCTGGAACAGCAGTGCCTCGGTCGTAACGTCGTTGTATGTGGTGTCTCCAGTATAATACCAGTAATCGACCATGGCGCCAAACATGGCTCCGGCCTCCCACCAGTAGTACGGTCCAGGTAGCAGACCTGGAATTCCTCCTGTGAGATTGCCCTTGTAGAAACTCAACATGCCATCTGCGCATGTCCGCGCCGCGCTTTTGATGCTGTTTGGATCGTTCAAATCGAGGCTAATACCGGCCGCGGAGCGCGCTGCCAGCAGAGCGCTGAAAGCCGCCGTGACCTTCATAATGGCGGTGTTTGTGGTGCTGACGCCTCAAGGAGATGGTGGCCACTCTGGCCAGAAGCGTGAAAAGGCGCACGAAGACCGCAATGCAGAGTCGCTTTCGGTGAGATCGACTCTCGACAAGCTCGCCGCGGTGTAGTCGTGGTTATGCGAGTGGCTCACGGAGGTGGCGGAGCGACCTGGCACTCGTGTTGACCGGGCAAGAGGCAGTAACGACCGCGCGCAAAGTGACACGGCGTGGCGTGGCGAAGCGAGGCGAAGCGTAGAGTAGCGGCGGTGTGAAACGAGCGGAAAGGATGTCCTCGCAACGGCGGTGGAGGAGGGAGAGGAGGAGGTACAGGTAGGTGACGGGTGTGAGTGGTGGTGGTGGGGGTTGGTGGTGGTGGTGGGGGTTGGTGGTGGTGGTGGTGGAGAGGAGGTCAGAGAGACGGCGATGAGAGACTTACGGTGCCTGCAGCCGTATGATGGCGATGCTTCGTCGTCTCCTTCGTACTTGGCTGCCTTGGCACTACGATGATCAGGGACGGTCACGCACTAGGAAGTACTGACGAGACAAAAAAAGAGTTTCCCGGCGAAGCTTACAGCCGATCGTGTTATTCTCAGCAGGGCTTTAAGGTATTCTAGAGCCAGGGCATTCATTCACTCCAGTGACTCCACGTCCAATCACAGACCCACCTGAGCCACTTTTTGCCCCGTGGGCTTCTCGCAACAACGCCGGCATTGACAAGCACTCGGTAACACTAACAAACACCACATTCTTTTCACATGGCTCGTTGCACGTCTGCTCCCCTTACATGTATCTGATGGCCAAATTCAATCAGAATCACACTGATCAATCGTCCATCACGACAGCTGCTCTCGTTCTCGACACAGGTGGCGAGTGATGTCCTCTCTGTATTTCTTTTCGCCGTGGCTGCAGCAACTCGATCCATTGATAGGTGCACCGAGATACAGGGCCTCGAGGTCAGTCCCCATTTGATTCCAGATCAGCACGAGCCGATAGCCCTCCAAGACAGGCTGAATCCCGTGTTCCAGCAAAGATGTACGATATCATCTGCCTGACAGCTTCATTGTCAATATTGAAATCAACTGCGTACAGCTCCTAGGCGTGGCGCACTGTGGTGTCGTCGACCATTGGCTGCTCTTTGTTCCCAAATAGTGCTTGATGGCTTGCAGCAACTATTCTCCGCGCGTCTCTTATGCTCAGCGGCAACCCAATAGTCGCAAACTGAAGGACGAGCAAAAAAGAAGCAAAAAACGGCGCAATTCAACAGTTAATCCTGCGATGCGCTCTGGAGAGTCCTGGCTGATATTGTTGACTGCGTGACATAGTAGTTCGTTTTGTACGGGCTGCTCGGTAGTGTAAAGTGGCCTGCTCTACAATAACTCACTGCCCGCACCTTGCTTATCATTGTCAACTTCGCAGTACGCTCGACTCATCTCGAGAAGTCTTGTAGGAGGTAGGAGGTAGGTAGGTACTGTACCGCATGTCGCTTGGCTCTAGCCAATGAACAGCCCTGTTGGAGCGACGGCCGCTAGTGGAGGTCAGCGTTACAAACATTAGGCCTCGTCTACTCTGTCGATAATTGTGTCGATAGTAAGTATGTCGATAGTTTCCGGTTACTATTGCTTACTCTATTGACACCTGTCTACTTAGCTATCGACCAAAAATGGACGATAGTTGTATATCGATAGTAAGACGCTCGAATTCCCTCGTACTCGTAGCATTCAACGTGCAAGCCCTCCATTATCCATATGCAAATAGACAGCGAGGTCTTGGCGACGACGACTTGACGTGTCGACGTATATTGCTTGACTCTAGCCAATAAGAACCCCTGTTTGAGCGACGGCCCCTAGTGGAAGTCGACGTCAAAAACATTGAGCAAATGTTCTACAAACGTTCAAATCTATACTTGGTCTTGACAGACTTGACTCGGTTATGCTGATATTTCTTGCACACAGCGCAGACTACCGCAGCTTAAACTTAGTAAACCAAGATACTAAGTTTCCTTACAGCATCTACTGCACATTCTGTTCCACATGCAAACAGTCAGCGAGGTCTTGGTGAAGACAATTGATATGTCGACCCATGTTGCTTGCTCTAGCCAATGAGAGCCCCTGTCGAAGCAACGGCCGCTAGTGGAAGTCAACCTCAAAAACATTTCTCAAATTGATTTGAGAATCAATTCTGGACTTTGATCTTAACAGCATATTTCAAGCTGCCAAAAGCATCTGATGATCTAATCTCGCCTAATCAATAAAAGAATAACCCAAATTCCCTCGCGGCATCCACCGCACTTATCCTTCCACATGCAAACAGTCAGCGATTCCATCCACTCGTACATGTCTAAACTGAAGACAATGCCCCCGAAACAAACCGTCTTCTCCGCAAAGAAGCAGAAGATCCTGCAAGAACTCAACCGACCCGAGGAAGAATACACGGACTTGTCACCCATCGGAGCTGTGGATCCCAACATCCGGCAGCTTGTAAATCAGATCAATGAGGCCGAGGGCTACGTGACGACGAGTAGTTGCGCGGGTAGAATTTCTGTTTTTCTGGAAGGAGCCGGTAATGTGAAAATCGACCATGATAATCACCATGATGGTAATGATGATGATCATGATACGGGCAGCACGAACATCTCCTCATCATCAAGTCAACAAGGAAAAGGAGGTGGAAAGTGGTTATTCGTCTCTCATGATCCGGTAAACTTGACAGATCTGAAAGAGGAAGGCAAGCTATTGGAACTATTTCAACTTTCCGCTGGGAATACGGAGAATTCCTTCTCTGCTACTGCTCCTCCTCCACAAGTCAAGGTCAGGTTTGTACATTTCAAATTCGAACCCATGGTAAGTGGCTCCTTCATCCCTCCGCACACACACACACACACACACACACACACACACACACACACACACATACACATACACAGCTATCTCATGCCCCTTCTTTTCCCTGATCTGTGGTCTTATTCTTTCTTCTCTTCGACTTCTTTAGATTCTCCACATCCTCACCTCCTCCCTCGCCTCAGCACAACACTGCCTCTCCTCCGCGCTCTCGGCGGGGTTTCGCGAGTCAGGAATTACGAGCATCACAGGCACCGAGCCAACGCCCAACGTTGGAATACGAACACAAGGCCTCGCGTTAGAAAGCATTATTGCTTGGCAGGATTCTGACTCGGGAAAGATCCATCCTATGGTCTCGGAAGCTTATCTCCGGACTTTGGTGGAGCTGGCCAATCAGAGGTTTGGTGCCAATCAGGAGAGAAAGGAGAGATTCGCGAGGGCTTTGCTACAGTCCAAGGGGGAGGAAGTGAGGAAGGGAGACTCTGGGGATTGGGAGCCGAAGGATGTGAGGAGGGAGAGAAAGAGAGAGGAGGGGTTGAGGAGGAAGGAGGAGATTCAGCGGCAACAGAGACAGAAAGCGGACGCAGAGTCAAAAGAGGGGCAGCATGGTCCGGAGAAGGAGGAGGAGGAGGAGGAGGTGTTTGGATCTTTTGGCTTGCAAGAGACTGTGGCAAATGGTGGCGATCCGCTACCTGCTGAGAAGCCCAGGATGATGGGTGAGAGAGGACACGGTCCCGTGGTGCATCAGAAGAAACATGATGCATGAAAATTGCTGGACTATTAGCTGACACCACCCCGAGGGGTCGAAGATTTATCTCAAGCCAAGACTGGCGTGCTGAGAAGCACGCCGGCAAGATTCTTTTCAGGTCTGTGTGATTGAGTCGCTATAGACAAATCTAACATGCCATTAGTACTAGAAAGCACCGGATGAGCCAACCCCTCTTGCTTTGGTCTTGTCGTGCGACTTGTTGTTGATCTTTCATACACAAGCGCGACGATAATCCTTCCAGCAGAGTGCTGCACATGCGCATTCCGCGCTACACCCTACTGTGATGTCGCTGAGAGCTATGGAAGACTTTTACCATGCCAGATCTTCAATTCTGCTGTAAGCACATGCTGACAATCGTATTGTCCCAATTCTCGACGTCAAAGAGCTCAATCATCAATGACGATCGGTGGTGGTGGCACGTACTCGGCGATGGCCTTGTCTGTCTTCTCCAGTGCTTTTTTGCACTCTTCCATGAAAGGCTTGAAGGCCTTTGGTGGCACAGCATCGCCAGCCATCTTCAAGCCCTGCCTGTGCGTGATGGGTTTTCCTGGCGTATCGCTCGCATACTGGTATGTGTCGGGAAACCCTTGAAGACGGAGTACCTCACGAAGAGTGAACTGGCGCTTGCCGTTCGGGTGCAGTGCGTGCGGTCCGGCTCTATCTACCAAATGGCTCAAAGGTAGGTGGCCAGGAGCCGGAGGCATGTTGTATGGCTTGTTGCGGTGTTTCTCGCGCATGACATCTGGGTTGTGGAATGTAATACCACGAGGCATGTTACCAATCGTTTCATTGACGGTCTTGTAGCCGCGAAGTCCTGTGCCAGGCTTACCGTGAGTTGGACAGGGAAATTCTGGAAGCTGTTGGCCAGGACTACGAAGGAGTTAGTAAGTGTTTTATGAACGAGAAAAGCATATGACATACCAAGCTGCAAAAATGATCAGCCTCTTGCGAGCTTGAGGGTTGCCATAGTCTGCAAAGCTAATCACACGCCACTCGACATCGTAGCCGACAGAAGTGAGCTGACGCATGAATAGCTGCCAATTTGCGCGATGCTTCTCAATTCCACAGAGTCCTGGTGTTTGCTCGAATGTAAAAATGCGAGGCCGAAACTTCTTTCCAGCTTCCTCCGCTGTATACGCAATGGCCTCGTTCATCTCGTCGTCTTTTCCAGCGATCGTGTGGTTAAAGGACCAGTATCGGCATGGATTCGAGGAGTGGATTACGTCGACCTGGATTGCACCGGGCTTCACCATTGCGATGAAATCTGCAACATCATTATGCATTGTCGTGCATCGGCGATGGTTCTTCTGGTGTGTGCGCACTGCGCATTTCTGGTTGTCAATGGCATACTTCACGTTTAGGCCAGCAAGTCTTGCCGCTTCCGAGACGCCTCCACTGCCACAGAAAAAGTCAAACAGACTGTATGTCTTCAGTATTGGCGTCTGGGGTGGCTTCGCAGACGAAAGTCTGTCATCGTCAGAGTCATCAAGGATGATCACGTCTGCGCTGCGCTTTCTCGATGAGGCTGGAGTAATTGATAGATCGGAGGCCTTGCGCGAAGCGGCTGCAGCCTTTGGCCGATCTGTCTGCTCACGCCAGCCTTCACGCCACTCCCGGAACAGCTCGACTGGGGACTTTCTATATTTGGGGTCGGCCTCATCAGGCAAGAGACGACGAAACGCGTTCGAGACCAACTTCTCCCTCTTTCCATCCATAATGTATCGCTTGACTACCTTCATGCGGCATACGAGGCGGGCCTCTTCCACTGCCTTGTCCTTCTTCAAATACGTCATGGCAAGAGGGCCGTCTCCGCATGGCATTCGAAAGAATTTTCGCGCCGCTCCTTCAAGATTTCGAAAAGAGAATTGTGGGAAGATTGCGTTGGTGAACACAATCTCCCGAATACACACAAATGAAGTGAGGGGTCGGTCCTCCAGTCCAGACACAAAATGTGGGCGATTGTCATCCATCGGCACCAGAATGATGGCTGCGAGCTCGTTGGTCGTCCTAGAGAACATGTTATCTAGACTCCGCTGTCGTCGCAGCAAAATGCCACGCAAGATATACGCGAGAGGGTCAGCACGGGGCAGAGCTTTGTCCCGCACTATGTGAGTGACGCGAAGGAAATCTCCATCAATCAGTTCAACGTCTTCACCTGCTTCGAGACGACCATTGCCCAGAAGAGGCGCATAGGGAGCGATCTCATGGTTGAAGGGAAGTTCATTGCCAGCGGCGTAGCGTGTGTGGTTCTCAAATTCTTGTCTAGTGATAATCTCAACTTCCAGAAGATCGCTGTCTTCCTCTTCGAAGTCTTCAGGGGTTGGTAGCGGAATGTCCTCATCATCCATGTCATACTCGGCTTGAGTGGCTGCTGGCGAGGGCGTGTCTGCAATTTCGATGGGTAGCATGGGGTGCGCTCTTCCCTTGCCTTTCGAGCGTGGTTCGTTGCCCGCATTTTCACCATCACTGTTTGTGAGATCAATTTCGATTGGGCTACCTGACATGGTACGGGAGCTATAGGGCGAGATCGTCCGCGACACTGTCTCTGCGGTGTGGGAGCTGGATGGCCTGTCGCCTGGCGGATCAAGACTTAAGCCGGACATCTTCGCGTTTGTGATTTCCAGTTGCTGCGACGACGGCAACAGTTGACTAGTGAAGCGACAAGAGCGCTTCAGTAGAGAGTAGCTAGCGGCAAGTGACCAGACCGGTTCAGTGGCGAGTGGCTAGCGGCAAGTTCCTGTGTCTGTGTCTCGCCTGAGCTGTGTTGGTGGATGCAGTTAGAAGAGCGCAGATGCAAGTGCGAAAGTCTTATAAGCCTCACTTTGCAGAAATGTTTGTTGTGTGAGCCAATCAGAGCTGTGCGTTGAGGTGGCACAAAGGTCAGCACGTCCACATCAGGCCTTTGAGCTTGTTCGCGCCGCTGTCGGCAGTAACAAACGTGTAAGAATTGGATTATCAAAGATGTCAACGATGTCAAAGATAAGCTGGACTGACTGTCAAAGATAACAATAGGGACTGACCCATGATTAGAGTTTAGTCATGCGTTTCGTTGTGAGGCAGGGCGTATCAGTAGCTAAAGAGTACTCTCAGACAGGCGAAGTGAAGTACAGTGCAGTGCAGTGAACTGCAGTGAAGTGAAGTGAAGTAAGGACGGCAAGTCGGGACTACGCCAGCGCTCTGCCCGCAGCATATGTGGTGACGAGTACCACCGCGTAGGGGAGCATGTTCCTGATTGAACGATCTTGAGGTCCGTCGTGACCTTGTCCCTCTGTATACCATAGCTCTTTTTGTCAAGTCTTCGGGCGCGATAGAGGAAAAACGTCGCTGCGACGGCGCTGCGGAGCGGAGGACGACGTGCAAGACCACCAGATACCATCGCACGCTCGATGCCGCGCGCTCAGATAAGCGGTGGAGGATGAGAACGCGTTGGACGGCGTCGACAAGACGCGTCTTGTGGTGAAGATGGGATGGCGTCGCAAGAGAAGTGATGTCGGTCGGAGTTCTCGGCTCGGCAATCAGCCACTCCCCCCGGTTCCCGTCCGTCATTTTCCTCTTCACGGCTAAATTCTTCTCTCAGCTTTTTCACTGTGCGTGAGAACGATGTACACCCACGTCCACGCAAGACTCGTCGCCAGTCTCCCGACTTCCTGCCGCCTCCTGCGCCATGCATCAATAAGACGACCCTGCGACGCGACCCTCCGTCCACGACAGCGTCCCTCGCGCCCCTCCGCCCGAGTCCCGCCCTAGCACGAAAAGAAAGAGAAGAGAAAAAAAAGGAAAATCGAGGTCCAAGTATGTCTGGCCGTGAGACGACACCGCTCCTCCTGCGCTACGATGATGAACTATGGTTTCCATATAGATGTTAGACTTAGCCGTCATGGCATGAAACACCAATCCTGATCTACATACAGCACGCCCGCTCGCTCATTTCCACCTCTCCAGGGTACGTCGACAAGTGCTGACTGCAATGGCTTCGCAGACTTTCTTGAACCACACCAACACCACGATCCGTCATGTGCGGCATTCTTGCTGTCATCCTCGCCAGCCAGACCGCTGACGCGGCACCTGAGCTTCACCAAGCGCTGTACTGTAGGTTCGAGGTGCTCGCCTGTGCAGCCATCACCGACTGACATGCGCAAAGACCTCCAGCACCGCGGTCAAGATGCGTGCGGCATTGCGACCTGCTCAAAAGGTGGAAAGATGTACCAGTGCAAGGGCAACGGCCTAGCCTCCAAGGTCTTCCAAGAGGGACGGAGAGTGAATGATCTGCCAGGATACATGGGGCTGGCACATCTGCGATACCCAACAGCTGGCAGCAGCGCGAACTCGGAAGCGCAGCCATTCTATGTCAACTCTCCATACGGTATCTGCTTTACTCACAATGGCAATCTGATCAATGCACCAGAGCTCAAGGAATATCTGGATCAAACTGCACACAGACACATCAATACCGAGTCAGACAGCGAGCTCATGCTCAATGTCTTCGCCGACGAGCTGAACGAGACTGGCAAGGCCCGAATCAATGCCGAAGATTGTTTCAGTGCGCTGGAGCGCATGTACCAGAGGTGTAAAGGCGGTTGGGCATGCACTGCAATGTTGACTGGCTTCGGCTTGATTGGCTTCCGTGACGCCTATGGCATTCGTCCCATGGTCATTGGAGAGAGGGAATCTGAGGATATCCCAGGAGGCATGGACTACATGATGGCGTCCGAGTCCGTTGCACTCGACCAGAATGGCTACACCAATATCCAAGACATCCTTCCCGGCCAAGCTGTCATCATCGAGAAGGGCAAGAAGCCCGCATTCCGGCAGGTGAGCCCACAGATGACATACGCTCCCGACATCTTTGAGTACGTCTACTTTGCCAGACCAGAGAGCATCATCGATGGAATCTCCGTCTACCGCAGTCGTCAGCTTATGGGCTACCGCCTGGCCGAGACCATCCAGAAGCAGCTTTCCCCGGAAGAACTGAGAGATATCGACGCTGTCATTCCGCTTCCAGAGACCGCCCTTGTATCGGCTTATGCTGTCAGCAAGCACCTCAAGAAGCCATACTGCCAAGGCTTCATCAAGAACCGTTACATCTTCCGCACGTTCATCATGCCATCGCAGAAAGCCCGTCAACGCGGCGTGCGTGCCAAACTAAATGCCATTCCCATCGAGTTCAAAGGCAAGAATGTGTTGCTCGTGGACGACAGCATTGTCCGTGGTACCACCTCTCGCGAGATTGTACGCATGGCTCGCGAAGCTGGTGCCAACAAGGTCTATTTCAGTAGTTGCGCGCCGCCTATCACGCACTCGCATATCTACGGAATCGATCTTGCCAGCAAAGACGAGCTTGTGGCGCACCAGCGGACCGTGGACGACATTGCCAAGCACATTGGCGCTGACGGCGTCATCTACCAAAACTTGGACGATCTCAAAGCCGCATGTGCACAAGAGAGCCCTCGTGGCCCTGGTCAGGAGTTTGAGGTTGGCGTGTTCTGTGGCAAGTACGTCACTCCTGTGGAAGACACGTATTTTGAGCATCTTGAGCGCATCCGCGGCGAGACGAAGAAGATGAAGGTGCTCGAGAGCGCGCAGCAGGCCGTCTCGCTCGGCAAGGCGGAGCCCGAGCAGGTGAAGATGGCAGCTCACGGCGTGGCTGTTGCGGAGAGTGGTGAGGTCGTTGCTCGTGACTCCGGCTCAGACGGAGAAGGTCGTCTGCCGAAGAAGGAGCGTGTCGATCGACTGTCGCGAGGTAATAGCTTTGCCGATGCCCGACCCCGACTCAACGGAGCACATGGCAGCGAGAAGCACGATAGCCAGGACATGGGCCTTCATAACCTGAACGACCATGACGGACATTTGTGAGCAGAAGCGGGCACGATGTAGATGACAATTCAACGCGACGACGGCATACGGATGGCGTTTTCGGGGTGTCTGGCGCTCATAGATGGGTTCGTGCAGGCTTGGTGCGGCATCACTGCCGCGGCACATGGGTGGCGGACGTTGTGGTAGCAGCCTCGACTGCGTTGCGCAGTTCAGATGGATGCATTCCTGTTTCGGCACATGCTCCATACCGTACTTAGGTAGTACTTGTGGCAAAATTCCATGCCTTGATACCTAATCTGCAGTTGCACAGTTGCCAAAGTGGACAAGCATAATGCACGATCGACCAGGCCTCTCTACCAACGCCACTGATGTGGCTCTACTACATGTACATGGCAGTTCCGATCTATTCCAATACTGACATGCTACCCGTGAAAACGCACGTTCCTTGTTCCTGCGTATTCGGAGATGGAGACAAACCTGTCTGTAGGTAGATCTGCAGTATGCCCATGTGAGATAGGCGAAGGTGGGAAAGGATACATACAGTAGAGCAAAAGAGAGTCGCCTCTCGGTCCGTTTCCTCTTCATCTTGGTAGGCGTTTCAAAAAAAAATTCAAAAGATCCTAGAAAAGCACATTTACACACACGTCACTAGGCCATAACACCAATGGCATATATGAATATCAGACTAGATACTTCCTGGTTCACACTCTCGCAAAGCGTGCCGGCCGGCCGGCCGTACTGCCCGTACTGCTACGTCGGACGTTATTATTATTAATATGAGGTATTGTTGTACCTTCAACCTAGGACAGACATACCTTGGACAGCAACAGCCGCTTCCACCAGCCGGCGGGACCCGGCGGTCGGCCATACAGTAAAAAAAAATCCCAAACCATCGTTTGTGCACCAAGTGTATAACCACAGCGGAAGAAGAGCAGAGCACAGCACAGCATAAGGTACATGTAGGTACCCAATATCGGACCTTCTTTGTCGCACCATTTTATTTTTTGTTGACAAGACCTGCAGAAGCACACGAACCTGGAATACCTAGTCAGTCGCTAAGAAGTCGATTATGCACAATATGTCCAACAAATGTCTATATGCACCGCGGTCTGGGGCGGTGGCGGTGACCCGAGTGGAAAAGTGGATCAAGCAGAATCATGTTTCGGCACTCACTCACTCACTCACTTATACTACCAAATATCTTCTACTATGGATCAAGACACCTACCATCTAGGAGGTAGTGCTACCAGCTATATCTCTCTCTCTGATCAGAAGCGTCTCGGATGTCGGGCTACATACTCAGCATAATGATGGCGACATGTAGGAGAGATACTGGTAAGGTAGTTCTACGGTATATCGTGGTTCGGTGATAAGATTTGCTAAGCATCATCCGCTTTCACCACTAAGAGTCTTTTTAGTACTGTTACACAAGAGAGAGCACCGCTTCCACTCCTCATCCCCCGGACCCGGGGCATTTCATGGATCTGGCTCGCCTTTATTGCTGACTTTTCGCGGGATGTGGGGAGTTCTAGACCTTTTCTACTTACCTACATACATGCCTACTTATTGTGCCTGTATACAACATCATATCTCAGCTGAATGACATTCTGCTCAGAGACAGTACGCCCTCTCGGAATACGGCAATGGGAAATGCAAGAATGGAAGCTACTGCGGTACGGTTGCGGTGAAGAAAAAGAAGCCTTCAGACGCCGCCAAAACCGCTGATCTTCTGCTTGAAACCGCTAGATCAAGTCAAGCAGCGGAATGGACAAGTCGGAATTATAGTGACGCTAGGACACTTTATAAAACATTCTGGCATCTACCTCGCAGTACCACCGAACATATCGCCGAGACTTGCAAAAGAGTTGCTTGTTCACCTGCTAGGAGCTTGTTCCCTTCTAGGCTTAACTGGTAGGCTAACTACTCACTAACTACTAACTAACTAGTGGTAGGCGATGTGGATCTCCTCCTCTTCCTCTCCTCCTCCTCCTCCCCTACCCCCGAGCCCGCCCCAGCTGGAGAAGATCCGGGCACAAACCAAAAATTTCATGGGTGTCGAATCAAAATTGATAGGTATTCCATCATCAACACCATCATCATCATCATTGTCAATGCATGATTGGCTTCTTCTTTCCGTCTTCCGTGCGTCTGTGCCGCCCATTCTATTCTCCACAAGAGTCCACAACATGGGATCCGGATGCCGTCCTCTTCTCAGGTGACATGTCACCGTGGTACCGTAGCATTGTCGATCCCTCCCTCCCTCTGTCTTTCTCTCTCTATATATACAAGGACGGGACTTCCTACCGCCCTTCAGTAGCCACGGTCTCCCATCATCCATATCGCCGCCATCCACAACAACCATGTGGGGAATGAAAGATCGCTATTTTGGCCTGCGAGGCGGATGGCTCACCTTCTGGGTCACTGTCGCTTGCGGCACGGATATGACGCTGTTTGGTTACGATCAAGGTGAGTGGGAGGACGACTGTAAATTCATTCAAACAAGTCCGATCAAACTGACAGGAGGAAACCCCCCAGGTGTCTTTGGTGGTGTTGTCGTAACCGATGATTTCTTGGTATGGTCCTCACTGCATACATACCTTAGGCTTCGAGAAGATCAAAAGAAAAAAAAGCATGGCTAACACGATACGGTGGGTGTGGATAGGATCAATTGAATCTACGAAACAATAGCAGTCTTCTGGGTACAGTGACGGCCATCTACGACATTGGCTGTTTCTTCGGAGCCATCATGGCCTACTTCATCGGTGACAGACTCGGAAGGAAAAAGACGGTATTGCTGGGCACGACCATTATGAGCATTGGCGCCATTCTCCAAATCACCGCCTATTCAGTCCCACACATGATTGTCGGCCGCGTGGTTGGCGGCATCGGAAATGGACTCAACACCAGCACTGCACCTCCATGGCAAGCCGAAACGTCCAAAGCAGCGTGGAGAGGCAAACTCATCGTCATCGAACTCATTCTCAACATTGCCGGCTTCTCCCTCAGCAACTGGGTCACCTACGGCTTCAGCTTTCTCGGGGGAGGTGTCGCGTGGAGAGTCCCACTAGCGCTCCAATTCATCTTCATCGCCATCCTCTACGCCACCGTCCCCTGGCTTCCCGAGTCTCCGCGCTGGCTGGTTCAAAAAGACCGCGTCGACGAAGCCGAATTGATTCTCGCCGATGTCGAAGGCACCGACATTATGGATCCCTACGTACAAACCGAACTCAGCGAAATTAAATTCTCCATCCAATACGAACGAGACCACTCTGTCCGCGTCCGTGATCTCCTCCGAGGCAAATCCTCCGGCGACCCAGCCGCTGGAACCGCAACGCTTCGAAGACTCATTCTGGGAATGGGCGCGCAAGCCATTCAACAACTCTCCGGAATCAACGTCACGAGCTACTATCTCCCCACCGTGCTCATCGAATCCGTCGGTTTCTCCAATATGATGGCCCGTCTCCTCGCCGCCTGCAACAGCGTCAGCTATCTCCTCTTTTCTCTCATCGGAATCCCCAATGTCGAACGATGGGGTCGTCGTAAAATGCTCATTTACGCTGCTCTCGGCCAAGGAACGTGCTATATGCTCATCACCATTCTCTTGCGCTACTCGGAATTGCCCGGGTATGCGTATCAGAAGGAAGTCGCTTCTGCGAGTGTGGCGTTTTTCTTCTTGTATTATGTCTTTTTTGGAATTGGAATGCAAGGTGTGCCGTGGTTGTATCCTGCCGAAATTAATGGTTTGAGTATGAGGAATAAAGGTGCTGCGTTGGGTACTGCTACGAATTGGATTTGTGAGTTTTTTCTTCTTCCTTTTTCTTTTTGATACTCAAAAACTAACATTTCCCTCTTCTTCTAGGTAATTTCATGGTAAGTCTCAACGAGCAAGAAAGAGCTTCTAGCAGGCCTCCCGAAAAAAAAAAAAAAAACAAATTTGTTCTCAAATCAGAGAGGCGAAAAGAAGAGAAAAATAAAAGAAAGAAAAAATCCCTCAACTAACTCCAAAACAACAGGTCGTAGAAATCACCCCCATCGGAATCCGCACTCTCGGCTGGCGCTTCTACATCATCTGGACCGTCTTCAACTTCAGCTTCGTACCAGTCGTATATCTCTTCTTCCCCGAAACCGCCGGCCGCACACTCGAAGACATCGACGAATACTTCCGCACGCACGCGAGTGGGAAGGATATTTTGGTGTACAAGGATAAAGAGGGAACGCAATCGACGCGACCATTGCGGTATATTGAAAAGGAAGATGGTCAGGTGCGCAGGAGGAGTAGTGTGAATCCTCGAGCGGCCGCCATGGCCGAGCAGGATGCGGAGAAGGGTGTGGGATTGCCGAGTCATTCTTCCGAGGAGAGAATAGAGGTGAGAGATGGCAAAGATGCCAAGTGAAAGAAAGGGAGAAAAGAATAAAATTTTTAAGGCTTCTTTATAAAAAGGCTGGTAGTGGAACCAAGCTCGATATCTTCATCATCATCATCATCATCATCTATGTGCACATTCACAGCATCAGCCACACTTTCGTCGGAACAGGCTCGGACCAACCCTTCTGCCCGCAACCGTATTCTTCAGTGCTGACAGCTCTTGCTTCAAACCCTCGACTTCCCCCTCCAATACCAGAACTCGAGCTCGCGTCTCAGGACATTTCAAACACGTAAAGCTCGCACTCCTGACGAGCCTTGTTCGCATGCATGTATCCATGGTTCCATCTTCTGATCCCAAGACAGTCACAAATTCATTCTTCCTCACCGGCCGGGAATTCAATGGTGATGCCTTCACAGCTTGTGCTCGTGCTCTAGCCCAGGGGGATTTTGATACAATCGCGGGATCAGGAGCCGACAAGGGTGACGCGGCAATAGGCTCATGTCCACCCCGGAGCGAATTGCGGCGATGGAAAGGTTTGTTCGGATATCTCCTTTTTTTCACCAGTGGGGAAAGCGAAGACGATCTTGGAAACAGCTCTCTGACGCCCTCGGACTGCGCTGCCATTGGCAACAGAGCCCCTTGAGCTGTGCTGATTTCTGTCTCCTCTGCTCTGCAAGCGGGTTCGAAGTGGCTGGCGGGGGAAGGAGAATTTTCCTTTTGGACGCCAAGAACCATAGAAGCTTTCCGTTCAGATGTGACATCCTCTGGGCTACGCTTTGGTTGCTGTCGTGGCGCCATCTCATTATCATCATCATCGTCGTCGTCGTCAGATGTGAGCCAAACATCGTCCTCTTTGCGACCGTGCTTGGCCATCCCGCTCATGCTACATGCGGAGGAGTGCACGCCAGGCATTGCTTCGCGATGGCTGGTATCCGCGGCAGTATCTCGTCCCCCAGATAGGAAATGAGCATTGTCTAGCTCAGACACAGAAGCCGCCATCTCACTACTTGCAACTGTAGCATCGCCAATATCCATGGCACTAGGCTTGAACGTAATGTGACGATCTCTCGACCCGACGGGCGGCACTTGCGCGTTGGGACGACGATCTCTTTTTAACGAGCGTTCATTGCTCAGATATTTGCGACCTGATACTGAGGCCGAAGTGGAAGTGCTTGCATCACTGGTAGCTGGTAGCGAAAAATTGAGTCTCAGGGGTCTGGCTTTGCCAGCTTTGGCAACCGATGCAGGAGATCTCTTCATGAAGGTCTGCTGTGATAGCCGGGGTCGATCGCTGTGTGGACTCGAGACCTGCCTGTAACCACTCCTCCCTGCAACATCCCTTGATGGCGAGACCGAGTCCGAATGTCGACTGGAAGGCAGAGGTGCTGGACCGGACCGCTTGGGCACAGCAGCTAATTCATCCGGATGAAAGGTCAGCTGGCGCGTCACCTGCGGCTGTTGAGCGCTGCTCCGCCGCAAGGCTAACGGCAGTCCAAGGCCGCTCATATCCTCGCGCTCGTTCTTTGGCGTCGACTTCTCAGGGCCCTTTCTCATGGGCAACTCCGAACTACGAGCTCCATGCATGGGGTCTATCACTGCGTCCGAAGCTTCTTTGTCAAATTGACCAAGGTGTGCACCACTAAGAGCTTGTGGCGATGCGCCATTGATCCATTCGACGCTGATGACCTTCTCTTCTCGCGAACTGACCTTTTCTGACGCGAGCATCAGACCAACTGCATCGTACACCTGGATAGCTCCGTTCATGAGCCCGACAGCTATGAGACTATCACTTATGCCATCATCCATGTCCTGCTTACTCTTTTCTGTATTGGCGCCACTGCGACTGGTCTGCGACTTTACATCGCCACGGTCCGAGAGGACAGAAATCGCTGTACAAGGAGCCCTGCAGTTCCAGGTTCGAAGTATTGCTCCACCGTTCGCAAAGTCGATGATCCTGCATCTGCCGTCTCGCCCAGCAGTGACTGCCCGCAGCTTGTAGCCCGGAATGAATGCGATGCCGATTATAGGTGTGGCAGCATTGAAAGTGTCCAAAGATAGGTCGCCGGTGATGACTTTGCGATGCAGATTTGTTAAGCGAGAGATCTCACCATCGTTACCCGCCACTTGAGTGGTGTATCTACCAGCGTCTCGTGATACTCTCGTGGCATCATAGGCAGCTACAGTAGCATCCTGAAACGCAAGCATGAAGATGCTTGGCCTTGCAGGATGGAATGCTGCAGCGCACACTGGGGCGTTCGATGCATTCGGCTGCATGAATGCGCCCGCCGTAGTGCCCGCTAAGTTCTTGAGGTATACCACTGGGGGGATACTGGATGCTGACACCATCAGCTGCTCGTTAGGCGATATCGCAAGTGCCACTGGCGCACTTGAATGCTTCTGTACCGGCTCAAGCAGTCGTGACCGCTCCGTGCTGTATTGCTGTATGCGTCCATCCGAAGCAGTCGATAAGAAGAGTGACTTGGCATCATTGGAGTATTGTAGATGGCGGACCTCTTCTTGTGGAGCGCTCAATCCCCAGCTCTGCTCCTTGCCTCTTTTAGTGTCGTGCAGGACCACGACGTCCTTGCTGGCCACTGCTAGAATGCCCGACCCATCTTTGGCTTCTCTTGCTGCCACAATGCCATTTCTGCTACTTTGGAAGACCTTGCGAAAACCCGACGCGTCCTAGGCGAAAATCTGTCTTGGCGTGGCTATGATAAGATGGTGGGTATTGGGGAAAGTGAAGTTCTGCTGATTCGAACGCCTGGGTAAAGGTGCCTCTTTGGCGATGTTTTGTGTGGCGGACATGGCAATATTTAGTCGTTTTCGGATGTTGTCTCCGTCGGACGTGTTCGTCGTAGAATGGAAGTCTCTATAGCCCGCCGATGCTGCCTGCCCTATCATCTTCCAGTGCGCCTCCTTTCGCTACGTGCCTCACGCTCCGATCAATCCTTCAACATATCGCTCCACCTGGTTCTACGTCAAGTACCGAAGGCACCAATGCCACCAATCGCAGCGCCCAGATAGCCAAAGTCCGAGATTCTTCTCCTCCCAAAGATCTGAACCGCTTCGCCATGGGGCCACACCAGAAATCCCGTATGAACTGAAAGCCAACCCAAAGCAGTAAACGAAGTTACCATAGTGAGCATCACCGTCCTGAAATTCCGGTAGAAAAAAGGATGCCATTTGACGTTCCACAATTCCAGTTTGTTGGGTTGCCCTAGAAGAGGAATTTGGTTCCATATGCCGACTCGAAAGCTTCGCATAGTGTGCGAGATGGTGGGATGGTGCGGTGTGCCCCATGAAAGGGTGATGTTACGTTCTGTTCGTAGGTCGAGGACTTCTGCCTCTGACTTGCACAGCGAGATTGCCAGCACATCTTCCACCTTCGTTCCCAACTTCAATTGCTGACATATGCGTTCCGTATACGTAACCAGTTTCTTATACTTCCTCCTCATCGTCCCAGCAAGCCAGTCCTGCGGCAATTTGGGAAATAGCATCAGAGTCAGATATCCCACTAACAAACAATCCACGGCCGTCGGGCCCTCTTCCACCCCGAGTAGGTGGTTACTGTTCCCCAACAACTCCTCCAGCGGCTCAAAGAAATTATCAGCAAGCGCATTGAGTTTGAAGACGGCAGCGTGTTCCGGTTTCTGCAACAGTCCTCTTAACGTCTGCTTTCCCCCGCCCAACAACAGGCTAGCTCTCTTCTGCGTAGCCTCCTCGAATGATTTGGACTGATCCTTTCCCACGCCATCAAAGCCCTCCGGTCGATTGCTCATATCCTCGTGGACATTGTCGACATCGATGGATGAAATGCCCAACTGTTCAGTCCTCATTCTCGCAGCTGCCCGCCACCGAGGCGGGAGAGTATAGTTCGCATGCCATGGTAGGACTTTGCTGTAAGCGGGTCGTGTAGCGAGTCGGTAATTTTCAAAGCCGACATAAAGTGATATATCGAGTAAAGTTTGGGCGTGGGATTCGATGAAGGATGTTATGGCGATGGCGTCAGCGCGTTGCTGTTGGCTGAGACCAGAGTGGGAGAGCAGGCGTTTGTCTATCAAATGGCGGACGATGTTGTTGAAGCCTGAGACTTTGGCGGTGCCGTCGATGAGAAGTGGCAGCGGCCGACTTTCTTCGTCGTGCGTGGGGACGATGGTGTAGGCGTGGGGCACATGGAGTTGGAGGAGAGCGACGGCGGCGATACAGGCAGCGTCGATGGAAGGGAGGCCAAAGGCGGGCGGGAGGATGAAAAGCTGCATACCGTACCTCAGTGGGGTGGGATACAGATTGATATGCGTCAGTTGTCAGTCGAGGCGCAAAAGAATCAAGATCAGGTAGAAGACGCGTTGGGGACGTGCCAAACGGATTGCCTCTTTGGGACATGCCGAAGAACCGTCTCCAACCGTCTGAGTGTTTGTCTCTTCAGGCCGTATTCATGTTGTACCTCCTAGAAAGAAGAAGGAGCGACCCGACGTCATCCTTCCATACAATCTTGCTAGCAGTCTCAGCCAACTCACTCCAACTTCATCTTCTGCTGCACCACTAACATGAACACCTCCATCTCCACCTCCATCTATCTTGACGCTGGATTGACCAGAAGAGGTAAGAGGTAGAGTAGACGACACCAACATGCAAGCCATACGCGACAACCTCGTCTACAGCTCCGGCTACCTCCAAGGCCGCACTGCGAGCCTGCCGACCAGCTTGGGAGACCTATATGGCACCACCATGTCCCAACTGACCAGCTTCGTGACATTGCCGCTTCCACTCATCTCCTTTCTGGCCATACCACTCTACGGCAACTCCTCAACCACCGTCAGCTTGGCATTCTTCTACTTGACCTGGAGCAGCCTAGTCTGGAGGTGAGAATATATATCCGACCCGGAAACCCACTGCTTGTCTCGCATGAGGAGCTGATGACCTCTGGTTGGTAGCAAAGGGCCGTTGACCATCGAATTATATGGTACCCTCACAGTCAGGTTACTGTGTTACCTGATTCCATCGCTCCTGGCCGTTGTCTTTGACTCTGCATTACCGAATCTGAGTCGGAAAATCAAAGCTGACGGAAAGGATCATCTACCCCATCGTCTGGGCCGCGAAAAGGTGCTGCGTATAGTTGCTGTGGCCACTGGAAATGTTTTCCTGGGAGTCTTGGTACAAGCAGCGCTGGAGCTCATCACGACTCGTGTGTTCCTTCTTCGAAGTCTGCTGAAGGTCAGCAAAATTGTGAGTACATCTTGGTTCCACAAGGCTGTTTTCCCATTTGATAGACACTTCCGATCCATGGTGTAGGCACTGTACTCGAACTTTGATATTGCTGAAGATCAGTTCACGAATCAGAGCATTTGCTTACCGCCTGCTCGTTCTTTCTAGGTGCCTATGCCCTGGACTATTCTCAAGGATATTCTGAAAGGCTTCATGGTTCGTGGCCTCGTACACTACGTGGTCCATCGATATCTACTGCACGAATGGCAGTCAGTCTTGAAGGATTGGCATGTACAGTGGCAACATGGTATCTCCATGACTCTCGGCATTGGAGCAGCATACGACCATCCAGCCACATATCTACTTGCCGTCTTCTTGCCAACGTTTCTGCCAGCTGTGTTGTTCCGCTGGCACGTACTGACATGGTGAGTCAGCCATTCACCAATGGAGAGTCATGGTGTATCCACTAACGCGTGGCACACTCGCGTAGGCATCTATTCCTGGCATTGGTGTCACTCGAGGACTTCTTCGTGTTCTCAGGCTATACATCGCTGCCGTCGACAATCATCATCGGCGGCATGGCTCGCAGAAACGAGGCGCACTTCGCTTCGGTGAGAGAGAACAGGGGTATCGGCAACTATGGACGACTCGGAGTGCTCGACTTGATGGTTGGCACGACATGCCCTGACGAGGATGATGTGATGGACGATGTCCATGATGAAGTCGAAAAGCACAATGTCCAGGAACACATCTCTGATGCAGTTGGCTCTGGCATGACCAAGGTGCAGAACAAGCAAAAGTCTCGTCGCCGGAAGTGAGGTGAGGTCAGGTGAGATGAGGTGTGAGCATTTCACACGTTTCCGTATGTTGTATCTATCTTCCCTCAAGCCACCTTGACGACGACTTTTCCAAAGTGTCCACCCGAGTATAGATACTGAATCGCCTCATCCGCATGAGCAAAGTCAAAGACCTTGTCGACCACGGGACGAATGGCATGCTTGGCGTAAAATGTGCACATCTCCTCGAAGCGGTCTTTGGGTCCGTTCAAAATACCTTTGATGGTCACGTTGCGTCGCAGAGCAAGCAAATTGGTATTCAGACGGTCGTCACCAGCAGCGTCCACTTTGCCCGATAGATAGCCCACAGCATCAATCAGGCCTCCAAAGGCAATGCAATCGAAGCTCTTGCGGAGAGTTTGCGCTCCTCCCGTCTCGAGGATGATGTCAGCTCCGTTATTCTTGGTGATTCTGTTCACTTCATGATGCCACTCGGGCGTGGTCTTGTAGTTGATTCCGTAGGTCGCCCCCATCTTCTTTGCCCGATCGAGTTTGGCGTCAGAGGATGAAGTGATGATGGTTTCCAACCCGGCTGCATGAGCAATCTGCAAGCAAGAAATTGCCACGCCCCCTGTTCCCTGAATCAACACGGTCTGGTTCGCAGTGCTGTTGTCGTCGTCGCCGCCGTCGTCCGCCGGATGACCCATGGGTCTGAATTGGTTGATCGACATCCAAGCAGTGACGGCAGCAATCGGAAGAGTTGCAGCTTCCTCATCAGTGAGATATTCGGGGACCGCAACGAGGGATTCTTCTGCAAAGCATCTGTATTCCGTCAGGACGCCGGAGAGGGGCAGACCCAGGCCACTGGTCATGTCTGTCTCCTTGATTTGGCCGGTGAGATGCGTTTGGTTGAATATGGTCATTACTCGTGCGCCTTCTTGCCATTTGGTACTGGCTCCTGCGTCGACAATGATGCCGCAGGCGTCAGAGCATGGTACGAGGCTTTCCGGAGAGCCTACGGATTTATGGTGGTTGTACAAGCCCATAATCACTACACGATACAACGTGCTTAGCAATGTTTCCCGCATTCATTCATCCATCTACCAGTTCGGACATCTCTCTCACCTTCGGTATCACGATAGTTGAGCGACACTGCGAGGATCTTGACAAGGACCTCGCCATCTTTGGGCTGGGGCTTGGTGGTTGTGGTGAAGTGGAGCTGGTCGAGGCCATCGAAGCCTGTCGTCCACTGCTTGATTGCCGTCATGTCTTCTCGTGTTGATGATCAAATGTCCATGAGGACACTGAAGCCGCATACATACCTTAGGTACCTACAGGTACATTTAGTAGTACTCGCATCCATTTGCATGATTGGTGATCATGTCGCATCATCTGGCCGACAAGTGGGCCTATCGAAGAGTTGGCTGGCCGAGAAATCTCCTGGAGCTGATTTGGCTGACTCAGCTGATGCCTGAGGCTGCTATATCCGTGTTTCTGGGCTTTCACGTGAAATGCGTCGTCATTCGGGATGAAGCTCAGGCCAGCTTCGGTTGCCGTCCACAATAAGCTCGTGTAGGCTCATACCAAAGCATACCTTGAGCCTTAAGCCTTAAGGAGAGCAGCCAGCAACTTCATGACGGAAGCGGCCTGAGTCGCTCCATCTGCGAAGCCAACCGGCCGAAAGACATCAGACATGGAGACTCGAGTAGTGGCCCAATCCGCACTGAACTGCACATATTGAGAGACAACCTCCACACACCCGGTACACCAGCTCCACCTCAGGCTGGCCCAGCATGACCATCACCACCGCTGCCACCGCTGCCACCGCCGCCGCCTCGTCCTCAACAGGCTCCAACATCTTCGCCGGCACTGCGCTGCTGGTCGTCGCACTGGCTTGTATTCTGGCCATCCGCCACTATCTTCCCCTTCGGCACACTCCGCAATGGCTGCTGCTGCCCGTCTTCCTGGCCCTATTCCTGCCCTGCTCCATCGTCCTTCTGGTTCCCATCGATTGCGCCGAGACGCACACCTCTACTGCCTTGTGGCTCCCTGAAAGAGCCACATTGGTGGCCTGGCGCATCGCATATTGGCTCACCTTTGTCCTGACATGGTTTATCCTCCCTCTCCTGGGCGAGTACTGCGATTCCGGCTTCCGGGACACGCGCCAGCGCATGGTTGACTCCGTACGATCCAATCTGCGCTATCAGATCATCGTGCTATCGACGGGTCTCCTCGGACTGGTATACTTCATCTTCGAGAATGGCTTTCACGTGGCGAGCATCAAAGGTCTTCTGATGGCTCTGGCCTATACCTGGGGCTTGATTCTGGCCATTGGGCTCATGGGCCATGGTTTGGTAGCAATGCCCCGACGGCTATTCAGAAACGCCAAAGTGACATCTCGCTTGCGATTTCTGCACACACAGGCGCCAAAGATCAAAGACAAGCTCGACGATGCGGAAGAGGTGCTGGAGCGGTTGGAGTGTACAGTAGCACAGCTGGGAAAGCACAAGAGCGGCGCAAGCAGAGAGCAACAAGAATGGATAGATGAGCTCGCCAGCGTGCCCGATGCACGATCGGGAGTAGCTGCGACCATGCAGGCCACAAATGCCAGCATTCCGGCTGTCATAACCGACAGGTATCTGGCGGATCTCACGCGCAAGGTCAAGCGTGCCCGACACAGGAAAGCACGCTTTGTAGACGAATGGAACCACCTAGTGCAAAGAGCATGCGACACTCAGGCGATAGTAGACTCAGCAACCACCAAGGAACTGAAGTTCGCATCTGGCGGCTCAGGAAAGAGTCTTGTGCTCCTAACGCCCACGATGCGATACCATTTGCACATGAATGTCGTTCCTGCATTACGTATAGCTCTAGCTGCAGTGCTCGCCTTGGCTTCAGTGCTGATTGTCTGGAGTGAAATAATCAAGGCCTTTGCGCCGCAACTATCGGTAAGTCGAACTACATAAGTTTTCCTGCATGTCCTGCACCAGGCTTTGCTTGAGCGAGACAGTAGATTTGGGAGCTAATAGCTCATGAAGGTAATCGGCCTGACGGTTGTGCATCACCCACATTCGAAGAGTGGATGGACCGTCAACATCGGCGGCCAATTGATGGCTGCTCTCTGGTTGTTGTACATGGACGCGTCGGCGCTATACGCCATAACCGATGTCAAGATCTGGGGAAATCGTGCGCTCGTCAAGCGGCAGACTTATGCAGAGAGCGCGTGCTGGTATTCGATGCAAGTCGCAAAGCGTAAGAAAGCCCTGTGTCATTATGACCCTTCTCCGAAAAAAGAGGATGAGTTGCTGATCAGTATCCAGTCACTGTGCCCCTGAGCTACAACTTCGTGACAATGCTACCCCCGACTGTATTCGAGAAGACAATGTTCTTGTGAGTGCGCATTCCACGAATACGCTTTGAGATTGCTCTAATACCGTTCCCTTCAGCCAGTTTCTAGGCAAGCTCCTGGACATCACCCCTCTTGGCCAGGGATTCAGCCGCTTCTTTCCCTGCTTCCTGCTCCTACCGGTCCTGGCAACCTTTTTCAACGTCTATGGCAAGACGAAAAACATGTTTGGTTTTGGTGTACTCGAGGACGAAAGTGAGGAGAACCCATCCGGGTTCGGGACCGGAGGTTGGAGAGAAGGCAAAGCATTGGTCGATCGCGAACTACAATCTCGCGGTGCTGACAGTAGTTTGCTTGGTCTCATGACGCGTGGGGCATCCTTGGACTTGGAGCAGCAAGCCAGCAATACATCTTCTTCTGCTGCTGCTGATGCTGGTGCTGGCAGGTCGGCAAGAATCGCACAGCGTCAAGGAGAAGGTGGTGGTCGAGAGCGGCCTGTTGCCTTTCGCGATGATAATACCAGGGAAGCCAACCGACAGTTTAACGCCATTACGAACCAGCGAGAAGAGGAAGAGGATGATAGCGCAAGGCACTTTTACCAGGATTTTGGGGAACGATTGCAGAATACCTTCACGTCCGTCGAGACTCCGGAGTTCATGAAGAAGATTGGAAGTGCGTTCAAAACACCACAGTGGATGCAAGACAATGAAGCGAGTGGTTCAGTGCTCTCGAAGTGGTTTGGTGGAAGACCTGAAGATGGGCGAGTGAGATTGTGAGACGCTGGTGGTACTCGAGAACTGACCCTTGTGCGAGAATCAGAACTGCACCGACACTTGTTAAGATTTTAGACTGGTCTTGCACCGCAATCAAATCCAGATAGATATTATGCATATACAGGCAACATAGAAGAAGGCTCGCTTGAACGCAGCAGCAGAAGTGCAACGGGACCATGCCCTCCACCATCCTGTGACAAGGCTCAACTAATCTTCTTGATACGTCTCCTGCCGATATCAATCTTGCTCTGTACCCTCTCCACGTCCTGCTCAATCACGCCCAGCATCTCATTCTGTACCGTTAGCTCCTCATTAATGAGGATTCCCATATCCTTCAACTTGGCGACTGTTTTGCCCAGACTCAGGACATCTTCCTCTTGCTCCTGCATCACCTGCTTCTGCAACTGTAGCACGCCCGTATTATCCAGTTCCCTCGTTCGTTCCGTCTCCTTCAACGGCCCTCCTAATACCCGTCCACTAGGCTTCGCCGTAGCTGCCGAAGTCCCCTTCCACAATTCCGACTTTTGTTGTGATGTTGCAGCCGCAGATGTGTTCATCATCATACTACTACTGCTGCTAGCGCCCTCACCTGCTTTGGCCGATTGTGTCGCCATACTCTTCAACACGCCCTCGAGTCCTTCGACTTCCTTCTTCGCAGAGCCTACCAGATCTCGTCTCCGACGTATCTCACCGTCGCCGAGCCGTTTGGCTCCTCCCCACCCACCCTCGTCGCCTTTGCTCGCGGCGGAGATGGCTTGGAGTCCATCGTCCAGTTGCGCGATAGTTGTTGCTGCTCGCACGAGACTGGCTTTGGCCTCGGCGGAGATGGTGTGTTGAGCTTGAGCGGTAGAGGCGCTTTCCCGCCGTTTGAGCAACGAGCGAGCAGCTTGGAGTTGTGTTTTCAGTTCGCGGTGGAGGTCGAGCCAATGGCTGGGGTCTGCAGCGGGTTGTCCAATAGTACCGGCGTTTGTGGTCAATGTGTTTCCTTTCGTGCGGCCAGAGGAGGTCGTAGAAGAGGAAGAAAGATTGAGGAAACTGCGCCAGGCGCTGCTGCTGCGCCATCTGGCATCTTCGGCGGCGAGAATGGCTTGCAGGTATTGCTCGAGGCCACGGCGGCGCTCTTCGGTCAGACTCGCATTGTTGACGGTGCGCCGGAGCCACGACTTCGCGGGCAGGGCTACAGGCGGTGGTGTGCCTACTTCGGACACCAAGGCATCGTGTAGCGCAGCGAAGTCGTTGTACCGCTTCTGGGTGTCGTGGCGGCGCAGAGGCAGCTGCAGCGAGATATGGTATTGTGTAAACGGCTTGCCGTCCGCGGGCGTCGCTGTCGATGCCGAGGGGACAGTGATGGTCAGCGCCGGTGCCATCTCTGCTGCGTTGTTATGTGAATCATGTTCATCTTTCCTGGAGATTTGGGTTCCATATATATCAGACTGCACCTCGCTACGCCTGTTGCGTCACATCAATCACATGCACGGCATCAGAACCCACTAGCTCGAAACCCAAGTCAAGTGAATTTCTTAGCACTGCTCAGGTGGAACCCAAGTTTAATACACCTCGAGTAACATTTTCTTTACCGCCAACACCAACCAACAAGAGACGTACGTCCACCGAAAATGCAAAGCATCCGACAAATCGAACGTCTCAACCAAACCGAACTCGACAAATGCATCCCCTCTAATGCATCATGGCACACCGACTATCGCGACACCGCCTACCTCTACATCGGGGGTTTACCTTTTGAGCTCTCGGAAGGCGACATCCTGACCATTTTCAGCCAATATGGCAATCCCGTGCACATCAACCTCGTCCGCGACAAGGACACGGGCAAGTCGCGCGGCTTCTGCTTTCTCAAATACGAGGATCAGCGGAGTTGCGATCTGGCCGTCGACAATTTGAGTGGTGCGGGTGTCATGGGTCGAGTCATCAGTGTGGACCATACGAGGTATAAGAAGAAGGAAGGGGAGATTGAAGGGATTGGAGATGAGGAGGAGGAGGGGGAGGAAGACGGAGCAGACGATACGGACAGAGAGGGTGACGAGCGGCGGAAGAGGAGACGCACGAATGACAGTGAAATTGAAGGTGGAGAAGAAGAAGAAGAAGAAGACCGACCGCTGATCAAAGAGGAATTGGAATTGCAAAAGCTGCTAAAAGATCATGACGACGATGATCCCATGAAGGAGTACTTAGTCAAGGAGAAGCGAGAACAAGTGGCAGAAGCACTACGAGCAGTTGTCAAGCTGGAAAAATCAGACGACAGGCATTCTGAACCGCGAAAGCATAAACACAGACATCATCATCATCACAGATCGCGGCCAACAGAGTATTCAGAAGATGGTGATCGGACGAGGCATGGGCATCGTTCGCGAAAAGAGCGGCATCATGACGAGGACGAGGGCGAGAAGAGGTCGAGGCACAGGGAGCACAGCAACGGCCATGATCGCAGGCATCGGACGCGACATGATGATGAGGATGATGCACGAACTCACTCGCGCCGCGACGAGTCTCGATCAGAAAAAACGGACAGACCGAGGAGACATCGAGCCGCCGAAACGGACTCGGAGGAGGATGAGCATGAACGTAGGCGTCGGCGGCGTCGAGAACATTCTTCTTAGCCGTAAGTACTCTACCATTGCATATCTCGTCGACGCTACAGACAATATGATAAGGAGCAGCCATAATGGGGGAAAAAGGTGCTCATGGTGGTTGCAAGCTCAAAGGTGCGAAATTGAACGACTTGAGTGGCCCTTCACGGGCTGAATCTATCAAGTCTCCATTGGACCAGCTGTCATAACCAGCGTCCTCTACCACATTAAGCAGGCCCTCCGTCGTCTTCGGAGAACTCCATTTCTGCATCATAGCCGACTGCGGCTCCCTCGGATCTGCCTTGCTTGCGGCGCGTGTTGACTCTTATGTGTTCATCCTGCTTCTTGCCGCTACGTGCGGGCTGAATGGTCAATTTGCTCTCCATCTGGCTAGCGACGTCTTCGTCGCCATCTTCGTCGACTTCATCAAAGTACGTGCTTTCGCGGAGCTGATCGGGCATGTGTTCATTGATTTTCGAGCTCTTTGGCAACGCCTCGCCGAAGATCCACACGGTGGTCTGATCCCCGGCCCCGTGCCCTTGAGCCTGGTAGTTCGCTAGGGAAGTTGACTCCTTGTATCGGCAAGAGTCTAGCTCGTCCAGAGCATATATTCCCACGTGCTCTCCCACGTGGAATGGACAAAAGGGTGGGTTGGTCTCCACATCATTGCCTGTCACGAGCCCGCCTATTCCCGTTGTAAAGCTCGAGCGTCGAGCCTCAGTCATCTGCCCCGATGAATATCGCAGGCTCCAGAACCCGTGTGGTCCCTGGCCTGAGCACGAGTCGGAGCCTTTCAGCCCCGCTGCATCGGCCTTGGTTGCGATCGGCGGAAGAGGGAATGCTTTGTGAGCATATCTTTCATGTTTGAGTCCGCTGACGGTCTCGTGTCCTTTCCGTCGTGTGACCCGTTGCACTGGATGCACATGCACCGTGCCACCACAAGCTACAACAATAGAGGTGGTGTTGTTGCGTCTCATCCATCTAAGCGAACTATCGGACCTTGGCTCCTGTAATGCTTTCGTGTGTCTGATCTTGTTGTCGTCTGCATGCCAGTAGTCGCTGCTGGCCCCTTTGGCAGCTGTGAGCCCTTGGCTGAGCCCTCTTGCTACTGCCCGGGAACCTGCGTTACCCGCTGCCGCAGTAGCTTCACGGAACCCGGCAAACGTGGTTGGCAGACCGAATGCGGAAGCTGGGCTGGTTGTTCGGATCGAGTTAACCTGCGTACTCACAGTCTGCGACCAGGACTTGATACTGCCCAGGAAGCCCGAGCTTGGCGGAGAGAGGCCGGTGGAAAGACTGACAGTAGCGTCGGCTTTCTCAGCCGCACTGGCTGCGGTCATCGTGGCCCGCTTACGTTTACGAGACGAGGGTCGGCTTGGTACCTCATGGAGATGTATAGTGCCATGAGCGGTGAGCAAAGCCAGAGAATCGTCGTCTTTGGACCACGCGCAGCTGAGCACAGTCGAAGGACTGTTGCGAGCAATTCGTAGCAGCTGCTTCACGCTGGGGCAAGTGCTGCCCTCAAGGTCGGTGGCATCTCGACGCCGAGGCACTCCGCGTGCGACTTGCGTGAGATCCCATACCACGGATACCTCACCTTTACGACTGGAGGTCAGGAGCTTGGAGCCTCCAGACGACAAAGAGACAAAGTTGCAACCCTCTAGCAGTGCAAACGTTGCCATTGGAGGTGGGAGATACTTCGGTTTTTGCACTTCCCATGTCAAAAGGCTGTCTAGGTCGACCAAGCATACCAAAGCTGGCTCTTGTGTAGTTCGCAGAGCGTCTGTTGGTGCTTTTGTAGGAGGGAACTCATCGCTGAGAGATCCCCGTTCCTGATTGGGACGATTGCCTGGCGGCGAGGGCTGCGTGAGTTCCTTCCAACCTTGCCGTCCCATCTCGAAGCCTCTTTGAGAAACCTTGACAAGGCCCTGCGCTGCCTGTCGTCCAAGTCGGCTCCACGCGCCCTCAATATCAGTTCCTACTACCTCACAGGTGATGGCAGGCTGTGTTGGCGCGGCGTGTGTTGAGAGTCCTGGGGGAGTGCCATTGATATCTGCTGTCAATGGTGCGCCCGCCAGTGTTATTGTTGAGGAAGAGGACGGACTGACAATGGCAAGCCATCTCGGGCTTAGGCTACATATGGCTCGCTGTGGTTCCTCCATGGAATCGATAGAAGCCAAAATTTCGCTGTTGATTGCTGATCGCGCTGACAATGAGCTCTGTATCGCCGTCCAAAATTTGCCAATGCATCTGAACTGCGGCTCCTGTAGTATGCCATTTGGGGTATCGGTGAAGACAAATACTTCGCCACTTTTGCCAGAAGTCACCGTGATGAAGCGGCCTTGTGCATCGATTTTAAGATCGCCGACGGGCTTAGGAAGGGAGGATACCTGTCCAATTGTAGGCTGATCAATGGCTACTGGAGGGGCGGCATACAAGGTTGCTAAGTAGCGTTGGGTTTGCAACGAGTAAACATCGACTGTGGTTTGAAAGTGAGTAGTCACGTCGTTGTCTGCAGCCTCACTGCCGTCTCCTTCTGGACCCGAGTCGTGTCGTCCTTCGAGCATTGGGCCGTGGGTTATGACAACGATAAGAGGCCGGAGCTCCTGCATTAGGTCATATCGCTCAGTATGAGGTACAATCTTGGCTCCAATTACAGCTCCTCGGAGGCCTTCAAGGCGACCCACAACCTCCAGCTTGTTGGGCAGAATCCGGAAGACTTCCAAGCCTCCATCACAGCCCACAATGAGTGCGTCCCCTGCCTTCTTGGCGGAGATCTCGCTACCGGCGTCTGCAAGCGAATCCAATGTCAGGCAGTGCCCACCGGATCCGGCTGGCTTGCCAGTCTCCTGTTTTTGTCCAAGTCCAATACCCAAATCTGGCAGACCAAAGAAATGTGCCTGTGGCATGTGCGGCAAAGGAGCCTCGCCGAGTCGAGGTCGTGGCGAGTGATGCGCGAGAAATGACTCCCGACGCGGCTGGCTTGGCGGAGCAGGCGACGCAACGGACTTGAAACTGCCTCCGCGGTCGCGTGCACTTTGAGGAGGGGTCGGCCGACCCAGTGATGGAGCTGCGGCCGGGACGGGTTTGGCTGCCACAGGATTAGGTGACCTTGTGTGCGGAGGGGATAAAGTGGAAGCTGATCTCGTCACTCTCGTTGGTGGTAACGGCGGTTCGGCGTCTACCGCAGCAGTCGTTGGAATGTCCAGATCGACTAGAGAGTCGCAATCAAGTGCATGGTGTGCCGGCGGGCTGGATGCTGGTGGCTGCGAGGTCACTTCTGCCTGCAGTCTGACTCCATGGTCGGTGGGCGGAGAAGGTGTTATCGATTTGGGATACGCAGACGAGTCCCCACCCTCGTCGATATTATGTTGTGCCCGTGCATTCTTCTTGTTCTTCTTCTTCTTCTTGCCCACAGACGTAGTCTTGGGCGGCGACGCGCTGAAACCCCAAGCGTCCTCAGTGTCTTGCGCGGCTGTTTCTAGCTTCGCGGCGGTCGCAGTCGCAGTCGCAGTCGCGGTGGCAGTAGCAGCTGGTGGTGGCTGGTCGAAGTTGTCAAGGGCGGCAGATTCCTGGGCAGAGGGCATCCAGCCGAGCGAAAAGTCGTCCTGCCTTGAGAGGCAAGCTGGCGGTGGTAGGAGGTAGTAGCGGTGTCGGCGGAGCGTGGCTGGCCGGGGCGTGGGGGCGGGCTCGCGTTGCGAGAGTGGCGATGCAGCTGTATTGATCACTCACTCCCAGTTCCAAACCTGTCCGCGCTAGGGTGGTGGTGGTGGTGGTAGTCGTGGTGTGGTGGTGGTGTTGTTGTCAAGGTAAGGTATTCTATTGTTGTTGTTGTTATGTTGTCATGTCGTGCTTCAGGTCGAGGGGTCGGTAGGTCTCGCGGCTGGTGATGAGTCTAAACTTACCCCGCCGGTCCCGACGCATCATGCTCCGCCTCGTCCGAGCACGTGGGCCGAGTCACAAGCCGGCTGAGATAACCTAGGCAGGAGTTACGGAGGTAGACTGTGGTCACTGTGGTGGCAGATCACAATGCGAGTGAGACTGGAACACGGCTCGAACAAGGTCAAGTGATTGCACTAGCTGGGGAACTATACTAACATGCGCCGTCAAAGCATTTTTATCTGCCGCCCTCCATCCTGAGAAGCACTTCCACGTCTGGTCAAACCATGCACAGCTTGAACTGGACAAGCGGTCTGCGCACTTTGATCATCTTCTTCCTATCAACGGGCGCCTGGTGGTCGGTACGTACCCCCAGAGCGTTGTCCTGGAGGCTTGTAGGTTCCGCCAGTAGGAGCCGGCGGTGTCTCGCTGCGCTCTGGCTCATTCGCGCGTCGAGGTGCCCAGCGTTCTGTAGCAGGCTTGCGTTCTGGCGTGTCACTTCGCTCGCCCTCAGCGCCGCGAGACCTAGCCTGCCATCGCTCGGGCTTGCCCTCGGCTGGTGGAGCTGAATCAGCACCTGGGGCTTTGCCACGAAGCGCAGGAGGTATGTAGCCAGATCTCGCAGGTTGTGCAGCTTCATCGGTAGGGACACTGTCTACTGCTGGAGCTGGAGCCTCGACAGGTGGAGTACCACCTTGCGCCGCCTTGGCTGCCTCACGTTCACGCCACGTAGGCTTGCTGCCGGCAAGCGCCAAGCGCGGTGGTCCTGACGATGTCGACGGTTCAGAAGCAGGCTCAGCACGACGCTCAAATGTGGTCCGCTCGAAAGGCTTAGCGGCGGCAGCGCCACCTTGCTTGCGCTCGAGACGTTTTCTCTCTGCTTCTTCTTCGCGCTCCATTTGCTTCCGAGCAGCCTCCATTCGTTCTTGCCTTCGCTGCTCGGCCTCTGCTTTGGCCTCTGCATCCTTTCTTCGTTTCTCTTCGGCAGCAGCAGCAGCTTCTTCCTCCTCGATGCGAGCGCGTTCCTCAGCCTCACGTTGGGCACGCTCCTCTTCTTCGGCACGTCGCTTCTCGGCAGCTTTGGCGTCGCGGACCTCTCGGCGTCGCTTCTCCTTAGCGTCATTAAGTTCACGGTCTGCGGCTTTACGGCGCTTGTCAAATTCAGCTTGACGTTGTTCAGTGATGGCACGCTTGAATTGCTCGTAGGGAGATACAAGGCGGCTCAGACGATGTTTGAGCGCAACGTCTTGCTTGTGCTTCTCTTTGGCAGTGTTGAGAGTTTCGTTCTTGCTGTCCTCCCATGCCTTGAAGTCTTGCTCGCGTTGCATTTCGTAGTCACGACCAAGATGCTTGATCTCCTCCTTCCGATAGGCGCGTTCCAGGTGATCAATTCGCTTGCCGGCAATGCGCACCTTGTCGCCAATCTCATTCTTCTCCTTCTCGAGCGCCTGCAATTTGAGCATGCGGATCTTGCCGGTATCCAGATTATCAATGTCCAGTTCGGAGAGATCCACGCCCTTGACGCCCTTTTTGAGCTCCTGAAGTTGCTTCTCGGCTTCTTCACGTTGGACCTTCTTCCTCTCCGCCTGCAGACGACGCTCCTCACGATCTCGAGTCTCCTGAGCAAGACGCTCCGTCTCTGCAGCCTGCAGTTCCTGCTGACGAACTCTGCGCTTCTGCTCCTCTTCACGCTGTCTCGCCAGTTGGACATTTGCAGCGGTCTCCTTCTTTTTCTGAATAAGATCTCGTCGAGCAAGAAGTTCAACATGTTCCTTCTCAGCACCTGCCTCCGCTCGCTGGAGGGCCGCCAGCCTTGCCTTCTGACGTTGCTCATTGAATGTGGGATCGACATACTGCGCGGCGATATAGAGAGCCTTAGACAGCCGAGATAGTTGCGATCGAACGATCTCAGCCGGGGTGCTCTGCAGGCGCTGGACAGATGATGCATCAGCTTCAGCGGAACCGGCGCCAGAGCCTGGGTGCATGGCTTTGGCAGACGAGAAAACATCGGAATCGAAAGTGAGGATGCCTGTGGAGTGATCAATACGAATGGAGAGATCTCCCTTCTTGCAGCCGTTCATGATGAACTTCTCGATAGTAGCGGTTGACACCTGAAATGGATCGGGGAATTGTGCGAGAGCAGTGACATCTTCCAGCTTGACATCGGTATAAACCTGGGACAATTGCTGGAACAGTCGTGTCAGAATGACTTGCTGTAGTGGCAATACATATCTCTTCATCTCTTCGTCAGCGCCGATTTGTGACAATATCGGCGAGACTTTTTCGCAGATAGACTTCGGGTGGAAATCGGTCTCCAGAATATTGTATAACTCTCTGATCTCTGGTCGGGCGCGCTGCAGAATGTCTTTGTTGAGAGCATCCTTGAACAAGATGGCACGCGAGGGCGGCGAATTCATACCAAGCAAGTTGGTGAGACGTGCGTTCTTGGTGTTTCGTGCCGCGTCCACATCAATCAGCGCTCCACGAGATCGTGAGGTGCTAATGACTGGAATAGAAAGAGCGGAAAGGAGTACGAAAGAAGCCGCCTTCGAAAGATCATTGTCGGTGATGTTAGAGGGGTTGTCCTTCTTCGAAGCACCTGCGGCGACCTGTCTCGCCGACAAGTTGAGCAGATTGTAGTAACGACTCCAGGAGGCGGCGTGAAAGAGGTAATTCTCGCTGACGAGGAAGATTCGAGTGAGCTTCTCATAGTAGTTCGCCATCATGGAGTTTTTTGGTTGTCTCTTTGACAAGCTGAGGAGAGTGTGAATATCTTCAACGCTCTTGAATGCTTCCTGCCACAGCTCGAGCTCAACAGCAACGTTCAGTTGCATGAAGCGCGTGTCGAGATGACGCTGCAAAGTCTCGGGATCGCTAAGATTGATAGCATGTACCTGCTGCGAGTACTTCGCCGCGTTCTGCAAGTGGTTGCGTAGAAGCTCACACAATCGACGGAATTCCGTTTTGCGGGTATATTTGAGACAGAACTGGAAAGCTTGGTGTGCCGTGGTCTGGTACATGACCTCCAGGCGAGCGTTGTTCTTGAAAATGTCTAGGACTGTGCGGTACGTCTCCCACAGGAACTTCAGCCATGGGGTCACAATCGCACGGTCGGTCCTGTCCTTGGACTGCTCGCCTGATACAGTTGACAGCAGGATAGACTCGGGCGTCTCCATTGCCTCCAAGTCAGTCACGTTTGCTAGTGTGGCATCCGTGGTCTCGCCCTCGCCTTCTCCCGAGGCGGTGCTCTGTGAAATTTCATCGGCCTTAGCCTGGGCCTCTGTGACCTTCTGCTCCGCCAGTTCAATAAAGCGGCGGAAGACCAGCTCAATCGTGGCAACGTTGGTGTTCTGGCTCGTGTTCTTGTAGTTGTAAAGGCCATCCTTGGCAGACTTTCCCTTCCGCAGTTCTACACACAGCTCCACGAACAGCAGCATCACCGGCTCGAGCGCGGCGATGGTACTGTTGCGCGTCCTCTTGGACGTGACATGTTCGTGAAGGATGGACAGGGCAGCCTGCTTCTGGTCGACCCCGATGAGTTCTTGGGCGCGTTTGAGAACATTCTCCGGCCGTGTGTGTGGCGGAGGAGGCATGATGGGCGACCCCGTTTGAGACCCGATCACAGGCGCTGTGATCAGATGGCGGAGCTGTGGTTGATGACGGCGTCGTTGGGGCGCGTCGGGTCGTGGGTGGGCGTTGGTCAGTGTTTTGGCGTGAGGTCTCGGTGATGGTGCGAATGAGAAATTGCCAAGACCGGCTTTTTGCTGACTAAGCTATTGTCTCCCTGTCCTGCCTTGCCTGCCTTGCCTGCCTTGCCTGCCTGTCTGCCTTACCTGACACTTCTGTCGCCAAATTCTCGGAAGCACCGCTCGTTACACATCTACTCGCCACGCGGTACGCAGGCGTGTTCTAGCTGCCCCGACAGCGTGGGATCAAAGGTGCCAGCAGAACGTGTCAAGGCCACCTTGTTGAGTGTCGGGTGCTGTTGCGGTGTGTACCAGGCGGCCACAAATCGAGTGCATCCTTGCACTTAAAACCGCGTCGAGAAGGGGAGGGCTCTTCGCCGTCCACGGACCACGGGCACGGGTAGCTCTATTGAACAGAACCAGGCTGTATGCAGCGCAGTAGTAGTAGGTAGTGATGATCCGTCCAAGTGAATGAAGCACATCCGCCATCAGCTACCAGCTCCCCTTCCGAACATACATGTCCCGTACCATTCAGCTTTCTCACCAACAACATTGGGCACACCCAGTAATCGTTCTTGCCCATGGATGTAGCCGCATCCGGATAGTTGTAATTTGGCCACTCCACTCCCGCTGCAGGGAGGGAGAACCACGCAAAACCAGCCCGGACAGTGGTGAAACAGCAGACAGCCGCTCCTTCTTGTCAGTTGTTGGTTGCTCGTCCGCCAACTGCTCCCGGTGTGCGTGGTATCAGCATACCTTACCTACCATCTTCACGCGCTCGTGCCTCCATAGGCAACAACTCCAGGTCTGCCATCCGGATCCACGTGTCCGTCTCGTTCACTTCCATTGCCTTCACGACGACCGCCGTCAATAATCGCGCTAGGGAAGCGCAACGAGAGGCAGGTATGCACCTAATTCGCTTCATCCCAACTTCGTGTATGCAAGACGATAACTGACCGATTGCGCACGACCCAGTCCGCGCCGCGACTTGCCTCACCTCCTCCTGGTTGCCAGCGCATTGAGCGCACGCGACATCCGAACGCACCAACGACCGGTCTACATAATCAGCATTCACGACCCTTCCTTGCGCCGTAAGGTAGCCGCTCTCTCAGCACCGCTCTATTCCACCTCCTTCACCCTTTCGGCGGCTGGCTAGAACCTGCGCTCCGCATCGCGCCGTCCAGCATAGCAGGATGTCTGCTCCATACGAGATACGTACCAACGACAACGGCAAAACCAAGAAACAATCCATGGCTGAGCTCAAGCTGCGACGGCTCACGGAGCTCAACCAGAGACTGCAAGAGGATCTGAATCGTCGAAGGATACCTGTGTCAGAGGCCGCCATGGAGTACGTATTGGTCACTCTACTCTGTCGCCGATGTCTGCTAACGACTCTGGGCAGCTTGATCGCATTCACAGACAAGGAGCCCAAGGTACAATTCGAGCCTGTCTCCAAACATCCATTGTACTCTCTCGCTGACTTTACGGCGCAGGATTTCATGGTTCCAAGTCGATGGGGCACGATCGATAAACGCGAAGACCCATACGCCCCACAGCAATCGAATGGCTGTTGTTCTGTGATGTAGTTATACCCCCTAGTACGCTCTGCTCACTTCGGCACTCGTACAGCATTGGCGTTACAGCGGATTGGTTTTCTGGGAGAGCGCAGCAAGCGCGGCGGACTTTTTTGCCTTTTTGCCATTTGAGAGTGCCTTCGAGGAGCTCAACACCTGTTTGACTACAACAAAATGCACTATAAGTGGCAATGCTATTGGCTATGGGGCGATGTAGATGAGGCTGATGCTCACTATTTTCGGACATTGTCACCTTCTTTTCTCTCCGTGTATGGGCTGTCTTCTGGTGGAAACACCTCGACTTCCAGACCTGGACCGTTGCAATAACATGAAGCTTCGTCGCGGCACAATCTACGGTCCGAACAACTTGCTTATCACTATCACACCTGAGCTTACTGGCTTGCCTTTCTGATTCCCACAGTTACATGTACCTCCTAGCAGTTAGCTGTCGGTGTAAGGCCGACTGCCGATGATCAATGCTATAAGTGCCGATTCGGCTATTCAGAGTTCCACCCACGCTGCCCTCGGGTCCCCATGAACCATTTGACGTACCTCCTAACAAGCAACAGAACTAGATAAATATGTCGTTTCATCGGCCCATGGTAGTGCCTTATGCACTATGCTGGTCTGGGACTGTCTATTTTCCTTTTCCTTTGGGTTTCTTTTTCTTTTTATTATTATTTTTATTATTTTATGTGGGAGGAGAGTTGTGAAACCCCTCCCTTCTTCTCTGTCGGTCTTTGTTCTGTGTCGTCTTCCACTTTTCCCTTCTTTAGGGTACACTAGGTACATGCAGTGTCATGAATGTTACCTACCTAGATCTACACTCTGACTACAGCCCTAGGTACCTGAGCTCTTCCCTTCCCTCCGATCCCTGCCCTTCGTCTGCTGCCTCCTGTAAGTCCTTCTCCAGCCTCCACCTCCCGCTACTGGGTCTATTGTATACCGTTGTCTTCTCTGCTAGGAGACTTACTTGTTAGATCAGGTATGCTCTTTAATTAGTATCTGTCTTGTAACCGTCTGAAAGTCTTGTTTGCTGCTCAGGTCACTATAGCTCGGTGGGCTTCATTCATTGCCTTTGCTCTCCTGGGCACTTACTGCTCCCTTGATCCTATTCGAGGCAGTGCAATACTACTGTGCTACATGACTAAGTTAGTATTCTAATAGCTACATAGGCAGGCCAGCTTTGTTGTGGTATCCTGGTACACCTCTTTAGTGCAGGTATGCTCTGAGGCCAATATGTGGGTGCTTGTGGCGTTGTTAGATGTGGTATGTTCTGTTCACAGCATTCTTCCAACAGCCAACAGCTATGATCCTATTCGGGGCAGTGCAATACTACTGTGCTATATGACTAAGTTAGTATTCTAGCAGCTACAGAAGCAGGCCAGCTTTGTTATGGTATCCTGGTACACCTCTTTAGTGCAGGTATGCTCTGAGGCCAATGTGTGGGTGCTTGTGGCGTTGTTAGCTGTGGTATGTTCTGTTCACAGCATTCTTCCAAAAGCCAGCAGCTACCTCCATTGCTTCTCCTTCTGCTTCACTCTGTCCCCTTCCTTCTCATTCTGCCCTCCTCTCTCTCTGTCTCTCTCTCTCTCTCTCTCTCTATCTATTCCTCTCTTGATGTATTCTGTCAGCCTCCGGCTTGGCTTGATGCACTAGGCCATTCAGTTCTTCATACTTCGCCAGGTCCTTCAGCTTCCGTAGGCACCTTTTCTGTTGTCCTTCTCCAAGTGTACTGGGCCTTGGTTCTCTCTGCAGCAAGCGATAAACCTACCTCCCAGCTTCACTGCCCCTCCTAGGGCTCCATGGAATAGTAGGAGGTATGCGCTCTCGGTAGTATATATCTATACCCCGGTGAAAGTTTCCTGCATCGCCTATCCAGGGCTGATGCTACTCGCAAGTCTCGCACTCTGCTGGTCTTTTGCAGCACAGCCCACGGGAGGACGTCCAGCGCCAGCTGGGACGAATAGTGGATCGAATCGTGGGTCGAAGCGAGAAGTTCAAGGCGGTTGTTGGTGTTTTAGCCAAGCCTGGAACCACGCCGCGGGGTGCTGTGTAAGCACTGTAAGGTACCTTATCCACAGAACACAGCATCCCGCGTAGTTTCGTTCCAATCGCCTTCTTGCGCCGATAATGGAATACTGAAAAGCGATCAGGCTGTCACCACCACCGACACACACACGATGGCGGTGCGTAATACATGGTTTCCCCAGAGTGATCTCACCTGATGATTCGGGCACACTCTCGTGGCGAATCTCGGCGTTGTGAGTGAATGACTGAATGTTGGACACGGGTTAACGGGTCCGTGACATGAATAGGCGAAGCGAAGGTTTTGACGGCCGTAAGCCCTGCGAGTTCTGAGCCTTCTCACCTCTCAAGTACATGGATCCTACTTGTACATGTGAGGTGCTTAGGGAGTCTTTTCGCAGCCGCAGCCCGCAGGTATACCTACCCATGCAGTTGAAACCACGATAAACAGACTCCACGCCCGTCTGCTGCTCACAGTGCTAGTTGGCCGCGAAGCAACAGCAGAAACCAGCCAAACCACCACCTCCAACAGACGACGCTGTTGCTGGAACTCCGTGGCGACGTTGCGACAGACAGCCAGACGAGACCAGACGATTCGAGACGGCACAATACCACACGAACGACACGAGACGAGACGAGACGAGACAGACGCGCCTGTCGTACCTTACATGTAGTCACTACCCACGTAGTGTACTACCAGTATCCTACCTTACCTACCTACAACATCCTCTCCCCGCGGCTGCGACAGGCTTGGCCGCCCGATTCTACCTCCCCTCAACCCGCTGCACAGCCTGGCGCGTGAACCATGGCGGAGTCAGAATGGTCGCGGCCAGCAGAACAGATGGACTCGTTGTCGCTGAGTGCCAGTCTGGACGACTTGGCCAACCTGTTCGAGTTTGGGGACATTGAGTTGAACAACCTGCCCACGGCCGACGCCTCGCAGTACCATGACCACGACCACGACCACACGCAGCATGCGGACACCCATCCTAGCCCGTCGTTCAACGAACTGGGCGAGGCGCAAGCTATACCAGGCACAAATGCGCATGACTTCGGCGGACATCAGCAGTTCGCCATGCCACAGGATACCCACCAAGGCCACCATGGCCCGCGCTACGATTCCTCTGGACCTTTCCCCACCGATTCTCCCTTCCCGCCTGCAATGCAGCAGAACTATCAGCCACCACATGAGCACTACCAATTCCAAGGTATGACGGCATACCCTATGAATCAGCAAATACCTCCCACTCCAAATAGCTATGAAATGCATGGAGAGCAAGGGCATTTTCTACAATTGCAGTCAGATTCTCAGCAACGTGCCTTGCTTGAGCAGAGATACCAGCTTGGGAAGGAGGATGTGGTGCGTGCAAACATGGCGGCGAGCACTCCACGTAGCTGGCTGACTCGGACTCAGACCGCATTCACGCCAATGGTGTCCCCAGCAGGCACGCCGCAGTACAAGGCTCAGCCAGAGTACACAGTGCCCTGTGCCTACTTTTCTCCTCTGACCTCGCCTATGTTACATGCACAAAACTCGAAGCACGCTCAGCATTCACAGCACCAAGGGTATTATACAAATCCGAGCACTGCGCCAAGTTCGAATGCTGCCTCCCCATTGGGTCCATCTGCAGATGTGGATATGCTGGCGGACGAATTGCTGATGGAAACAACTGGAAACGACTCTCGAACCAGAAAGTCCACACGAAGGAAAGGCCCGACTCCACGAAATGCAGATCCTTTGGCCAGAGTTCAGCAAAGCCCCATACAAAAGGCAATCAAGCGCAAATCTGGCTCTATGCTCTCGACTCTGGCGCCATCTCGGGATGTGGATGGTAGCTTCGAACTTCAGCAATCACGAAGTGCACAGCCAACATCATCAGGCCCCCAACCGCCGCAAAGCGACCGCTCCGCAAACGGTAGCATCAGCCCGGAGCCACTCAGTGAGGCTCTCATGGGTCCTCCGCCTCGGCCATCGTCTAGCAGGACTCATTCACCGGCGATCCGCGGGCAGCAACAGAGCCAATCCAGTGGACCTTTGGGCAAAGCGGCCACGCCCAAATCGTTATTGTCGATGCCACGTGGTGGTTCCGGTACATCGGATTCGAGGTCAACCCAAGATCTGCATGATATGGATCTTGAAGAGCTCCAGTTACCAGCTGCAGCAGACGAGAGCGTGCGCAGGCCTTCGCTTTCCCTCATTATGACCTCTTCTACGCCAGCGGAGGGAACAGCCCGTCTATCGGCACGAAAGACTCCTAAATTAGGTCCTCTGAGTACACCTTCGTCTGCCAAATTTGTAGCCCCAAGCCCATCTGTGGTTGGATCTCCCATGACAGCATCCACGCCAGACGGGTCGCTCAAGGATCGGAAGGAGTCCAAAAGCATTCGTAGTGCCAAAAAACGAGGCAGTATCAGTAATGGCGGCAGCATACTCTCTCCTGCGCTTCGTCCACGGATTAGCCCCAGCATCAAGCCCCTGCTTCCTGAAGGCGCAGCTCTTCATTCTCCTACTCACGCTCTGCTTCTCGCATCGAAGTCGAATTATCAAAATCTCCTCGAGGGCAATCAACTGCCGGGCGTCAACTACCCCGAGTCTCTGTCGACAGGGCTGACATCGAAACGGACATCCCACAAGGTTGCGGAACAGGGCCGAAGAAATCGGATCAACGATGCGTTGAAAGAAATGCAGTCGCTTCTGCCCAAACCAGCGCACGGAAAAGGCAATGAGCACATGGATGGCGAAGGTAGCCCGGAACTAGTTGTTGCAGACTGCAAAGACTCCAAGGAGGATTCATTAGCCAAGAGCAACAGCAGCAAAGCTTCTACTGTCGAATCAGCGAACGAGTACATTCGGAAACTACAACGAGAGAACGCGGCACTTCTGATACTGAAGAAAGAGCACGACGAAATGAAGAAACGACTGGAAGCCATGTCCCGGTCGGGCTCGAGCGTGGGTAGTACCACTAGTGTCAAAAGTGCGAGCCCGGAGGCTGTATCATGAGTGCATTTCTTTCGAGAGCTTACGGTAGGTAGATGGGTTGTCCGTGGCGAGTGCATTGCATAAAAGCGCGTATATTGCTGTCATTTCTGGGCATCTGAAGGCGGAAGGGATTTGAAGCGTTGAGGAGGTCAATGATACCAAAGCATGGCGTCCAGTCTGGTCGATTGGCACCGTGAGCGATTTCTTTCTTTTTTTCTTTGATTTTCTTCTTTTCTTGAAAAGAATCTTCCCCCTTGGAATAAAGAGCATATATAGGTACATGTGAATACGTGAACTCAAGAATTAGCCTCATCGAGACTTAGAGGCAAGAGACTGTCCAAATTGACGCGCTCATAATAGCTGATGTGTCGAAAACTTTGCCTGGAAAGTGTCGAGTATTAGCGGGATGGCACAAAAGGGAGCTTCAATCTACAATAAGGTAGGTAGGTAGGTAGGTAGGTAATGTAGAGGGTTTTGTGTCCCTGTATGCGTACCAGTACTGCGCAAGGCGATTATGCGAAATGAGGATTAGTTGGCTGGGTGTATATCGATCTGTGTGTGCGTTGCGCGTTAGAATTATTTATATATTAGATCTCTCTGTCTCTCTCATTCAGGCCATTATTGTCAATTGCTCAATTGCTCCAAAGTCAGAGGTACAGGTATGTAAAGATACCACTCACCATCACTGAATCCGCGTTCCGCTATGTGACCGGCACTTCGCACCACGCGGCTGCCCTGAAAAGGATGCTCGTCGGCTACGCGAATGAGTCCTTCGTTGCCAATGTCTGGAGCGATGAAGCTATATTTCCCTAGTGGGATGTTTGTGTCTCCTGTGAGTTTGATGGCTTCGAGACGACCTGTGGGTCCTTGGTCGAGATTCTGCACTCGGCGTGACGAAGAAGAAGCAGCGTTCTCGACCTCTGTTTCGTCGTCCGTCGTAGTTGTGTTAGTAATATCAGGAGGAGGAGTACCATTCGTACGCTCCTCCTCTGTGTGTTCTCCGCCATACACTTGGCTCATCATAAAGTCCATGCCCGCAGGCAGCGGCTTCGCGTCCTCCTGACTTGGTTGCGTGATCAGAAGAAACTCGCAGCCGTGACCGTTGTAATCACCACACCATATGCCTTGCCATGGTTTCTCAGCGGAAGCCGTGTAGCTTTCGACGGGAAGGGAGCTATATGATGCAATGTGCTCGGGTATTCGTGGTCTCAGCATGGCATCACGAGAAGTGCTGCTGTTGCTGCTGCTGTTGTCGTTCATGAACCATGGCAGCCCAATCCCCAATGCAGCACTGATTCGGCTTCCTGTGCCGGAGAAGGAGGAGGAGGAGGAGCTGGACGTCCCATACTCGGCCCATTTTCTGATCCGGAAGTTGTTTGAGCTGATTTCATGGCGATTGCTCGGCCGATGTCCCACTGACCGAAACCCGTCGTGACTTGTATTCCGAGCTCGACTCGTTGCAGGAAAGATGGTGGACGGCCAGACTGCAGCTCCCTCGTAAATGGCGCCGTCGAGCAGAGCACGGCAGAGCATGAACGAGCTGTGAAGGCCAGAGTTTGTGGCGATTTCCATGGGCACCTCTCGATCATATCGCAGCGTCTGCGCGGTGGCCTGGTCCACGCTGGTATCGGCATCCAGCTTCAGCACGGGTTGATTGGTGTCGACGTTGTAGGTCGGATGGAAGTTCTGGATGATGACCTCTCGATCCTTCTCCCAGAAGCTGAAGTCGCTGCTGCTTCGGGCCGTGACGGCAACGACCTGATAGGCGGTGATGCATCCCATAGTCGGAATGTAACGAGCAACGAGGAGTTTGCCACTGGGCGCCGTGTCTGCAAACCAGATCCGGTGTTGGGTCAGGAACCAGTACGGAAACAAGGAGACATAGAGGGAACGGAACGACTGCAGCGGCGCTGGTGCGATGACACGCTCACCAGCACATGCATTGACAATGGGGCCCCTGGACGAAGTCTGTCAGCGTACCTGAAGGTATACACGATCGAAATGGGTATTGCCACCATCCCAAGCGACATATGTAAGTTATTCACCACACTCACCATATGATATCGTCATAGCTACTCGAGGCCAATTCACGGCATGTTTTGGCGCAAGCGGCCAGGTCGAAAGGCTCCAGCAAAGATAAAATCGCCTGAAGAAGCTCCGTGGGCAGACTCAACAAGGACGTTTCCCGTGTTATGGAAGCCATTATTGTAGGTATATCTTAGGTATAGGAAGGTTACTATTGATGGCAGATGCTGTCAGACATCAAATTGCCCCAGTGGCGTTGTACGGTTGTAGTTATCCCTAGGTAAGGTACGGTAAGGTACTTGGTAGGTATTGGACGTTGCTGGAAAGGAGCCGAAAGAGGATCGATGTCACAGATGTGGGTTGATCCGTCGATATCGGATGACGAGTCGAGTCGAGTGAGTGAGGTAAAGTGAGAGTGAGGTGCATGTAGGTGGTCGTATCTTACGCAGTATAACACTTTTCAGGTAAGGTACGGTGGTACCTCAGACCTGGTCCTGTAGGTCTACCTACCTTAGGTAAGTAAGGTAATAAACGCGGATGCTCGGCAACCTGGAATGGATTATGGAACCAGGGTGGTCCCTAATCAAACCAAAGTGAAAAAAGGTCAAAGATTGATTGATTATGTAATCAGAGCCCGAAATACTGATTGAGCTTTGGTTGACCCCCTCAAACTTTGATTGAGTTTAACAACTTTGACTTTGACTACCCTTTTCGGATACCCCCCCGGAACGGCTTCCGATTACCTAGCTATTACCTAATCTACCGGGGTCCCGAGGTCTTACCTAACCCAATCCTCCCCCTTCCTTAGGCTCCCCGGGCTACCTCCGGAGGTACCTCCCTTCCCGGGCTTCCCTAGGGTTGCCGGGTATCCTAGGGTTACATAAAAGAATATATGGGATTTAGAAATAGCAGGTGTTTTTTTCTACATAGAAAAAAACAACACCTTTTTCCGGATTTTCTCGATTTTTTTCTCGACTTTTAGGCCTACTTTTTTCTCTCCCTCCTACCTTTTTGGCCTACTTTTTCCTCTCTTGGTCAGAATTTTTCTCTCCCTCCTACCTTTTTGGCCTACTTTTTCCTCTCTTAGTCAGAATTTTTCTCTCTCCCTCCTACCCCTAGTCAAACCTTAAAGTTGTCAAAGTTGAGGCCCCCTCAACTTTGATTGCCAAGAGTTTGGTCAAACCTAAGGTCTCTCAACTTTGATTGGTCAATCAATCAAACTTCAATCAAAGTCTTGGCATAACTTTGATTGGGGACCACCCTGTATGGAACACTTACTTTACATAATTCTCGCCTTTGCTGCATCACGAGTTCACCAACACCTCATCCAACAGGTACATCTATCTCCGTACGACACTCGAGCACTCACATTTCGCACAATAGGCTGCGATTTGATAGTATAATATACACGCGAGTTCGTACACCGCCACACACGGGCCCCCAACACTCTTCTTCGCTCGACGTCCGAAAGCTCATCTGCTCTGATGGTTGGATTGCCTGAAGAACAAACAGAACAAAAGCAGTATTGGCATTCCATCTGAAAGCACCCCCTCACCTCGCGCAACTGCTCTGCTGTGAAGCACTCTCATACCCGCCGCACCCAAGTCCAGAAATCAGTCCGCGAAGAAGATCTCCAGCAACGGAGCTTTTTTTGTCGTTGTGCATGAGTGCAACTTTGGGCTCTTCGCGTAAGACTGTGCGGCGCTCCGCTGTTGCAGTTGTGCAGTATGCCTTTTAGTCGTGAATACTCCCACTGCAACAGCATCGTCTACGTTCTCGAGCCCGACAAGAGTGTCTACAGCGCACTTTCTGATGTATGCCAATTAGAGAAATGTTGGCGCATCAGATATACTTCTTTCCACGGGTGTGTCTGGCCCCTAGATTATGGTCGCATCTCGTGCTCGTGTAGAACAACTAGGCGATGGATCAATGCACGTGCACCGGTCACAAATGTTGAAGGCAGCATGAGTCTAACATCGCTCGTCGTCTTATAGAAAGAGCAGCAACGCCATCGCTAGAAAGTGCGGCCATCTGTTGTGACTTGTCCGCTGAATCGTCTTGCTCGCAATGGGTGAGCAGTGTTTTCTTGATAAAGCAATGGTCTTATCATCCTCCAGGGCGAGCATACGCCATCAGACTGTCCATTCCTCATGCCACATCAGGAACTGAGTCGCAACGCATCAGATAGTGGCAGCTCATTTCCGCTCTTCGACCAGCCGTGGTCCATGCCGAAGCCACGCCCAATTCTACCATTCCAAAGCCTTTCTGATGGCATCGTAGACTCGTGTGACATCCGGTATGTTGAACCTCTCATACGCGAGACCTGCGTGGGTCGACCAGCCTGCGACGCGTTGCACGGGGGCCTCGAGCCGCAGAAAGCACTTTTCCTGCACCGTTGCTGCCACCTCCGCTCCCACTCCAGCGTTCACCATACTTTCGTGCACAACTATGCAACGCCCGGTCTTGTTGACCGAAGTTACGACTCCTTGCCGATCCCAAGGATATATGGTTCTCAAATCGATCAGTTCAACGGAGCAGTTGAAATCTTTCTCCGCAGCAGTGATGGCCGTTTGACACGTGTACAGTGGCGTACCGTACGAGATAATGGTCACATCTTTACCCTCCTTGAGCACTTCAGCCTTGCTCAATGGCAACATATAAGGCTCCGCCGGCACATGTTCGACTGCGGCTCGGTACAGTATCTTTGGCTCCAGAAAAACGACAGGATCAGGACTTGCTATTGCAGCAAGCAGCAACCCCTTGGCTTGGGATGGCGACCTGGGAATAACGACTCGCACTCCGGGAACGTGGGTAAAGAGTGATTCAGGTGACTGAGAATGGTATAAGGCGCCATGTCCAACACCTCCCGCAGGCATACGAATGACGAGGCCGCCACAAGACTGTGCGTCTGCATTTGTGCCAGCTCGATACCGAATTTTGGCAGCCTCATTGACTATCTGATCGAACGCGGGATAGACATAGTCTGCAAATTGGATTTCGGCGATGGGCTTCATGCCTTCCACGGCTGCACCCACAGCAAAGCCAACGATGCCTTGCTCGCTCAGAGGCGTGTTAAACACACGATCATCTCCAAACTCGGAGGCCAAATTCATGGAACAGCGGAACACGCCTCCGAAGGCAACGTCTTCGCCAAACAGCAACACTCGAGGATCCGAACGTAAGGCGTGGGCGAGAGCGGAGTTGATGGCTTGAAATAGATTTATCCTGCTGGTGGTGCCATTTCTTGCTTCGGCTGGGAGCTCGACATTAGACAGGGCAGACTTGGAGGAGTGATGCAGCAATGGCGTGGTTCCGTAGTCCGTGGGCGTATTCAGTCTCGCATTGGGCGGATGTGAGGCGTAACCTCTGCTGGCCGGGCGGGCGAACAACAGTTGCGTTACGCTCTTGAGTTTCGGAGAGGGTCGCGCCATGGTGGTCAGGTACCGCAGACTGGCAGTGGTGGTGGTGGAGGTGGTGGTGCCGGTGGCGGTGGTAAACGAGCAGGCGGTAAGAGGTGGTGGTAGTCAGGTACCTAGGTATGTAATGTAGGTAAGGTACGGTAGGTATACCTTAGCAGGCGTAGAAGCGGCTTGCAACGGCTTAGCTCTCAAACTCGATATTGTCGCCGCTACAAACGACCTACATTACCTCTTACTGCCAATACAGTAATGCTGAACGCCCTTGCATACATGTAGGTATCACGAGATCAAAAAATACCTATAGTGTACTAGTGATCTAGTACCTACCTTACCTTCCCGGTTCCGTATGAGGACGTGTCTATAACAATGATGCCCCCCCTCTTTGCGACGAAATAACAGAAGCCGGCCGACAGCGCTCAACTGGGGCGGGGGAAGCAAGTGAATTGGCGGCAGCGATATGTGGCCTGTGCAGGTGTGGGAGAGTAAGTACTACGAGAGTCAGGTAGGTAGAATGTAGGTACATGTAGGTACTGTACCTAGGAAGCCCGGAGAGCAGTACAGAGGGCAAGGTGGAGGTACCTCCTAAGCCAGGGCGGGTAAGGCAGCCCAGGCACCTCGTGGAGACGGGATCGCCCGTCCAAGCGAGGCGGGACGGGACGGGCCTGAGTAGTGTCGACGCGAGACTCGCGTGCGAAAGAACTGAGACAGACAGCCGATAGGCCACAATTCGCCTCGCCTCCGCCTCAGCAAGAGGCACGCACCTTCAGAAGTCCATCCACGTAACTAGGTGACCAGCATTTGCACCTTCCAAAGCGCCCGCAACATTTGCAACATTACTTCTCCAACACCCACGCCACGCCCACACCGGCACCCGCATCCTCGACCTGCCATCCACACCGCTTTCTCCATCTCCATCGCCATCGCCATCGCCATCGCCAGCTGTTCCGCTGTCCCGTCCCGTCTCCTTTCGCGCTGCTGAACGAACAGCCGCTCACTCGCCATAATTAATTCCAATCTTGCACACGACGACTGATGGCTGTCAGTAAATCCCCGCCCGACCCTGAAAGCTCGCCCTCTCACTCCATCTTTGACTGACACTGTGTCGCTGCAGCAACAAATACCCTCACAGCCGCGCGCGTACTCACAAGCATACGTTCCAAACGGTGCTCCCCAGCCTAGTGGCCCCGTCCCTGGAGCTCGACCGCTCGACCCAAATCAGGGCCGCGTGCAGCAGGTTGGCCATGCGCGTGTTTTGTGCATAGCAGACGTGCGAGGTAGGCACACACTCGAGCGCCCTTGAGAGGCCGGCCGTGATATGCGGCAGGTAGTGGCAAGATAGATGCTGATGACGAGACAGGCAACCTGCGCCAGCTCAATGAGCTCGCACGAAGCGCCAATGCCGACTACATCATCCACACGGGCGACTTCGGCTTCTACGATGACACCTCGCTGGAGCGCATTGCTGAAAAGTAAGTTCGTGGCTGCTGCTGCTTTCAAGCTTGACCAATCCGTTTGGCTATGACTGTTCGCCGAAGAATGAACTGCTGCTGACCGGTACAGGACACTGAAACACGTTGCACAGTATTCGCCTCTCCTCGACGAGCCTCTCAAGGCAGACATTGCGCGCGCCGGTCCACAGCAGTCGATAAAGGAGCGCTTCCAGCGCGAGCGACTCCCCCTCTCCGAACTTCCTCAGTTTCTAAACAAAACCTACCGACTCGAAGTGCCTGTGTTTACAGTATGGGGCGCTTGCGAGGACGTGTCAGTATTGGAGAAGCTGCGATCGCAGGAATACAAGATCGAAAATCTGCACGTTATCGACGAATCGCACTCTCGGCTTCTTGACGTGGGCGGAGTCAAGCTGCGTCTGCTTGGCCTGGGAGGAGCCGTGGTTATGCATAAGCTGTTCGACAACGGTGAAGGCCGAACGACGATTGCTGGTGGACAGGGCACCATGTGGACAACTCTCCTGCAAATGGGCGAGCTCATCGACACGGCCAATCGCGTCTATGATCCCACAGAGACACGCCTGCTTGTCACCCATGCATCACCAGCTCGCGAGGGGCTCCTGAATCAGCTATCGGTCACGCTGAAAGCCGATTTTTCCATTTCAGCTGGTCTGCATTTCCGTTATGGTAGTTCGTACAACGAGTTCTCGGTCAACCCGTCCCTCGATCATTACCGAGGCAAGCTGTCAGCTTCAAGGGCATCATTCAACGACGTCTGGGAAACAGTCAAGCATGAGGTCGAGCCCGCCGTATTGGAAAATGATGCTCAGCAGAAGCTGCTGCATTTTGCATTGGAGCTGGTCAACAAGATGCCGGCCGTGGCTAATGGTGGCAATCCCTTTGGAGGCGGCCCCGTCAATGGTGCTGTAGACGAGTCAGCCTTCAAGAACATGTGGAACTTCAATCTGGCGGATGCTGCCTTCGGCTGGCTCGTGCTCGACATCGACCAAGGTCGTATTGGCACTGAAATGCGCGCACAAGGATTCAACTTTTCTCACCGTTCGGCCAAGGGCCAGCAGCGGCCACAAGGTATCCCTGCAGCTCCAGTGAATGCTTCGATGGGACCTACTGGTGGTAACTTTCCTCCTTCGGGACAACAGCCACCCCTTGGCGCCCACCAGCAGCAGCAAGCCAGACCACAACACCAAGGACAGCAGCACCCCCACCCTCAGCCACAAAACAATCATCATTCACAGCAACGTAACCATCCGGCTTCTGCGCCACAGACGACGCAAAATACTCAGCCACCCAAGCCAGCCACTCCTCAGGCTCTGCCGACTGTTAACGGAACTGCCGCTGCCACGACCAACGCTCCGGCTAGCGACGCGCCTTTGACCAACGGCAACTCTGTCGCCGAGACGAAGCCGGAAACCCCAGTTCAGAATAAACAGCCACTGCAATCTCCACAACAGCAACAAGAACCTTCGAAGGGAATCTTCATACAGAATGCCGCGAACCTCACTAGCGGTGAAGAGGTCAAGTCTCAACTGTTTGCACCCGAGGACGCGGATAAGATCATCAGCGTTGACAAGGCTGGACCTCGCGGTTGGGTTGCCAACTTTGCATCTAATGAAATCATGCAAGAAGTGCTCAAGCACGGCCCGAGCAAGGATGTCAGCGAGAAGAACAAGGGCATCCGCTTCGCAGCGTACCGTCCGCGTGGTACATTCGGAGGAGCTGGTGGTTGGGGAAGCTCTCGAGGTGGCCTAAATCAGCGTGGCGGAGGCGAGGGCAGAGCGGGCTACCAGTCTGCTGGCGGTGCCACAACTGGTAGCGACAGTGAATCAGGCCGCGCTCGAGGAGGCAGAGGGCGAGGGGGAGGCTTCAGTCGTGGCCGCGCTCGCGGACGAGGCAAGGCTGATGGTGCACCGACCGCCGCGGAGTCGTGACGGGCGGACACTGGCGCAGCTTCTGCTCTTTCAGCATCGCGGGCTTGAACGAAGCTCGCATGAGCTCAGTTGTTGTACGAGATGGAAGGACTTGACTTTGGGCACTCCGGTGCATGCAAGCGATTGCTGTTTGATATACCAGCCTACTGCATTCTAGCGGGCAAGCGAAGGGAAGGATGCTGTTTGTAATTGTAAGTAAAGCAAGTAGGACGGTAGCCGTAGATCCAGGGTGACGGAAGGCTGGCATTACCGCATGAGCAGACGACGTTACCTGATCTACGTTACATGCATACTACCTCCTATACATGTACTTTCTTCAAGACTTTCAAGCAGTTTCCACTTGAATGGGTCCGGTATGGACGGGTTCGTGCCTCAGTACTGATATACTAGAGCAACTGACGTAATGTAGCTCTAACAGCACCTGGCTATGTACAGGTACCTGTACCTGTAGGTAGGCAGAACTTAGGTCAGCAGAAGCTTCCATACAACCTGTGTCGCCTGTTACCTGACCACTCACCAGGCGCAGGCTTACATACCTTACCTACTTCCCTTACGCGACCAACCTCACAGGCTCTCACGCGCTTTCTCACCCTCACCCTCACGCTGTGCACGCCTCCCGTAAACGCAGTGCCCTTGGCACCTTTCTGCACATCTACTTGCCACTGCCACTGCTGCTGCCAGATCCTCCCGGCCATCAAGTGACCCTCTACCACAGCTCCACTTCCCTCTCCTCACCGAACACTGCGTCTCGACGCGCCCACTTCCACTTCCACTTCCGCTCCCGCACCGCCCGGCGCATGCGGACGCACGCACGCCAGTTCCGAGACGACACGGTGGGGGCGCGAACAGCATGGCGATAGGCGCTGCGATGGCGTGGCTGACGCTCGTGTCGCCTGCGCTGCTGGCGTGCCCGGCAGTCGCAGCAGCAGCAGCGAGCGAGTCGCCGTGGACGTCGAGACACGAAGCGGGACGATGTGCCATTCGGGGGCAGTGTGGCAAACAGAGTCTGTTTGGGAAAGAACTGCCCTGTCCGGACAACGGGCTTGCAGAAGACCCAACGGACGAGGTGCGCGCAAAGCTCGTCTCGATATGTGGGGACGAGTGGTCTGATGGCAAAGTCTGCTGTCAGGATGATCAGTTGGACGTACTCAAGAGCAATCTCGATACGGCCAATAGCATCATCTCCTCGTGTGGCGCTTGCAAGAAGAACTTCTTCGACCTGTTCTGCACCTTCACATGCTCTCCGGACCAGTCACTTTTCGTCAATGTCACCAGTATTGTTCCTAAGGGCGACAAGTTCCTCGTCACCGAATTGGATCACCTTGTTGCTGAGGATTACGGGACAGGCTTCTATGATAGCTGCAGCGATGTCAAGTTTGGAGCCACGGGCGGAAGAGCCATGGACTTCATTGGAGGGGGCGCGAAGAACTACACGCAGATGCTCAAGTTCTTGGGCGACAAGAAGCCATTTGTAGGAAGTCCTTTCCAGATCAATTTCCCACCACCAAGCGAGAATTTTCCGGGAATGCAGCCCATTCTCCATGAATCTACGCCCTGCAATACCACGGATGAGAGATATCGCTGCGCCTGCGTCGATTGCGCAGGCGCTTGTCCTGCTCTACCTCAGGTTCACCAAACAGAGCTATGCCACGTCGGTCTGCTGCCTTGTTTGAGCTTCGCAGTCGTTCTCATTTACTCTATATTTGTTGCACTGCTGGTTCTCGCCGTTTCTGGACATGCCGCGGCGGCAAAAAGACGAAGGAGTAAGAACGAGCGACTTCAGTTATTGCAGGATGCATCTCCCAGCGACGACGAGGATGAAGGCGACATGGTTCATGGCGTGGGCATGCTCGATCGACCGACCAAGCAGTACGTCGTGAACACTTTCTGCGATCGCATCTTCAGCAACCTGGGTCGTACGTGCGCCAAGTTTCCCGCCATTACCATATCGACCTGTGTGATCGTTGTGGCATTATTGTGCATAGGTTGGGTACGCTTCGACATTGAGACAGATCCAGTCAACTTATGGGTATCGCCAAACTCTGACGCTGCCGCTGAGAAACGCTTCTTCGACGAGAACTTTGGCCCTTTCTTCCGTGCAGAGCAAGCGTTCCTCGTGAATGATACCCATCAGGCAGGCCCAGGGCCGGTATTGAGCTACGAAACTTTGAAGTGGTGGGAAGATGTGGAAAAGAGAATTGGCAGCCAAGAGAGTCTTGATGGCAAGTACACGTTGAACGACGTGTGTTACAAGCCCACAGGAGACGCCTGCGTCATTCAGTCCGTGACTGGATGGTTCTCTAGCACAGGCATCGATCAAGAGGATTGGGCAGCACAAATCTCCAAATGTGCAGCCTCCCCTGGCGATGTCGACTGTCTACCAGCATTCCAGCTCCCACTGCCTGCAGACCGTCTCTTGGGAGGATACAATCGCACGTCTGACCGAGCTACAAGTGCATCTGCACTGGTCACCACCTGGGTTGTGCAGAATTACAATGCGGGTGAGCCTGGCCTGGCCAAGGCCGAGAAGTGGGAGAGGAGCACGAATATCTTGTTCCAAACCATCCAAGATGAGGCCCGCGAACGTGGACTGCGATTGAGCTTCAACACCGAGATCTCACTGGAGCAAGAGCTCAACAAGAACACGAATACCGATGCCAAGATTGTGATCATCAGCTATATTGTCATGTTCATTTATGCATCGCTTGCATTGGGCAGTACCACGGTGACTCTCGGTACGATTTTACGAAATCCTGTTGGTGCTCTTGTGCAAAGCAAGTTCATGCTTGGCATCGTAGGCATTGCCATTGTATTGATGTCCGTTGCGGCATCCGTGGGCCTTTTCGCTGCAGCTGGAGTCAAGGCTACGCTCATTATTGCTGAGGTCATTCCGTTTTTGGTCTTGGCTGTTGGCGTGGACAACATTTTCTTGATCGTACATGAGTTCGAGCGCGTCAACATCAGCCACGCTGATGAGCCCGTCTCCGAGCGAGTTGCTCGAGCTTTGGGGCGGATGGGCCCATCAATTCTGCTGTCCGCCTTGACTGAGACTGTCGCGTTCGCCCTAGGCGCGGCTGTTGGCATGCCGGCTGTGAGGAACTTTGCGGCATATGCCGCTGGTGCCGTGTTCATCAATGCCATCCTGCAGGTTACGATGTTCATTTCCGTATTGGCACTCAATCAGCAGCGGGTAGAGGATGGCCGCTTAGATTGCATACCATGCGTTAAGATTCAGGAGTCTCACCTGCATCACATGCCGGGCGGCTTTGGTGGTGCTCCATTCAATGGAGCTGATGAAGAAGGCTGGCTTTCCACCTTCATTCGAAAGCATTATGCACCCACACTGCTTGGAAACAAGACCAGAGTGGCAATTATCACCGTCTTCCTCGGATTCTTCGCCGCAGGCGTTGCATTACTACCAGAAGTCCCACTGGGTCTCGATCAGCGTATTGCGATACCGTCAGACAGCTACCTGATCGACTACTTCAATGATCTCGACGCCTACTTCGAGCAAGGAGCTCCAGTATATTTCGTGGTCAAGAATTTGAATGTCACCGCACGGTCGCATCAGCAGGAGCTATGCGCGAGATACACCACTTGCAACGAATATTCCCTGGCCAACGTTCTGGAACAAGAGCGCAAACGGCCCGAAGTGAGCTACATCGCGGATGCCACGGCCAGCTGGATTGACGACTTCATTCAGTGGCTCAACCCTGATTCCGGCGAGTGTTGCATTGACGGCTCCAAGGCTTGTTTTGCAGATCGGCAGCCGCCTTGGAACAACGCCCTTCGCGGTATGCCAGAAGGTCGTGAATTTGTGCAATACGCACAACGATGGCTCAATAGCCCTACCGGGCAGGAATGTCCATATGCGGGGCAGGCACCATATGGCGATGCCGTTGTCATTGACGACGAGAAATTGACTGTACCAGCCAGCCACTTCCGGACGGCCCATACTCCACTACATAGCCAGGACGACTTCATCAATGCTTACGCTTCTGCTCGTCGAATCGCAAAGGACATCAGCCAACGTAACGATATTGAAGTGTTCCCGTACAGCAAATTCTACATTTTCTTCGATCAGTACGCTACCATCGTGCAGCTATCAACTGCGCTGGTCGGCACTGCCCTCGCATTCATCCTGGTCATCACAACAGTCCTGCTGGGCTCAGTCCTGACGGCACTCGTGGTTACCATTACTGTCATTATGATCGTGGTGGATATTGTGGGAACGATGGCACTAGCAGGCGTGTCTCTCAATGCAGTCAGCCTGGTCAATATCATCATCTGTGTCGGCATTGGTGTTGAGTTCTGCGCTCACATTGCTCGCGCTTTTACCATACCGTCAGCATCGATATTGGAACGTGCACAGAGCAGGTTTCGTGGCAAAGACGCACGTGCGTGGGCGGCGCTCGTGAATGTTGGCGGCAGCGTTTTCAGTGGTATCACCGTTACCAAGCTTCTGGGCGTGTTTGTGCTAGCATTCACGCGCAGCAAGATCTTCGAGATATACTATTTCCGGGTCTGGTTGGCGCTGGTCGTGTGGGCTGCGTTACACGCGCTTATATTCCTTCCGGTGGCACTGAGCCTGTTCGGGGGCAAAGGTAAGCAAGCTCTCTTGCGCGTGTGACCCATGCAGTATCACGCACGTCCACCTTCTGACACATCCTTAGGTTACATCGATCCCGACGATTCCGGCGGGCTCGAGCAGGACCTCGCTAGCCGGAGGTATCGGGCTCTATTGCCGGATGAAGAATACGACAGCGATGAGTTCTGATGTCCGCGTGGGGACGAACGTCGCAGCTGGAGCTTCCGAGGGGGAGTCGTTATGCCAGATATGAAGTACCTCCTAGTTAGAATCGTACCTGATAGCATCAATCTCACTTGCACGCGTTCATGTTGTGCACGCTCACTGTGTGTCTTGAAAATTGGCCCTCTTCACTTTAACGGGCTGTGCAGGGAGGAGGAACACACCTAAACCTCACTTCACACGAACAACTTTTGTGCGCCATGGTTGAGATAGCGGTCTTGCCGTCTGACGGCACGCCGCCGCCGCCGCCGCCGCAGCAGCAGCAGCATGAAACATCAGACTCTTCCAACATCGCATATAGGCAGGCGGGAGGGAGGGAGGCAGCAGTATGACACAATATGAGCCTGTGGTGATTGTCGCACGTCGTACCCTACGCTGTGCTTCCGTTGGGCTAGGGAAGAAGCCATTGGACTGATGGCATGCTCGTACGACTTGTAAGTGTGTGTGCGTGCATGGAATTTGTGCCCTACCTGTGCGGAAACAATTGCATTTGGCACCTGGTCAAATCTACCAGTGAATGGGAAGAGAGAGAGAGAGAGAGAGAGAGAGAGAGAGAGAGAGAGAAGAAGAAGA